CAACTTACTTAAGCAATGAAGATTTAGTCCAAGTAAGTGACTAGATTCTCTTGTGGAATCCAAACAAACATTAACAGAAGATATCACACAGAAGCGTGATGGTTTCCTTCTCCCCCTACCAACTGTGTGTTCCTTGCCAAAATTAGTTCTGCTCTACTTTGAACAACAGCACACTAAAAGGGACGTCTCCATTTTGTTGGAGCTTCGTTAAGTGAATTCCTGGATTTGATGTATAAACAATATTTCGACTGCAACACATGTTCAAGTGTTTCCTAGTTACAGTAAACAAGAAGACAATCAATGAAGAAGATGAAGAACAATTCCACTGCAACACATATGGTCTCTTCTGTCAAAGGACCTCCCAGCAGCAAGAGATGTTACTGACCATGTGGAATAGGCAAACACCTGGTCTTGAGCTGAGAGTCCCATGTAAATCAGAGGGAGACTCCTAAGAAGCCAAACTAATCATCTTTAACAAATAAAACCACTGTCCGCTTCACTTCTATAAATAAAGAAAATGACCATCAGATCTATTATGGAAAGAAAACAACTAATAAAAATCTCAGCTACAGAACTCAGTAACTACTTGTTTTCACGTGGGGATGGTCTGAAAAACTACCAACAGACTGAAATGCACTAAGGTCATGCTTTCTGCTCATTTCAGATCAGCACTTCTTTGTCTACGAGGTCACTTTCGTGGGTCCTGGAAAACAAGGAGAACTATCTGTGCACTAAGTGATAGCTGAGTTCAAGGTCAACAGCTCCAGCAGAGTAATGTGATCCCCCCCAAACCAGCCCATAGAACTCCTTGGTAAATTCTTAACATCAGCAACACTTGAAGAAATTCATTCTAATTATCTTTACCTAGTTCAAGACTAAAGACTGACATTTTAGGGTTTTCACAAGCACCTCAGAGTAGCTTTCACAGCACTGATGATCACTTAACTGCTGCTACTCTCAAGGCTCCACACTATACTATACTATACTCACACCAGTAAGATGTCCTAAGTCATCTGCAAGCCAGATAAGACTTCACAAACTGGACTCAAACTCCATTTGCTAAAGATCCTCTATTATCTGCATTATTTGAGATTACAAGTTAGTCTAACCCACGTTACCTAGCACTGGCACATATGCTTTCATAACACTGAATTTCGCAAACCAACTAATGGAAACTAGGAAATGAGAAGTGGTTAACACATCTTAACAACCACAGACTTGCCCTGCAGAACTGGCAAGGGCAGGGGATGATACCAGAACACATCTCGTATCTCCTCACTTTGGATAGCTCTCCTCAAACAGCCCAGCAGCTTGGCTCAAGTAGAGAATATGAAGGAGACATCTGAGCAGGCATGCAGCCTCCCACACACTTACGTGGAGCTGCCTCCAATCTCCATGCTCTGTAGCAACCTTTCCCCAAATCCTGGCTGACACACAGCATAAGTGGGGGCTCAGATCTACAGAACACAAACACCAGACCCTGGCAACCACCAGGTGCTAACTCACAGAGAGCAACTATTAGCACAGCTTTCCCCATTAGACTGTAGTATTCAAGAAAGTTATGTGCCATATCTTGAAGTCATGTGGCATAGGTATTAAATGGCTGATGGATGCTTATTTCAAGCACACCTTGGGTTTGATATCTTGGTCACCCACATACGGATTAGGCACAACATGCCTACTACAAAAAATAAAATAGTTCTTAACCTACATCACTGAATTCAAACCATTCATGCCCACTGCTACATGAAAAACAGAAGTAGTAGAAGAAACGTCATCCTTGTAGTAATCCCAGAGCATATCCTGTACCCCTGGACAGCATTTGCAGATGGTTCCTTCCTACCCTTTTAAGAGTAGAGGACAATATAGTGTTCCTCTGTCTCAGAACAGAACAGATGATAGGAACAAATGACCAAGGGTTGCCAAGAAGCTCGAGTTGTTGTCTGTCCGAGAGGGACACCTGGTGGCTGGTCCCCACTGGGGCACCTCCCCAATCTATAAATCACTGTTTTAAAGTCACAGAATAGAGGGAAAAATGCCTATAGAAAGCAGAACTTGCCACCAAAACTAACAATGCAAAAAAAAACCACAAGAGAATTGGGATCTGGTACATCTGATTACTACAAAAAGCAAAGAAGGCACTTTTTTTTTTTTTTTCTCCTTATATTTTAAAGTATTTTCACAGTAAAAAGTCTGGGTATCAGAGAAAACTCACAAGAGTGGATAAAGGAAAGAACATCTGAAGCTTTTTCTCAGCTTTTTCCCTACACAAACTCCAGCAAACGCCAGTCCTACAAAGCCTGCAACAGAGGTAAATGGATAAGGAATGACCCATCTCCGACTTCAAGGCAGCTTTCTTCAGGGACAGGAATCTTTCATAACTATTCTATATCAGTTCTCTGTTGCAAACCTTTAAATATAAGGTCTCTTCTAACAACAAAGCCCCCCAAAACCTTTACAATGTCATTTAACAGATGAAATATGCAGCAGCACTGATTCATTCTCCTCCTCATGTTGGCAGTTTTCAAAAAAAGTATGAATTGCACAAGTTATTAAAATGTACTGAAACAGCCTAAAAAACAAGAACTGCAGTAGGAAATACTAAATCTAAATAGTTTTTGTAGAAAAGCTGTGCATCTAATAGATTTTGAAAGTGAGTACATCAATACAAGTTTACATTCACTTCATTATGTGTTCAGTAAAAGCAAAACATCGTTGCCTGGAAGCTGACTGGAGACTCACTTCTTATTGAAGATAGTTGAATTTTCTCTTCTTTTTGTGAATCCAATGGGCAGTGTCTTCAGATTGATATTATGCCTTCGAGCTCTGTTTCTCAAGTAATTGATCTATCAAAAGTAAAACAGACACGTATATTTTTTAATCTGAATGATATTATTTGAATTATGGGAAAATTATAGAAAGAACAGCCATGCACGGAATATTTTAAGAACGTGCATGATGCTAGCAATTTATTCTTCCATGCGATTGGATGTAGCCATCAATACTACTATTACATAAGCCCTGAGACTCCTCTAAAATTTGGGGCTGTTCACACCTACACAGTGGAGACCCAGTCCTGAAACCCAGCCTGGCAGTGCCTCAGTAGGAATTCAAAGGCAGCAAACCCATCCCCAGCAGTCACACTGCTCACGTGGAACTTACGAATTTATTTGTTGTTGGCCGATGCACAGACAGATCTCGAGCAGCAGCATCAGCCGCTCTTCCCACGTCTTCCAGGAACCGATAGTCTGAAGGTGAAAAAAAAAACACAACACAGAATAGAAAAAAATAATGTAGCGCTGAACTATTAGAAATGACGAATTTTGAAAAGTACCTGGAATGTTCTTACCGCTCAGAAGGTTCAAGTCAGTAAATTCAGTCACAGACACAAAGGCAGTTTTGTCCCTGACTCCATTACAGCTCAGGGCAAGCTTGTGCTTCTTCACGCACAACAGGCTGAAACGACAAAAACACACGAGTGTCACATTCAGCAGAAGAGCAGACAAAACCAGCTCAATTCAGATAACAGTTACCTGCACGAATACTTCATGCATCGCGGACACCGGTACTTGGCCTCCTCTTCACCACACGTCTCACATCTGAAAGAAGCAGAACGCAGCTCTTGGGGCAGCGGTTGCCACGCTGGGCGGGCAGGGGAGCAGCTGCACGTGGCAGCGGCCTTCAGACGGAGAGCCCCGCAAATGGTGGCAGCCCAGCCGGCACGCACAGCGCGGAGCCGGGCGCACAGCAAGGCTGCGGCCGTGCTGCTCCACAGCCAGCTCCACCAGAACTTCACTATTTTCATACAGTGCATCGTTATTTCTCTCAGGACCTGAGATTTGCACTGCCCCCTGAACGCCGCATCCCATGCCCGCTTCGGGACAGAAACACCACGCGAGGGTTCGGCCAGCGATGCACCCCACGGCCCGGGACCCCGCAGACGCGAAGCGCCGCCGACAGCCGTCAGCTCTCCGCCCCGCCCGGCGCTGTTGCGCGGCGGCGCCCCCTGCTGGCGGGGCGGAGCGCTGCACCGCGCGGTCCGAGCGCTGCGGGACGGTCGTCCGTACACCGCGAAATCAAACCAGAAACGGGTCCGCCTCTTTGCTACACACCCGCGCCGCGCAAGGAAAGCCGACGCCGCTCCCGGAGGCCGCCCCCCGCCTCCAGACCCGTCCCGCACGCAGACGAAACGAGCCGCCGCACGTGGCACGCTCTACCCACACCGAGGAGCGCGGGCCGCAGCCTCTCGCTTCGGCGGCCCCGCTTTCCGCAGATCCCGGCGCTCCCCGGGCCGGGCCGCGACCGGCGGAGCACCCTGCGGGCCGCGTTCCCACACCCCGCCCGCGCCCGCACCTCTGCAGAGCCATCTTCCGCCCGCCGGCCGCGCGCTGCGGGCTCTCGCCGCCGCCCTGCCCCGCCATGGCTGCGCCGCACCGCCCCCACGCGCCGCCCGACGCGGCTCTCTCGGGGCGGGCCCGGCCGCGCCGTTTCCTGGGCGGCGGCGCCCCCTGGCGGCACACCGCTCTCACTCCCGCCCCTTGCCGGCCCCGCTTCCCCCGTGCTTTGGTTGCGGGTTTGTAATTTCGAAGGACAACGGTGAAGGAAAGAGATGAAAGGGTTCTGCTGCTTCTGGCGCCGAGGCACAGTGCTGCCTGTGCGTGTCCCAGCCCCAACTTTTCGTGCTGTCTGCACGGCAGTTGCATTTTTATCGTAACTGCAATAATACTCCAAGCTGCTCGTTTTATAAATTGTTTTGTTTTGTTTTCTCTCAAAAGTGATTTAACAAAAACCATAAACATGGGCTATAAGGAATTTCCAAAAGAAAGGTTTCCGAAAGAAAGGCCACAGGACTGAAAAGCACCCGTGAAGCAGAGCACTTTCTAAGAGATGACATTCTTAGAAATAAATAAATCAATAAACCCATTTATCACAGTGTCAGCTCCAGAGCCAAACTAAGAGCAAACATCTGTGGTTCGGTCAGAGAGTAACAACCATGAGAATGCAAAAACAACAGAGAAAGAAACATTCTCTGAGCTTATACCATTCTATAATCTTCATTTGTCTTTTGTCAGATTTCTTCAACAGGGAATAAACTCGATGGTTTAACAGAAAACACAGGGCGTGTATCTACCTTACTGTGTAGAACTGACTACTGTCACTCTTGCAATACTCCATGGCACAACAACTGCTCGTCTGCCCTTGGTGAATGAAGCATGGCCACCTGAAAAGTACCTTTCCTCATTGCTGAGAATGAACTATACAACAGGAAACAGAATAATAAAGACAAAGTGGTAGTGTGGAATCTTATTTTATTATATTTTAAGTACGATTTCCTATGGATTGAGACAGTTAAACAAGTTGTTTGAATGCTTCTCTGCTCCCCGGTGTGGTTTGGCACCATCTTCATGAAATACTCAGCAGGTTTTTGATTGATAAGATGTTGAGGGATATCTTTATAAAGCGTGTTTTCCTTAATTGTAAAATTGTTTTATTTTGTTTCTTTAAACAAAAGAAGATGGTTGAACATTTTAGGTTTAATTTAAGGAAACTGAAATGATCTAATAATATTACCAAAAAAAAATGACATGTCTAAGTGGATGAAATGCTGATTATAACATAACAGCCCCCTTTCAAAAGACGTGCTGTAGGAGATTTAATGAGTTACAAATATATACACACTATATCATCTTAAGATGCCTTTTCATTCAAAAAAAGTTAACTGAAAAAACTGAAAACTACTGTAGGTAGCTCTTCTACAACGGGCTGTTGTTTACAATGGCTGTAAAGCTAAGTGTTTTGACTATATGCATTATATACAACGTGCTGTCTCATATGCCATTTCCACAACACTATGCAAAAATATTTTAAACAAGAAATCCACATAAATAATGTTTTAGTTGTAGTGAAATATGTGGCCAATGATTTAAAATAAGTACCTTGATAACAGAAACAGATCCTGATGTAACCGGCACATACAGTCTGAAAGGTAAAAATGGACTCACAAAATCTCTGTTAAGGCCACCAGCACCTTGTGTTACAAAGAGCACCAAGGCATCACAGACAGGGAACATGTAAGAGGTAGTGTGTCATCTGTTAAGATGTGTGTGTCCACAAAGGACTACTACAGAACTGAGAAAAAGGCGACTTCTGGTATTGTGGCATAGTTCACTTTTCAGATATAGCTATTGCACATTTAGGAGCATTAGCCAGTATTGCTCCGTGGTATTGTGTGTCTCCAGCTTTCCTCAGGGTGTTCCTTTGCTGTGCTGTCATACAGATCGTCAAGAACACCAGAGGTCCTGAAAAATTCCATGCTCAGATATTCAGTTCCAGGAATTTATGCAAGAAAGCACCAATCAGTATTAAAAAGAGATTTAAATACTTAAGGAAAATTGTTGTAGTCTTTTCTTTCTTTTCTTTGTTTTTAAATGCCGTTTCTCCTTCTTCCTGAGGTTCTTTAACCAAATACGTTCAAAATGATTCTTCAGTTTGAAAGCAATTTTGCCTCATTCATTACTCTCACACTCACTCCGCAGCAGTCCTGCACTGATGCAAAGGAACCAGGACACAAAACTCAAAGGAAGCACACCAGGCCACTTTCTATGAAGTGCTGCTGTCCTGGTTTGAGATGAGGAAGTGTATGAACTTGAACAACTGGAAGCTGATTGGTGTCCTGAGTGTGAAAAAAGAACTGTGTCTTGTGCCAGCTGCCATCCTGAATCTGCAACACACAGAGGTGGAATATTAAATTCACATCAAAGACAAGATTCAAAACACAAATGGAGGCTGTGCTTAAAGGGTGAGAGAAGTGCAGTAAGCATTTCTTCTTCCAGCAGCTTGTAAAGAAACCGAGTAACTCAACAAATGCCATTTCTTCCATTATCACAGTGCTAAAAAGTACTTACCATGCATTCATCCACAAGCACCTTCGGTTCAAGTAGTGAATTGGCTTTAAACACTTGTCCATTCCAACCTTTGAAGCTAACAGATGTCTTCTGACCTCCTGCCTCACTTAATCCCCACATCGGTGTGTTCAGACAGTGAACTGTGATACTGTGGGTTGCTTCTGAGCTCAGTAAATGAAGAAAGTTCATCTGCACTTTTCCAATGCCAAACTCCAGCTAAGTTCCAAAAGAAATTTGCTGTTATACTTAACACACTGAATGGTCACATTCAACACCAAATGACATGCATAGGTGGGTGCACTGTTTACACATGGGAGCATGCATGAATGTTCACACATTGGGATTGGTGATGAAAAGCATGATTTGTATTCTTTAGGAGAGCTATTCAGTTCTATAATAGTGATTATTTCAAACAGAAACTTTCTAGGTAATTTTCAAAGCTTAAAAGAAACATTTACTAATGCCCACGAGTGCTGTTGGAACATAGCTGGGCAGAAAACACTGTTTTTAAAATCAGGAAATTAAGGCAAAGGATCCTGTGATTCAAACAAAGTGTTTTAGCTGCAGTTGCACCATTCTGCTAATTAGTCTTAGAGCATAGATTCTGCCTGTCAATATCTACATTCTGCTAACAGACTGAAAATCATAAGCATGGTTTGATTTTAGACATAAAATTCAGTTGCTCATTACTCAACAAGAATTTCTCCAAGAGTAGACCATGTTCAGGGACCTTACTAATGCAGGAATGCATATGGGAGTCATTTCTGATGTTCTTCAGTGGCTTAACTGTATATGCAGACCACTATAAATGTAACATCTTCACTACTCACAGTGGTTTAATGACTATGTGTACTGAGGAGCACAGACTAATTACGTAAAAGAAAGCAGCCTTTACCTAACGAGGCATTCAGCAGTAGCCAGGTGTTGAGAAGTAATGACATTTACACTCTTAGCTGCCCTCAGAGACGAGTTACTAATGTAGCTTAGAAACATTTCAGGCTTATTTCTATGGCTTGTTTAGAAAGGTATAAAGCAAAACGAAAGGATTTCATGAGCGTGGAAGATGAGTAAATGAAGAAAGTGACAGTCACAGTAACATATACTGTCTCTAGATGTTCTGTAACTCCCTGATCAGAGCATATGAAGTGTTCTTCCCAAAGGTGCACACAACATCCTCGCTCCCCTATTCCCCTGAAATCTCACAGTTTCTTTTGAGGTCAGTAAATAAGCAGCTATTTGTTCAAAGCTCAGCTGCAGGAAGATTTCCTCAGGATGCCACGCATACCTTTGTCACAGATGGTGGTGTTAAACATGTCTGACCACCTGCCGTGAAGTTGCAGAAAACTTCAATGGCATCAGAAGGGCAGCCAATGTTGGGGTCAATCCAGTACTTTCCTATTAGTGTAGAATCCCAGAGGGAAAATGAAACCAAAATATAATCATTACTAAGAAATTTACTAAAATATTCACAATTCTTGGCAAGTATTAAATTTGTTATTACCGTAGTTTCACTGGGAAATGGATGAAAGGGAACATGGAAGTCTTTCCGCTTCCATAATTCTATTAACAACGGATGCTGAGCAAGTCTATTAGCTGCTCAGAAAGTAAATTATGTCACAGTATTGACATTACACATTCAAATAATTATTTTAGTTTGAACCATTAATTTGACACCTGCTAAAATATTAGCTCCTGCCAGTTTATCTGCCTCTGGTGGGCTGTGGTACACAATTTTCTTATTAGCAATCTAGAATCTAATCCACACAAAAATCATTTCTGACTGACTATAAATATTTGGGAAACTTTTGATCACAAAATGGGATTCAGTTTGAAAATTTCTGGCCACTTCTTTACTTCTATATATCATCTCTGATATCTATATAATACTAGCTAGCTACATATGTTAACATTCAGAAATTTTATCATACATAAAAGATAAAATAAAGATGGCAGTGACAAACTGCAACAGAATTTAATAAAAACAAATCTATACGCCAGAATATGGACATGGGAAGTATCACTTGGAAGCAACACAGCTCAGAGCCGTGCCATGTTGAAGCTCTGAGGAAACACTTACCATCGGACACTTTCCGCTCACAGCTGAGCAAGTCCCTGCAGATGCGTGCTGGGTTATCCCGTGTGCCAAGGGGGTTCTTGATGCTGTGCAGTAAATTGCTAAGGTAGTGCAGTGTTTTGTATATCTCTGTACTGTGATCCAGTAAAGTTACTTCAGTATTCTGGTATCTCTGCCAGGGGCCGTTAGCAAATGTGTTACCACAGAGAAGAGAGACGACAGCAGTACATGCAGTAAACATCCAATGGCCATGGAAGAGCCAGACAGAATCATTTGTAATACATGCGATCAGCCATATAGAACAGGGTGGGAATAACACATCCCAATAAAAAAATTGGTGTGTTTCATTAAAATTATCAGAGCCAGTGAAGTTACAGACAGTTTAAGATCATGTAAATATATCAGTATGACATGTTGACAGAAGTATTGGATATGGGAGAAAAAGAAAAAAGGAAAAAAGTTAGTGCATTTTTACAGTAAATGTAGCAGTTATAGATTCTGAGTAGTGAAATCTATTCTTAGACTTAATCTAGAGAATATATGAAAATATGTTTGACTTCACACAAGTAAGGAGTTTTCTTGCCATCAGTGAGACCACACTCCTGCATACAGGTAAGTATGTGTGTAAGTACTTTTTGGATCAAGGCCCAAATGTCACTATTATCTATAGCTGAATTGTTATGGTCCCCTATTTGTGGTAGCTGATATATTTTAGTCTCTGTTAATTGTGATAAAAAGGTAGAAATACTGCTGTTTTCTTCAATTTCATTTAAGTGGCATCTTACATATCTCTGCCTATTTAACTATATTTTTCAACAATTACTTGCAGTCCGTGATTTGTTTTAAATTAAGTTCCTTCAGAGAAGCCCTGCTCTGTCCTCAAATACTGTTTGTACTAGGGCTGCTCCAGAAGTAATACCTCCTATTTTATGTTGGCCCATGACACCAGAGGCAGATGTTGGTGTTATGGCAGTAGAGGTTGAACCTTCCCACCAATATCCCATTACATGTTGTTGCTGTGTGACAAATGGCAGCAGAGGGGCAGTCTGACAACCTGGAGTCTGACATGGATGAAGAAAAGGGGTGTCACTGAATTCCTCCCTCAGGAAAATATGGCACCCACTGACATCCATTACCATTTGCTGAACATTTAAGGAGATCACACAGTGAATGTCAGCACCATGAGGCAGTGTGTCATTAAGAGTGGTGTGTTTCAGAAATGGCAATTGCAGCGTGAAAGACAAGCCATGTTCCAGACAGTCATACACAGCTGTCACACCACAAATGAAGAGTGAAATCAGCTCATCCACGCAAATCAACTAATGGTTGTGATGACATTAAAACGTAACGCTAAGTAACTGAGATAGTACCACCATGCTCTTTGTAGGTGTTGTAGTTTCCAAGGAAATGAATAGGAGGCATTACTTTTGGAGCAACCTATGCTCCAACTGCATATCCTGTATGACAAGGTAAATACAGTGTAATACATTACCTCCATCTGCAATGCAGCATTTGATGCAATCAAAGCCTGAACAGCAGCATTGATGTCCACAAGTTTCTGAAAACAGAAAACATATTTTGGAACATGAAAAGTGAACAGAAATATTCTAAATTGCAGGAGAAAAAGTTCTGAGCATTTTTGTAGGAACATAAAGATGATCATAATGTTGCCATTTTAGAAAATAATTCGCAGCAAATACTTTTCAAACCAAATTTGCCCTCCCCAAAGAAAACAAGCTCACGCCATGATAAAGCATTATTTGATTTTTATTCACATCCCCGTCCCCATTTTCATGATCATATTCCTGGAAGCTGGAAAAAAAATGTGCTACAATAATAGTTACAGATCAATACCTCAATTAATCCCTCCCAGCCATTTAATTTGTACAGTTGAGAAAACTAATCTGCACAAGTGTGAAAAGGTGTTACACCTTTCAAGATCAGCATATAAAGAATGTTTGATCTAGTTAAATAGGTGCTGTTTATGCCATATTCTCTCATCTGACTTTTGTGGAGGAAAGATCGCAGGACTTCTATCAACTGAAAACATCACTCCTGCTGAGAAGACTTTGTCTAGAAGAACTGCCAGAGTTGCAGGTTGTTGGCCAAGGAAGGAAGAGGAAAACTGAGGTGAAAAAGTTTGACCGGAGCATAACTGAGCTCTGAAAATATCTGGTGATCTGTAACTGCAGGGTCTGTGCTGCTACAAATTGAAGACATTTTCATTATGTGTAAAAGAAAAAATGAAATACCTAGACTGACCTAAATGCAGACTTTAAAATGGAAAGACATTCCCTTGTGTATCTTCATTCTCTACACCTCATGAGATGTGCAGAGCAGACACAGGGCTTGTTTATTTTTAACAAATTAAGGAAGCCATGCAAACAACTGTGCCTTGTGGTTGGCCCCAGTTCTCAGATTATATACACCTTTAGGGTGTTTCAAACACTGAGCCTGAGGACTGTATTGTAGTCAGGTTATTTACAGTACTTACTCTTGGTCCTGGTGGCCCAGGCGACCCCTGGAAAATAGGAGAAACTACGTATTAGATTCTTCACACATTTATAGAAAGCAATCACAATGCAAAAACACAGGCATTTTTAAAATGCACTTACAGGTGCCCCTGTCTGGCCCTGAGGTCCCTGGGGTCCCTGGAAGAAATAGAGATAAAATGCAACAGTTACAGCTGGACATCTCTGCTTTTATAATTATGTATTTTTTAAATCACAAAATGCTACAATACATACAGCGAAATCAAGAGGTTTGTGGTATGGGCCTTCGTAAAACTGTAATGGTTAATATTCTTAAGGTACCATCTCTGTGAATGTGGAATACTCTTTTGAGTATTGCTGGGTTGGCTAGTTAACAAAACTTGTTTATCTGACTACATTTGCTATAAAAGTCATTCTTACTCAAAGTATGACTACATAACATATCATACAACACGCCAGCACTATGTGCATATTGCTGATACAAATACTATAGTGGACGAACTATCATAAAAGCATTGTAAAAATGTTATAGGCTGTCAAAAAGAACTGACTGATTTTCTTGTCTCCACAGATATCTTCAGGGCATTTGTCAGCTCCATTTACCAGCAGTCATACTTTTCAGGTAGAATGCATTAGGCTACTTGTTTAACAGAAATATTGCAGCTTCCTCTATATTAATGACATTATGTCCATACTCCCGACCTTAGGGGCCATCACTTCAGCATGTAGGATAATATGGTGGGGAAGAGGGGAGGACAGCTGCTTGGCCCTAGCTCACAGTGCCTATGGTTCATAGTCTTAAACCTGAGCTTCAGTTTTGCCTTAGGGTTGTATACATACCCTTCCAAACACAGTCTTCCTCATGTGAATGAGCCTTTCTACTCGCACTAAGACAGAATGATACCTGTATCTGTTAAATTCCCTTCTCCATTCCCTATATACTGAAAGCCTCTAGGAGCTGCTGTAACATAAACAATACCAAGAACGGTGACAAGCAGAAGAGTAGGTGACAGCAATACAATACAAGCAAAAGAGAGAAATGAAAGGCACAGAGCAGATCTGCATTATGCATGAATAAAACCATTTAACCTATCTGAGTTTATTTAAGCAAAGCACTCCTTAGCTACTGCAGTGTATACCAATTATTCAAGCACAATGAGCTGTTCCAGCAAAAGCATTCATATGCCACCATAGTCATGCCAGAATTGTTTCTGCCAAAAGAGAAATAATCTTATCTGACATGGTAATGCAGCAAATATTGTGAGGTTAGTCTAGCCAAGGAGGTATCAACTCATAAACCACTTAGCATAGCAATAAGAAGTATTCCTGCTGTGAGATTTCACAACAAGATCTGTGTGAGAGTCACTGCGAGCTACAACTGCTGACCACGGGCTGCAGCTGGTCCAGCTGGAAAAGGCTCAGATAAGAATGGATTCAATCTTACATTGATTTCACAGAATTCTGTGATTTATGCATATTTAAATAAAGAGGACCTCAAAGTAAATAGCACTGATTTATTTAGGCTCCAAATTCATCTTTATTGAGACAATAGCAGCTGTATTTCTTACTATTTCTACACATACTCATAAGGTAGAGCACATGGCAGCCAACTGAAAGTGTATCTGATGGGATTATGATGACTTCCACAGCTGCTCAAGGGGATGAGTGCCTGCATGTCACCTGCTCTTCTCATGCCAGAGGGGTTCAGGTGCTGCACTGCTGCTGTCACGTCATTCCCAGCACTAGAGCTATACCAACCAGAGGCTGAGACTTATGCTTTATGCATGTTCTGTATGAGAACTGAAACAAGCTGTTCCTGAGAATTTAGAGGTATGGTCTTCTGATACATAAGAAAGACAAACTTAATAGTATAATTTAATGACTGAAAGTCATTTTTTTTAACTGATGCACCCCGATCCTATTTATGTTTCATCCACTTGTAACCATAGAAGGAACTCTTAAGTCATTTTGTAGGTAAGTTAGCTGTTATTTTATAAAGGCATTAATGATTAGTTTTGGAAAATGGATTTCAAAGGATGAGTCACTTTAGCATATGCAGTAGTACAGAAAACACTGCAGGTCCTGTGGCAAGTACCTCACCTTCCATTTTTACTCTGATTTTGATTACTGCACAGCTTGAAATTTCCTTTGAAATCCTTTACTATGAAAGAGACATATTATTTTTGCTACAAAACAGATTTTTTATTTCTCTTTTTTTTTATGAAACAGATGGGAGATGAGTTCACAGAGATGATATCTACTTCACTATTTTGCGGTAGACCTTGGCTGATACAAACAAACTGAATATCACAGAACTGACCTCCACATTTAGTCAATCACATCAGCAGCTCAGCTGCTGTTGGACTGCTGTGGGATACCTTCAATGCCATGCGGATGCACAGCTACTCTCTACGATTGTGCCTGGAGAAGTATCTTTAGTATGAAATGGAAGTGCAAAAGAGAACCTTGACAGACAAATTTGACCATGTGAGGACATACTTGTTTATCTTGGTTCAGAACTGGATTATGCAAACACCAGGTCAAGCAAGGCACAAAGTCTCCAACAGTTCATCCCTAAGTAACCACTGCTCTCTGATGAATAGATGCCTTTGTTCTCTGGGTGTTGAAATTTAGAAATTCCAGGGAATTTTCCAGATGACCGAATACTTCAGTTAATATTCTATATTCTTGACATATGTCACAATTTTAAAACTTCAAAACTTCTGGGATTAGAACAGATGAAAACTATGGTGCTTCTGACGCAGAACTGAATATTTAAAAATCCCCAGCTGCACTGTTCTAATGCTTTTAAGGGACTTTGCAAAAGAGGAATGGGACTTGTATTGATTCACTGTCACCATGCCAATAAAACCAATCTGGGAAAAAAGATAAAAATTGAATGCAATTTGTTAACTGCAGTAAACTTCTTTGGAGGGGATATTAAATTTCCTGAATGCATTAAAACTTAAAAGACCTGTATCAATTACTTTTAAAAGTCTTTAGAATATAGCCAAACTATATAGTGTGTGTTAAAAATCCTGTAAAGGTGTTATATTCTTTCTTTCTGTTACATAGCAGCAGAATAAGATTGAATTACACTTTTTACGGATTAAGCTAATTGCAGAATGTTTCACTGGTATGTATGGGATTACCTTTACAAATCCACTTCATTTATCCTTTGATCATACTAGAATTTAAGTGAGACAATTCCAGTATAATTCCAGTGTACTGAGTATAATTGCAGTTGATAACAAAAGCAGATAATAGAGCTGTTAGTTTTAGTGTGCTCTTTAATTCTTTAACCACCCTCTATGCTAGTACAGAAGTTCAAAGGGCAAAACTCCAGCCTTCTTCTAACGCTGATTTCACATGCATTGATAGACATGTTTAACTTTGAAAACATGACCAGCTCCATGGATGTCCATATTTTACATGCTTTCAGAAACTTTTGAAGAAACGAAGTAAAATATTTATTTAAAATCAATAGAAATGATTTAAGAAAGAAAAACTGGAATCCCCAAATGGTAACGTTTCCATGACTACTTTTGCTATTTTGATATTATTCCACTGCGTCTCAGAATGGGTAAATCGTAACAAAAACATAGTACTCTGATATACTGTACAGTGTATTAGCTGTTGTTAATGACTGTAAATCTGAGATAATAGATTGTAATAGAAAATTACAGACTCTGCTTTATCACATTTTACTTTACTTTTAACCATAGGATAGTTAAGTGCCGGAACGCTTGCCCCAAAAGATTATCCAATCTTCATTCCTGGGAGTTTTCAAGACTCGTCTGAATACAGATCTGAGTTATGCAGTCTGATTGCAAAGCTGATTCTACTTTATACAAAGCTTTGGGTGTGAAATACCTCATGGTCCAAACAACCTGGATTATCCTATGACTCTATATTATAATCTACTAATTTTTTATTATTTTTTATTACTAATGACATGCCCTGAAATTAAAAAAATAAAAACCAACAGTAACCGTAAACTAGGTAAGTTAAAACACTTTCAGAAACGTCAGAATTCTGAAACAATATTCTATAAAGCTTTCCATGACTTTCTCAATGTTTTAATGACAGCAATATGATTATTTTGAATTGGAAAATAATTTTCATTTTATTCTAAGAACCCTCTGGTTCTGACTACCAAATTTTCTCTAGAAATAGCCTAGGGGACCTTAAGTTTTAACTAAACAAGGAGACTTTATATTCTATGTTTTTCAGAGGATGAGAGAACATTTCTTTCTAGTATTGAACACTATTCCTGAAAGACTAAAAATTTTTAACTAAAACTTAAAATCTTACAGAAAAGTTGAAATTTTCATGATTCTAGCATGAATGCAAATATCAATTTTAAAGCTATAAATGCAAACTCAGAACATACAGTTGGATGCAAATCACTTTATCTCCCTCATACGCAAAAACAGTTGGAAATATGCCCTTATCTGGGCTACCTATTGAAAACTGCTGCACTTTGTGTAGTTCAAAATTAAGCATCCTTGTTCAGAAAAAAAAAATCTTAAAAGAGGAATTCATGATTTAGGTAATTTCTTAAGAAGCAGTACCACTAATGGAAAAGATATTTTTTTCACTGCTTTTTGTGCGTATGTTTGCATGTGTGTGCCCACATTTCTAGCTCTATGCTGTTACAGGCATTCTTTAAATAAAAGATGAGAAACTTTTAAGATGGTTAATAGAAAGAATTGAGAGCCTAGTTTCCTCTTACTCTGAGATAGGAATTGTCACATTAGAATCAGTGAGGAAAGCTTCTTGAGAGAAATACAGAAAAGCTTCATTCTAAACCTTAATTATTTGAGTTTTTATGATTTATTTTTCAAAAACTTAATAAAGCAGTTAGGTTGGAACCATAAGTAGGTGGATAATAAAATCATAATCCATTAAAATGTGAAACTAAATGACCTTTGTGAGGTGAGATGAAAGGCAGGGTAAGAGTAGCAGGAACAATGTTGCATTGGCCAGGAACAGGAAGTGACTGTTACAAACTAATGCCGTATGTATCAACTGAAACTGCATTCACATTTGCTGTAAAAAAGATGAATTTACACTGGCTTTTCAGGTAGCCATCATTAGTTGGATGCTTTACTATCTCTAACACAATTTTTAAATAAAACCAAACATTTAATAGTGGACAAGAAATAATGTACTCTTCTTATTGAAGAATGAAAGCACAGCTTGATTAGCTATCAGTGCTGCCTGCTGTATCCACAGCTGGCATGCAGTACGTTTACACCAGCCTCCAGCTCCTGGCTTCTCCCTCTCCAGACAAGAGCATGCAGGCACAATATATGGTGCTGTATGCACACCCTGCTGTGAGGCACTGGAGTGCTGACAACAAACAGAAGATTCTGCTTTTAGATCTGAACCATAACAGATGTGGGGTACGTGCCTGCTATATGACTGGGAGCCATATTGTTTGCAACAGGAGCCTGCGTGCACAAGGAGAAGTCAAGCTTTTGACTTGCGGCCCTAGCCTTCAAGACAGAGCTTTGCCCAGCACAACAGAGCCCTCCAGCTGGCAGAGCAAGCAGGAGTGCATTCAGTGTCACACAGGAATACTTTTCACACAGCCAAGCAAATCAAAGCACAGAAGTGGTTTCAGCTTACCATTTCACCCCTCGTGCCCTTCTCACCTCTCGGTCCCTGTAAGAAAGAGAAGCTGTTAAGCCAGCATACTTTCTAGCTTCTAGGACTTCAGCAAATCAGTATGAGAGAGTCATACAGCTCCCACGAAAAGTCCACCTGTGGAAGTATTTACAGCTCTGGGGCTTTAATTTTTCTGCATTATTAGAAGAATAAATTGTTTGAAAACAGCCTGTAATTCCTAGATTTGAAAAACTGTATTTTTTTTTCAGATTGCTGATACATTCTTTTCTCAGTAATTTTAACTGCCAGTGTTCTCCCTTTCAATAGGCTGTACTCTCCAATCTGATCCATCTTAGTGGGAGATAAGTGTTTCACCATCTAACGAACTGGAAGCCAAACATGGTGCCCTCTGCCACTGAAGAAATCCATTGGTTACATATCCACTTTTGTAAGTTCTTTTCTCACAGCCAGATTACATGCTGTTTTTCTGTCTCCATGGCATTTTTAGCTGTTTTTTCATTTATGCTGTGTTACATTCAATATAAAGTCTATTAAAACCTTTGAACATTTACATAGAACTGATTTCCTCCTATGTGGCAGTGAAATGAATACAGAAAGACTTAAAGTGTTGCCTTTTTCCCAACAGGTGGAAAGAGAAGTCTAGTTATCAGAGGAATTATCCCTTCTCCTTTTATTTTTTACTTTTAAATAGTCATATATATTAATTTTATAGTGGAATCGCAGAATAGTAATGGTTGGAAGGGACCTCAAGAGATCATCTAGTCCAACTAAAGCAGATTCCCTTCAGCAGGTTGCACAGGAAAGAATCCAGGTTGGTTTTGAATATCTCCAGACAAGGAAGCTCCACAACCTCTCCAGGCAATCTGTTCCAGCACTCTACCACCCTCAAAATAAAGAAGCATTTCTTCATGTATGGAACTTCTTATGTCCCAGTTTGTGCCCATTGCTCTGCCACTAGGCACCACTAAAAAGAGCCTGGCCACATTCACTTGGTACTCAACCTTCAGATTCTTATAAGCATTGATAAGAGCCCTTCTTAGTCTTCAGGCTGAACAGCCCCAGCCCTCTCAGCCTTTCACTGTAAAGAAGATGCTCCAAACCGCTCATCATCTTTGTGGCCCTCTGCTGGACATTCTAAAAGTTCCCTGTCTTTCTCAAAGTGAGAAGTCCAGAAACTGACACAATACTCCAGATGCAGCTTCACTGGGGCAAAGTAGAGGGGAAGGATCACCTCTCTCAACTCTCTTTTAATGCACCCCAGGATACTATTGGCCTCCTTGGCCATAAGGCACATTGCTGGTCCATGGCCAACCAGTTGCCCACGAAGACACTCAAGTCCTTCTCCACAGAGCTCCTTTCCAATAGGAATATTATATGTACCTGTTATTTTGAGGATTATTATTTCAACTTTTAGACATTCTCCTGACATGTTCTATGGATCAGGAATTTGGAGGTATAAAATAAACCTTCTCTATGTATCTTCCATGGATGGGATGGGTGTCTTGGGCATGGTAGGCAGAACCTGTGGATCTGCAGGTGGTCTTGTAATGCTGCTCTGTCCCACGCACAGGGAGAGTGAGACAGAATAGAAACAGGAATGGGGGCAGAACTCCCCTCCTTAGGGAACCTAGAGAGCACTGAGGGCCATCAGAAAGGCCAAGAAGAAGATTTTTCTAGAACTGCTGCAGTCTTAAGTCTGAGTAAGGACAATCAGGTGACAGTTCATGTGCTATTGTACATCTTGATCTGCTCACTGCCACTGAAGCCATGTCCTGTGTATGCTATATTTCAGCACAATGCCATTACAATGATTTTTTTTCATCATCTTGTTTGTATCAGATGCTTATATTACATATATGTTAACTTCCCAGCATAGTAACAGTACAAAGATGGTCCTGCTAGTTGCTCTTTACAGGTGGCAAAATAAGATAGTGATCAGCCATAAAACAGATTATTAAAAATGAAGGTAGGTGGAATAATGAGAGTATGTGAAAGAAAAGGGAAACTCACAGGCCTGCCAGTTGGGCCCGTAATGCCTTCTTGACCAACAGGCCCAATATATCCCTGTAAAAAAACAAACAAAAAATTAGATGACTGAGTTTTCAAAATGAAGAAAATCCTCATGACATATCCATGTTTCAAGTTGCTCAGCACTGGCAAATATACAAGAGATTTTGGCAACACTCTTGTTCTGAATAGCGAATGCTCTTTCCTATATAATCAACAAGTGGAAACTTAAATACTCTGACCACCAAAGACCAATTATTTACTGAGCTACGATCACTAATATCTTGAGCCATATTACTGACCGCAAGTACTCTTGTAAGACTACCGGTAAATACTGTTATAATGTGATTTTACCATTCTGTTTCATTTAGAATGAGCAGCTCATTTCCAGTGTTTATGTTGTATAGGAATGTTTAAAAAAACAAAACAAAACAGCTATTAGAACAAGGTCACTAAAGCCTTTGCTCTGCATCTGGTTAACTAAACTGCAGGAGTTCTGCAATGTCAGTGGTAGCAGTGAGAGAAGAGAATTTTCCAGTAAGACTTCCTGTGCTGCAAACTTCCCCCATTTGATGCAGTAAGATGGATGCACACTCCCAGATATTATATAATGCTTTCACATTTTTGTAAGAAAGTACAATATCATGAAGGTATCATGCAGAATGAACTAATGCAGACCAGTAACCTTATGAAAAAAGAAAGGAAATACATTTTTAAAAGACTACTTATTAATTCTCAATGCCTAAGTACTTGTCTCTTCCACTGTAGGCAAAGGTTGACTCTTTTTTGCTTCCCTGTTAGACAGTTATGCAATCAGCATTGTGGTCAGTAAGAAGAAAGAGAGAGAAATAAATGACAGTGATAAAGAAATTTGTGTAGATAAAGTTGTACAAGGAGAGTGCTATTGTCAGCAAAACCTGCTTTTTTCCTTAAAACTGGGACCCCAGCTCTGCTTATGTGCCTGCACCCACATTGTAATCACACCATTGTGGCAGACCAAGCAAAGGGCTTCTAGTGGAAACAGTCTGAGAGAGAATGTTTTGAGTAGAGGGTTCTGGTTTTTTAATACAAAAAAGGGGGATTCCTTCAGCCGGAAATGTGTGAAACCTGCAAGCCTTCCTGACAATCTCCTTTATGGAGTGAAACACTTACAATTTGCCCTGTTGGGCCTTTTGGGCCCAGAATTCCAACTAAGCCAATGTCTCCTGCAGGACCCTGAAAATACAAAGGGAAAGTTTAGCCAAACATCAGCTATCAGCTTGTTTTAAACTCTTGTGAGCAGTGGAAGATAATTTCTAAGAGCTGTAACAGTGAAAATACCAAGCTCGCTGACCCAGAACATTCATATTTGGACATGGAGTACACAGCTCTGGCTACAGTGTTCCAACAAGTTCAGACACACTCTGAACAAATTATTGTTAAAGCTGATTAAATCTGTTCTTCCCTAATATTTTCACTCTGTAAATGGCTTAAGATCTAACAAAAAAGAACAAACACATACTTTTGGACCTGGGAATCCTTGAAACCCCATCAAACCTTGATCTCCATCTTCTCCCTGTAATAGGAGCAGGCATCCTCACTTATTCCATGCTGGTAACTCTTGGAATAGTTGTTTTGCCTCAAGAGCTGTGATTACGTACAGTCTGTCCTTTGGCTCCAAACTCTCCTGCTGGCCCCTGGTCACCTTGTGATCCTGGAGGGCCTCTTTTACCTCGTTTTCCTGGATGACCCTGAAGTCCTTCTGCACCCTGTGAATAGGAAGAAAATGCATCTTAATATACACATTTTAGGCCATTTCCAGTAAGGTACCTCCCTGAGAAAGTGCTCAAGTGCACAGAGTGAATTACAGAACAGGAAGATAAGGAGTAAATTTTAAAAAACAATCCTTTGAGCATGGCATAACATAGCTGTGGAACTCCTTGTTGTTAGACTAACATTTCACATTAGTTCTCACAGAAACCAGGCAAGTTCACACTAGTTCACACTAGAGGAATTCTCTGAGAACAATTAAATGCATAGAAATCATGTCTAGCTCAGGAGATCATCAATCTGCAAATAATTTGGATTGGTAACATACAACTTTCATGATTGTTTTGTGCTTACGCTCTTTCTTTGGTGATTCTTTTTAGCTCTAACAAAGACTTTTGGCCTGACTCAGCACAACTCCTCCTAATACTTACTTTGCAAAACCTGGTAACCCTTTTCCCTTAATTTCCTGTCTTTTTTGGATTGCAAGCTTTTCAGTGCAGGAACCGGCTCTTTTCAGTTCATCGTCTAGACCAAGCAGTATAAACTGGACTGGAAGTATCAGCAATAGACACTAATAACAGTGAACACAGCTTCTACAAAATATCTTTATGAAAAATAACAGACAGTATTTCCCTGCCCAGTTTTTAATTAACTTAAAGCATTAAAAAGTGCTTACTGTTGAAATCACACAGAACACGGCAAATCACCATTTTAAATGAAAAATTCATCTTTAAATGGTGAAAATTATTTATAATGTTTCCTTTTTTCGCTTTTAAACCACTGAAATGAATCTGATTAATATTATCAGTAGAAGCAGAGGAGGCCAGCTCAATCTATACTCACATCTTTCATATAACTCCTGCTATCAATTTTTTATATGATTAACAGTAGCATGGTATTCCCCTACTCACTGCATATGGTATGAATACTGAGCAGTATCAGTAGTACTGCACTCAAACAACATGATCTGATGTACATACCTTTAGCCCAGCTGCTCCCATGCGCCCTGGCATGCCTGGCAATCCGTTTGGACCTCGAGCTCCAGGATAACCTGCCAGGCCTGCTAAGCCTGGGCTTCCTTTATTACCCTTAATAAATTGAAAATAATTATTATTAGCAGAAAAGTCAAACATATGTTTTCACTATATGCTAAAACAGGCATGGAACATACAATCAGCTAAAGCTACTTAATGCTTTCTGTATACATAGGTACACTGATGGTACTCCAAAACATACAGAAAGAATGATCAGCAGTATCATCTGGATTTCAGTTAATTCTTCCAAAAAAACCCCAAAACCTGTCATACTTAGCAACATAGCTTCATGTACTTTCACTGTGGTATAGACTAAAGATTCTGAGAAGTCAAATAATTGCAACATAAGTCACTGACTGTTAAGCAAAACAAATGTCAAGCACTTCTTAGCCAATTGCTAACTTTGCTTTCTAGTCAGAATATCACAGAATCACAGGGATTGGAAGGGACCTCTGATGATCACCTTGTCCAGCCCACTGCTAAAGCAGGTCTTGTAGAGTAGGTTGCACAGGAAAGCATGAGCAAACAGCCTGCTGTAGTACGAGCATGTGGTATGAAAAGCGACCCTGAGCTTGCCACCAATTTGTATTGCATCCTAACCAGAACAGGCAAATTTGTCCAAGTTTCAGAAAGTGCAAGCAGTTCATAGAAGGTGGATTATTGTGGAGATAGTAAATGGGCAATTTTTATTTTCCCAAATATATCACCATTACAAAGGAAAATCACTGAATGATGGAAGCTCAGGCTGGTGCCCAAATACATGCAGTCATGGGCTGTGATGTCATCAACCAAAGGGCTGTGATATCAGTGAGAGATGACTGTGACCTTGCTGACCCTCATGTATGAATCCGGGTGCTGGCAGAGGCCAGTGTGGACTTGTGCTTGGATTCTAGTTGAGCACAGCTGCAAGACTTGGAGCACTGAACAAAGACTTCCTTGGGTTGTGCAGTGGGGCTGCCGGCAATTCTTGGTGCCTATCCCAAAACACCATCAGTGTTTACCCTGCCCTGCCTGACTCAGGCAGCTGAGGCCCCACAGAGTGCACTAGCAGCAGAAGAGGTGAGCGGTGCAGGAACACAGCTTTGGGGCAGCCAGTGTGGAGCAAGATCTTGCTGCTGAGGGACTAGAGCATTGCTGCTGCCTGTCCTGGGGAAAGAAAGTGACTGCAGCCTCTTTTTCTCTTTCTTTTGCAGTTTATGATACCTTCTATCCACTGCAGCGCCAGCAAGGAGAGTAGCTTCCCCATCTCGCTCTGCTGCACCCACTGTGGGACCATGGAGGTGCCATCAGAATAGACCTGCCCTGTCTGCTGGCAAAATTGGGATGATGTCACCTACGTGACTCCCTGTCTCCACCAACTTTGCTACAGCTGTGTGTTCTCATGGGCCAAGAAGCCGCTGAGATGTGCTGTATGCAGACACAAGATCAGGACCATCTGATATTCAGTGCAGTCAGATGATGATTACTTCTAGCGTTCCATCCTGCAGTTCACAGCTTGCTCACTCCTGCTCAGGCCTGCAGGGTGAGCAGGAGTCTGCAGAGCCTGTGCTCCTGCATCCCGAGCACATCTTCTCACCCGAGGGCTGGGCTGCCTGTTTTGAAGAACATCTAGAAGACCTCAAATCCCTGCTCCAGTGCTTACAAGAAGAGATCGAGAGGATCTGTGGCAATGGGTGGTGGGAAGTGTTTGAAGGACAGTGCACTGTCATAGGCTTCCTTTGTATGCATGGACTCAACCAGGTACCTTATTACAGAGGTTGTGGTGCCCTCTGTGAGGAGGTTCATCACCACTGTTGCTACCATGTATGGCCCAGAGCTCCGCTGGCAGCAGGACAAGCCAGGATGCCTGTGCTGCAGCGGAGCAATAGGGCAGCCCTACCGCCATCCTCAGCCCCATTGCCTGCCGTCAGAATCCTCCTGCCTCTAGCCCAGGCCACTCTTTCAGCATCGCAGGCCCCAGTGCTGATGAGCTCCCTGGTGATCTTCATGGGGGTCCCAGGTACCCCACCACTGCCACTGTGCCCTCAGAGGAGGAGCCTGAGCAGGTAGAGGCAGCAGGACCCTTCACCCAGGACAGAAACTGCTCACCTGGGGGGGGTTCCAGCACCCCCTGAAGAGGAAGGCCCACAACAGCCCCCTGAACTCACCCCCACCCCACAGGACTTGGCCACGGCAGTGCTGCTAGGCTGTCAAAACCCACCGCCAGGCAAAACACAGCTCAGGGGCTGGGAGACCAACATCTGTCTCTCAGTCTGCTTCTGAGAGAAAATAAAAGCTTAAAAAAAAAAGAAAGAAAAAAACAATTGGTCTGATTGCCAAAATGTCAACAGAACTGAGACTGACTCCTTCTGTTTAAACACCGTAACCTCAGAAAATCTTTAATGCAGAATGACAAAAAGAGGGACAATGTGGAAAACAACTTACTTTAGGGCCAGGTTTTCCTGACAGCCCAGGCTTGCCAGGGTTCCCAGGAATGCCCTCTGGTCCAGGGTAGCCCACTGCTCCTTTCTGCCCTGCTGGTCCCGGTTTTCCCTTGAAATAAATTCAAACCAAATAAAACACTGTTGGCACTCCTCACCTTAACAGAGCTAGATTTCAGTCACGGTATTTTCTAAATCCTACCATGACACATGTGAATATTCACAAACATGGAGAGTTTTCATGTATGGTTTAAAATGCTGTTGGCTTAACCTTACACTTGCTAGGCTGTGGGATCTGAGGAAATTCAGACAAAACCATGAGGTTGACCCTTCTGCATGCTAAGCCTGGAAGATGGCTGAGGGTGTTGATTCTTAAGCTGAAGCAAGGAAACCTGGTAAAGTCACCTAGGTATCTCTGTAAACAAAACTAACCACACCTCTTTATTTTACTAGAAAATTAATATCATGTGTTTGCAAATTTATGCTGTTCAAATCTGCACACCTTAAAAAAAAACACAAAAAATTCTAATTGCGCAAGTTTGTGCTAACTTACTATACTTGCACTGAAAAACCTCATGTTAAATTCACCAGAAGAAAAAAAATTTTCTCTTTACAGTCATTTCTTTTTAGACTGACACATATGATCATACGGAGCTTGGAGTTCTGCAATAATCTCTCTACGAGTGTATTTCTCAGAAACGTAAAGTATGCTAACTAGGCCATGGCTCATTATGAAAAGTATATTTAACAGCTGTCTTAAAGAATGTAAGTGTTCCATCTTAATCTCATTTCTAACTGATGAGGAACCTCACACCTGGAATGTGCTGCAAGACTTCTGCTTTACTGTCTTCTCTTTGCATCTACATTTTTCTTGCATTTCCCATTTCTCCTACATCTGCAGTGATGCTCTCTGCAGTGCTCCAGAGGGAAAAGCCAAGTATTTACAAAGGACACACAGTCTGCCTGCCTTCAAAAGGCTATTCTTCCACTCTCCCCAGAAGGTAGAAGTTCTGTGAAGCAGCTGCATTTCTCTGGTTACCAACAATGTTTTGATGTGAGGTAGTAAAATATATTTACAGAATGGTCTTGTGTGGTATTATTTATTAGGGGACCAAAATAGTCTTGATGCATTTTGTTCTCAGTTATGTTTACAGAACACCTACTGCTTCCTGCTTTCTTTTCTCTTGGGGAGAAAGGGATGTGAGTTAGTTACAGTTACTCAAGAAAGAGAATTAAAAATTTCAGCTCAGGGCAAGTGAAAGAATAAAACCTCCAGAGATCAATCATGGACATATGGATACAGCCTTCAGTAGGCCACAGCTGTTGAAGGAGCTGATGGAAGCCAGGAGTGCACAGTAGTACAGCTCTGCGCAATGTAATGTGATAACTTGCACATGGGCTGTGGGCCACGTGAACAAATCATCTAATTAAGTAACTGTTCGAGTGGGATGCACCTTGTTGCTATAATAGTTGCACTTCTCTCCCACGTGCTGAGTAACTGAGTGTAAATTAGTATGATTTAAAACAGCCTCAAAAATTATTCTTACTTTCACAGGGGCTCTTTTACATTTCCTGGAAAATGAGAAACAGAAGGCTTTCTAGTACGACTGCCATGAGTCAATTTTGCTGTCCTTCATTTCTAACCAGAAGATCAGAAGGCCAGAGCTGTTACTCACCAGAATTCCAGGTTTGCCCGCCTGACCCATTGCTCCTTTCTTCCCTGTGGGCCCCTAAAAGTTACAGATATTTGGGTTACAAACACAGTCCTCCAAGAAGATCTGAAAATTGATTTTCCTCGCTGGTACAAATGTCCACATTGCCTCACTTTGAAGTGGAGGTAGCAGAAAGTTTTTCAATAACTTGACACCAGAAAACCACACTAGCACAGAGAAGTATGCTCTTGCAGTACTTTCAGTACCTTTCAAAAATGGAAATCATTAAAAACTGGCAATGTTGATGCACTGAGTATGAAAAAGAGTACTGGAAAGGAGTAGCATCACAAATAGGAACATTATTTTTATCTAAAATGTAGACAGAAGACAAAAACTACATAAAATCACTCTTTTTTGGCTTGATCTAGTAATCTTTAGTTTGAGACAACTGAGTGATACTGATAGGAGATCCAGCAGCCAAGTACTAACACAGAAATTCTCAGATTGGGTCAAAAGAATCTGAGAATTCTGTTTATAGCACATTCTTCATTGAATGTAAATATCTAAAACTTGTCACAAAATTTAGAAAGTACTCATTAATTACAACGTATGCATGAATTTTATCCTAACTCTCAAAGATACAGCCACTCAGACAACACAAACAAGAATACGTCAATTGAGTAGAAAAGAGCTCGCAAGATTCTTCTGATATTATTTTTAACAGTGCTCTTAAAGCAAAAGCTATATTAACTTACTATGCTGCAATATTACATAACATCAGTAAAGTGAAAAAAACCCTCTAATTATATATTTTTAAAATAATTAATATAAATATGATTTAGTCAGCAAAATTATGTTCTATTCCTTAGCAACTTTTAGTTAATGAAGGCATACATAACATGCGCCAATCAGAGTAGGAACTCATATTCAAATAATTTTATATTGTTTTAAAATAGTGGAATGCATATAAAGTAAATCCAGATGATTCAGCATTGCATTGTATGGGATTGTCTTTTTTTGGACTTTTTTGGATTGCTCCAGGTTGCCTACTTATAAACAGCAGTTTTAATCTGAAAGGTATTTGCAACACAAAGAATATATTCCCTAAGGGAAAGGCAGAGGAATGACCAATTTTATCCTGTGCTGTGTGTAGTTTCTTAAAGGCAATATATCCTGGTACACGGTTAGGGCACATGCTGATAGTGCTTTTACATCACACTTCCTTTTTGTTGCTTCCCATTCCCCACCTAGTATAGATTCTTGTATTCACCTAGAACTTTTTGAAACAATAACAACTGTCTATGAAACTTTTCATACAAAACATCTTATTTAATTTCCAAAATGAATTTGTATTATAATTGTATTGTATTGTATATAAAATACTTTTGTCAACTTTTAATGAACCACTATAGTGAACTATTATTTCTAAAGGAAAAAGACTTTTTGTTTTATCTTTATCTGGACTTGCTCTGCCTCTGCTAGTCTTAAGCAAATTCCTTATTTCTGAGTGACAACTCAGTGCAGTGCAGTACCAAGAGGCTTCATTTATAAATCAGACCAGCAAAATCCTGGTTGTTTTCCAAGCCTTGTCACAAGAAACTCCACTTAAGGGTATAATTGAATATCACCGAGATATTTCCAAAAGAGCCTCTCAAATCCTTTACACTACCCCAAAGCAAAACTACTTACTTATCAAATAAAACATATTGAATAAGATCATTATACAGTTTTCCATTATATATTTTTATTGCCCCTGCAGATATGAAAAGGCAAGCCAAATACTGAATTTCAGCCTTACATAACAAGAAAAAATATGAACAGTTTCCATGCTGCTGTCAGTCATTTACAAAAGTTTCTTAGAAGCTTACTATTTGGAAAAAAAGTAGCCCAGTAGTTTCAAAAGAGAATGCAAAAATAAAAACGGATTCTTTTCAGGGAAAAGTGAGATGCCACTAATGGATGCTGTCATATCAATGCCAAGACATGACATAAGCATCTTAAAAGAATCAAAATGTGCCTACAAGAGAGAGAACACAGTGTGATCCCTGTGCAGGTGGCTACTGCCAGATGTAGATGCAGCCACAAGACCTGCTGGAGCTTCAGTGAGCACCAGGCACACCACTGCCACCATTTCAGACTGTGTGCCTCACACATACTGCTGAGACCCTGATGAACAGACTCTTATGGACTTGGATCACTGTGAAAAGAACATTTAGTTAAGTTAACATTTAGCAACAAGTTGGCCCAAATCTACAGAACAGCTTGCATACAAATTTCTAACAACAGAGTGCAACAAATCTGTTTAGGGCATCAGTCAAACCATAGTGGTAGATAATGATGCAAAATTAAGTGGGGTTCAACTTCAGAGTGCTAGTTAAAGCTGCTGAAGACCTAATAGGATGTGCAACAGAGAACAGGTGATGGAGAGCCCTAGCCTTCTCACGACTCTAGAATATAAAGGCAAATATTATGTAATCTTTAAGAATATCCATCAGAAATCATGTTTTACTCTCAAAAGTTCTTTTATGTATCAAACACCTACACTTTTTTTTCCCCCCTCAGTGGCAGAGAATAAACAAGAAAAGCAAATTCCATTTAAATGCACTTATTTATTTATTTATTTACTGTTTTTCTACTTACTTCTGAACCTCTTTCTCCTTTCAGTCCTTGCTCTCCCAGTTCCCCTGGCTCTCCCTTTGGAAAGAATACATTAAGTAAGCAGATAACAACATTTGAACACAAACGAAAGTGTAATTCCAACAACCAATAAAGAAACCTCACTTTTTGAAACACTTACTGGAGGCCCCTGTTGTCCAATTGGTCCTCTAAGCCCTGGAAGACCTATGGGACCCTGGGAAACAGAAAATAAAATATATATTGTAATATACATAAATCAGAGTAACACACTCAATAAGCTACAGATCTGCTTCTAAAGTCCATCCTGGGAGGTGTTGAGTGGCCCCAGCTTGACTGATTTCACTTGTATGAAGTATGCTTATCTCTCCTGAGATGAGACCGTAGGGAGCTTTTCTTCTTTAAACTCTCTATTTCAAACTCACTCAAGAGGAATATATATATCTGTATTTTAAACATTTCTGCACTTTCATGAGCATAGTCTATATTTGGTTCTTTGATTTATTACGATGCCTAACTTCACTGTCTGTGCAACTTAAACAGGATATTCCATGTCAAGAACTGCTTTGTATTTCACCAGACAAGCAGAAAGAGTTACTATCCATTTCTGTTTGTTGAAAGACTGCATACAATTAATGAATAACTGTTAGAATTAGAGAATAATTTCGGTTGGAAAGGATCTTATCCAGAGCAACTAAGTTTAAGGAAGACCATCAGGCTGTCTAGGACCATTACCTAGTTGGGTTTCAAACACCTCCAAGGAGGCATTTTTTTAAAAAATGTTTTCTTGTGTTCAGATGGAACATTTCACGTGTCTCAGTTTGTGTCCATTGCCTGTTGCTGCACACTACTGAGACAAGTTTATCATCTTCATCCTCATTCCCTCCCATTAGGTATTTATAGACACTAAGATTCCCTGCCCAAGTTTTCTTTTCTCCGGGTGGAAGTGTCCTTGCTCTGCCAGCTTCTCCTCATAGGAAAGATGCTCCAGTCTGTACTAAAAACACATCACTGCAGTGAGGCATCAGCACATGCATCTTTGTGCATGTGTGAGAGGAGATGATACTTTTGCTGCATGAGTCTGCATGTATGCACGCCAGCCATATTCAAATGGAAAGTACTAAAAAGCAAGAGGTATTACCTTGTAGCCTTCATCACCAGGTTCTCCTCTCTCTCCACGTTCCCCAGTGGGCCCCTGTAAAAAATAAAAAAGAGCAAAATGCAGCAGCTGAACTGAAAAATTGCTGCAGCAAAATGAAGAAGAATCTGACCAGCCAGACTGAATGGAAGATTCAAAATATTACATTTAGCTTGTCTAAAGGAACAAACATTTTTTCCTAAAAAAATTCACTGCAGTCAGACAGGAAGCATTATCTAAAATATTTTCTAACTGAAGAAGTTAAAGTAGCTCTCATATGGGCAAAAACAAAACAGGAACATTGAGCTCATCAGAAATTCTGATACATGTGTATATTCCATGGTATCGGAATTATGAATCTCATGAATGACCACACTTTGTTTTCAGGGAATGCAAGGAAAACTCTTGTGTGATTTCCATAAGACAGCACAGGGTAAATGAAGTTGTCTTTCACAATGGTTTGCTACACTCAGAATTTGCTTCAGTTCTGAAGTTCATCCTAATAAGGAGGCATTCTCAATCCCTCAGGCCACTTCTCAAAAATGATAACTGAGCAGGAGTATTATTGGCATTATTAATAGCATTATTTCTTGACTGACAGTTCTTACTGCTGCATTCTGACACCTTAGTATCCCTGCTTTAGGGAAAGCACCTTGCTCTAACCCCACAAAAGAAGTAGGATTTCCCCCCCCAAATTTAACTCTCATTGCAACAAATTTACCAAATTTCATTCAGAGGGAAAAATAATGGAATAAGGAGTCATGCCCGCAGAAAGTAAGACTAGCCAAGACTTTGACAACTAGCACTCTTCGGATGAAATGAGGTCAGCCTTTTTCGTGTCTGAAGCAAAAGCACTTAAAAAAACTTGGTGAGGCATAGATAACTGAAGTGTATGAATCGGAAATGAATAAATTAGCCAGGTCCATCAATATATACTATAATGAAACTGCTTCTATACTCTCCAAGGTTTCGGTATGTTCATATTTCCTCAGGGGAATCTGCAAAGTGAAAAGACCTTGCTTGCAATGTTTGAGCAGTCAAGAGAATCAACTGAAGTCTCCTCTTATGCATTTCCAAAATTAAACAAAAACTTGGCCCGGGCTGTCTTCAGTCACACCTGGGTTCTATAGTCCCTGCTTTTTGGGAAGTGATGTACAAATATAAAGGTTAATCTGAAAAGGTGCAGGCTGTAAGTATTGCTTCTGGCACCTTGCCTTAATAAGACTTTGAGATTGCATTTAATTTTTGGACATGCTCCTAGTTACTGCAAAGAGACACCTCACGTACAAACTTAGTAAACGTAAGGTTGCAAAATGCAGCTATTTCTCTGAGTCTGTTAAAACAGCTTTGTAGCAATAATGAAGTAAGTCAAAACATTCTGGCTATTAAAGCAATTAGGTATAATTCAGTATAAATACAGGGGATAAAAATAATGATTCAAAATGCACTGATCTAAACGCAGACTGAAGGCACTCGCATAATTAAACACAGGGCACAATCTCAAGCAGGAAGGATCACATGGCGGCATTTTTCAGAGTGAGTTTATCAATGGAAAACCCATCACTCTACAATTTTGCACAAGGAGGGTCCTTAGATAGTGATAAGAAGTTTCAGAAAGCTCTCACTTTCTCTTGTTTTGAGATACTAATATAATTTTTTTTGAGAAACAAAGACCTACTGGTTCACCTATGGGCCCAGGTGGTCCAAGTACTGTACTGTCTTCTCCTGGGTAACCCTGAAATAAAGGTAAACATTAAATACATGTACTTGTAAATTCAACATTTTCTGTAATCCATACATGTTCAAATGTAGTAATACATCAGAATGCATACTGTATAGATGCTACTAGTGAGTATGATGCTTTTGGTTTTAAACAGTAGAAGTGATAAGTATTACAATATGCATCATCTTTTTAAGAAGCAAATATAGGACTAAAAATGTAAATATTTGCTCTGTTCTTAAAAGCATCTATTAAAGGAGTATTTGAACATTGTCCATGTTCTTAGGAATGGAGGAGCAGAAAATTTGAACAAGAGTAAAAAAAAAGAAAATTTCTTCTACTGTCTTAAAAAATGTACAAATGACAAATAAGTGCCCAGAAAACTCCAACAATCAGCCTGAACAGGCTCATATTATTTTTTATTTTAAATACGAAGTGATCATCATCTAAAGCAATAGGCAAACCAGTTCTATATTCCAACATATTTAATACAAAGAGACACATGTTTTCAATATTATTACAGGTGTCAGAAAATGCACTGAACTGGATTTTCAGAAGCATCAAAAGCATCAAAGCAAGCTAAACTAGCTCTCAACAATTTTGTTTTTGGATACTATTTCTGAAAATCTTCTCAGAAGCCAATTATAAAATCCTCAGTAACTGTCTGTTAGCAGTATTCATTGCAAAACATAAGGACACATTTCTCTGCCTGGTGCAACTGTAAACTAATCTTTATGAAAGTAATCCCTGTACCTCCCTGAGGCCACAGGGGCTTCACTTGGCATGCAAACTTATTTTCAGGGTTTGGGGCTTAAAAGAACAGTGAATTTAACACTAAAAAACCAAACTGGGGCAATTTCCTGCCCCTAACATCCTATATTAAGCACCATAATTGGACCTTCAGCAAAATCCATGGGAGTACTCACAGGCTTAAGGTTAAGTGAATGCTTCTCAGTTCCCACACTGATTATTCCTATCAGCAGTACTTACTGAGAGCAGCGGTGCTATCTGATACCACAGAATGTGTTTTTTTAAACAATGGATATATTGTTTATTGAAACTTGAAACATTTCAACAACAAAGCAGAGCTCTGCCTCCGAATGATCTGTTTCTCCACTCTGTAATTCTTTGCATATTCTCTCACAATACTGAATAAATGGTGGCTTTTGCTGCATGCTGTGGAAAGCAGCGAGTATGCAGTAATATTTCCTCTTTTGTGGTTATCTAAACCATAAGAAAGAATAATCCATCTTCATACCTTTTCTCCTTTGGGTCCTGGGGGCCCTGAAGGCCCTGCAGGACCTTGGTGACCCTAAAGAATGAAAGAAAACAAAAATTAGTTCCAATGCAAATAATTAAAGAAATAATTAATTCCGAACTTTTGTTTAGCTACTTGTTGCCATTATTTTTGGCTGCTTGCTAATAATGCTACATAGTGATGTGGGACAAAATTAATGGGCACTGGCAGAAAATTTATTATGTGCAGGAAAATCTGTGCACACAGTGGGAAGCCAAGGACTGTTGTCTAACAAGGGCTTAATGCATGTCAAGGGAGCTGGGCTTCATCTTCAGGGCTAGGGCCAAAGATGGAACTTTCTGTTTGGAGTAGACACAGCAGTCTGGTCTGTAAGAGGAAGATGCAATCCATATATGAAGATCATCAGAGAACAGCAGTTTTTATTCAGTGAATGCCACAACATCTTTATGTCCTTCAGCTAACCTCATTCAATCTCTGGTTCTGTTAGTGAAAGGGAAACTGCCTGATCAGATGGTAAACAGAGGTAGTGGCTTGCTTAATTCTCTTTATAATGAATAGCTGTAGTAATTTTACAGAACATTATTCACAAATAGACTGGGAAGCACTGGAAAAACAAAGGTAGGTTTCAAATCTGATACAAAAAATGACTGCTAGTGAACTTGCAAAAAACACCCAACAAAGCTTAATGCTTACACTTCTGATTAGGAAATCAGGTGTGTATAAATATATGCATCTGACACAAAAAACATTTGCATATTTTACAGATAGACTCCACGTGATATTTGAAACTATTCAGAGCGCCAGAATTGCACAGAGATTTGAGTACACATGAATTCAGTCAAAAACTCACCCCATAACCTGGAATTCCTAGCTCTCCTCCAGGTCCCATTCCTCCGGGATGTCCCTGATAAACCCAATAATCAGTGATAGCAAAATGAGCTTCCTTTTAGAATATTGCAGCAATATAAACTTTACAAATTCATCTTCAGACACTGATATTTGAGAACCATGGATTACTTCCTTGTTACTTTTAACTTCATTTGTTCATAATAAAGATCAAAAGGATCTGAGGCTTTCAGGACTGTGGAAGAACTTCATGTGTTCAAGAGACACAGTGCTGCACTCCATGGCCACAGGACTGGACCCTAGAGTTGCAATTTAGACACATATTGGATGCACTGGGTTTTGCATTTGCCATCACACAATGTGAAGCATGCATGGAGAGCTTGTGATGAGTTCATAATGTTAGTGGAAATACCCTTAAATCAGTTAACTGCAGATTAGACACCCATTCAATAGGGCTATAGCAGTCTTCACCCAAAATGCTGTGTTTTGGCCATAACTAAGGCTTTATTTATGTAATGGCAAAGCCCATGATTTCTGTTCTTGGTGTCAGAAAGGTTTAAGAAACAGTAACATAAATGAAGTTCCATCTTGACTGCGGAGTATGTGTACTCTGTGTGGCACGCCTTGCCATCCTGCTCTCTGATCGCCAGATCAAAAACCCAATGAGAGCAGGAGATTACTTCCTGCTGGTCCATGAGTTTCTGTCTGGACAGGTGCATAGGTCTCATTCTAACACCAGAAGGCCAGGGCACACACTGGCAGACAGGGGTTGGGAAAGTCTAGCATAAACACTATCTACATCTTTAGCTGCAGATTTTGCTATTTATACATGGTACATCTGTGTCTTTCGTTCTTTGGTGGAGAGACAGGACACTGCTAGCTAAACCACAAATGCATGAGCTCTTAAATAAGCATATTGTGTACATACCAAGGGGCCTCGAGTTCCTCTTGCACCTTTGGGACCAGTTTTTCCAGGTTGACCAGAATCACCAGCAGGACCAATTTCTCCAGGAGGGCCAAGCTGCCCTTTTTCCCCCTGTTGGTGTTATTTTATTAAAAATAGAGATTGATACTACATTTCAAATGCAGTTTATGCCTAATCAAAGTGCATAACAGCATTATTTAAAAGGAATATTACATTTGCATGTTGTTTACTGTAGTTCTTAGGAAGTCTAAATCCAGAACTCTGTAGGAAAAAAAATCTACTAAAACCTGTCTTTCTTTTTTGTTCAGCCAGAGCTGAACTTTTTTTTTATAGCATCAGAAGCTGTTCTGAGTTGCACATCCTGATTCAAATTTAATATTCCTAGGGTCCCAAATGCTACCAACCACAAAATAATGATTACAGTTGCTATATCTAACAATTTTAAAAAATCGCTTGGGAAGTGAAAGAAAACAGGCCTGGACTTAGGTTGAATATCTTACCATTAGGCTGCAGTAAGAAATCAACATATGAAACCTACTGATGTCTTTCAGGGTGCTGACTGGCATTCATCTGTGTCGAAGAACTAAGTGGAATTATTTTGTAATATAAATTCAAGTTTTAGACAAAAGGAATGGAATTTGGGAAGATGAAAAATAGTACCTTCTTTCCCAGACGGCCCCTCTGACCTGGGTTTCCCAGTCTTCCTTCAGGACCCTGTAGATTTATGAGGGAGGCGAAAATAAATGATTGAGAAAGGCCCTGGAAACATGTTTAAACTTTCCAAAGTGGATAACTAAGCAGGCTTTTGTTATACAGAGAGGTGGGAGGAAAAATCTCATTAACCGTCGCTATGAGGAAGTTAGCATGGCTGTTTCAAGTTACAGCAGAAATAAATGGGCAAATAGAAGGGATCACTTATCAAACCAGTGAAAATGAACTGGATGTTAGAAAAAAAAAAAAAGACAAACACTAAAACACAATAAATCTTGCCCAGACAGAAAGTATTATTTCAGAAATAAAGTTGCTTCTGGATTTAGAGAAATGTAATGCACAGTTACTACTTAAGAAAACCTTGGGGTTGTCAAGTGCCAAGAGCAGGGCCATGATGAAATCTGCTGCAGAGGAGAGACCTAGCTCAGTTGGAGCCCTTCCACTGCCAGCCCCATGGTGGTTGTGTAAGTGGGTGTGCTGTCTGTAAATGAGGGCTGCCATAGAGCTACAACCTCCCTGCCTCCTGGGTCACTTCAAAAATGACCCTCGGAAAGGGCTGGAATTGTCCAGAGCAAATTTGTCTCAATTTATCCAGTAGCTCTATGAAGGCAAGGAGGTAATTTAGCTTTAGTTTTGGGAAAGGTGAGATACACATACAATATTTTTGAAGATATTGTGGTGATGAGCCTGGGTAAACAGAATAGTGAAGATCATTTGTTGCTTCATTAGCTTCCTTAGGATAAGGAAAATGTAATGTTGCTCTCACCCCCAGTAAAACTCCCCAGAAGGAAATTTCCTTGTTTAGACCAGGATGTTGTGATCTGTCCACATGTCTAGAATGAGGTCAAGCCAAAACTGTGATACAAACACCCCGGATGCTGGGGAGGATGAATGGGGAGTGAGGCAGCTCTGCAGCTACATTTGGAATGCATGGAACAGAAACATGAAAAATACACTTCTAACCACATCCTCCCAAACTCTGAATCACCAGACCTGCCTGTCTCACTGAGGCGCAGCAGTGTTGTTGGTGTTGTTTATTCTATACAAGTATAATTACATTCAATGCAGATATATCAGGGCTGAGCTATTTTATGATAATTTTAATGTACGAAACATTCTTGCTTCTCCAGAATTGTCAGTCCAAAAAAAGAAAAAAACTCATGGGGATGTTACTGTGCCAGAAACATCAACTTTTCTGCCCACCCTAAGCTGTGGCAGTTGAATTTTTATTCCTCCACTAGAAGAGTTGTTTGCTGCGAAGAGCCTAGGACTGAAGAAAGCAGATTGTAGTTCTGAGGCTGAGGATAGAGAGGACAGTGCTCACAGCTGGTGACAGCTGGCCCTCCAAACTGCTGTTTACTCATACTCCATCATCACATAAGAGCTACAGTGAAGACAGCCAGGGGATTGTGAATGAATTTTGGGTGAGGGAATCTGATGTCTAACTTGAGGCTACATACTTGCTTTAGAAGCTGTGCTCTAAAAGATTAATTTACTTAAGTAGTTGCATAAGACTTCAGCAAAATAGATTAGATGAATGGATTGTAGTTGCTAGGCACGATGCCAGAACAAACAGCAAACTGATCTAACAGTGTTAACTGTGGATCCCCAGGTTCATTTGCTTTTTGACTTACGTGTGCATGCTGCCATTTCTTTCCATCTGTCATTTCTAGCAATTGGTGATCCTCTTGTGATATGTCTATTTAATTCCTTTCACAAGAGCACCAAAATCTAGTTAGTTAAGGAATAAGTGCTTTTTAAGAACAAAAAGAATTTCATTATCCCATTCTTCCTCCTTTTTTTTTCCTTTTTTTTTTTCTCTCTCTTTAATTTGTTTTATATACCTCACTGCAGGCCTACTAACAAGAAAAGAAGGCTCACCAAAGCACAGAAGCATCAACTGAAGAAGGGCTGCCTGGCATGATAGTCCCTCTCTTCTGGAAGTCAGCTTCAGTATGAGTTGGGCAGCATTCCTAATAATGTCTTTACATCACCTTGACAGCAGTAGAAAGACCACTGCTAGGAAAGGCAGACCATCCTCCCATGGCAACTGATCACAAATCAGCAGTAGGTGTTGTTTAGATTATGTGATACCTACTATGATGTGATACTTGTTTTAAGTAACTTTTGAACTGCTCCTTGAATCTTAACAAAGAAGACCCTATAATCCACACCAACACTTTAAGAAATCCCGTGCTGTTGATGTCTGTGCTGCAGTAATGTTGTAAATAAAGACACCTTGATGTTAAATACATCACTTCTTCTAGACAAGTTAGTTTTAGTCGCTGCTGTTGTTGCTAAGGTCTATAAAGTTAAGCATATATATTTGGTGAGAATATTAGCACAGAATATTCAATTGGAGCCAACACCTTTGTGCTCAAAGTTCTGGAGTTTCATTATTTACAGTGCTCAAAATGGCAATTCTTTGCCCTAGAGAACTTCTAATCTAAACTAAAAACTAAACAGCCCTCGGACAGTAAGCAAACCCATTAGTAGGGGAAGATACAAAGCAATGAGAGCACTATTTGTGATTGTATATGCATCCAGGCAGATTCTTTGGACATATTTTTAAATTTAGAGAATGATTCAATTCTGTGAAATTACCCCCAGTCTCCAAATTAAGGTGAGGATAGAACCTAACAACAGAAGGTTGTCTGAAGAGACCTCAAGTGAGAAAATCCAGGCTGTGTGTTGTATGTGTTGAGGTAACAAGTGTAAGGAACTAGTGTCTGCTGAAAAATCCCAGATTTAAAACAGGGAAAACATTTATCTCTCCAAAATTCCAAACTACATAGAAAGGGTAGACAAGCTAGTTTAAAGATGGTAATCTCTCAGTGAAAAGGAAAACAAGACAAAAATAAGTAAGCAAAATTTAAAAAAATTACTAAAATGCAAATGAAAAAAAAAAAAAACACTTAATATTGAAAACACTTACAGGAATGCCCATTATGCCAGGTTCACCAGGGGGTCCAGCATTTCCTGGTGTTCCCATCTCCCCTTTTTCACCAGCTTCTCCATGAAGTCCCTGTTCTCCAGGCTCTCCCTAAAGCAACACAAAAAATCTTTCATCATGTTACAGCTCCAAAACTTATTCTCAAGAAAAGAGAATTCTAAACCTTCAAGTTCAACCAAAGGAAAAAAAAAAAAAAAAGGAAAAAAGAAAACCACCACCACCACCACAACAAAAACAGCCAAAAAAAAAACAAAACAAAACAAAAAAACAAAAAAACCACAACAAAAAAAACAACCACCCAAAACAAAACAAAAAATCCACTGCCATACTAGAACTAATGGGAGTCTTTCCAGTAAAGGCTCCAAGCTAAGGTAAAGCCTTTTCTACAGCTGATTCAAACTCATTCAATAGTCAGGTTTTGCCTCATTCATCTCCTACTACTGTGAGGGCATAACATCCCCTGTCCTTGTACCTGTCATAGTCCCTGGCACTGTACTGATCTGATACAGAGAGTGAAGCATTGGGCTTGCTCTGTCTGGCACGATGTTCATAAGTGAAATAAGCTGCACTGAGTTCTGCACTTCGAGTTCCTCTGCCTAGCCATTCAGTTTCACAGAGCAGGTCTGTGCCATTTAGGCTTATAACACACAGGGCGTTCCATGGTAAAATTACGTGCACTCAAATGGGCTCAGCTGAGTTTGTGTAATAGAGAGTGGGGGGAAAAAAAGGATATCTAAGCCTTTAAATTAATGACTGCTTTACATCTGCTAAAAAAAAAAAAAAAAAGAACCTACCTTTGGGCCATCTCTTCCCTGAACACCATCTTCTCCTGGAGGTCCTGGTTCACCCTTACAAAAAGGAACAGTTAAAAAGAAAATTATTGCCACTGACTGAACTTCTCCAGACTTCTTTCTGCCTCAGCTTTACAAACATTTATTATGATTTTGGACTTTCTGGGTCATGGACAACTTTTATGGTGCTGTGATAGTTTATTTTGCCTCCATTTTTCACTTATTTACTGTGACAGTAACAGCCCTGTGAACCCGGAGCACCAAAAATCATAAAAAACAATCAGCATTAGAAGAAAAAGACATGGCTATGCTGGTATAACAATCAATATTTGGCCATTGGCACCGAGATTGCTCAGTTTTGGAGAACAGAACATGTAATTACAGTAACTTCAAAAATACACCTATTCTGTCCTAGATTTCTATGCTTCTGTGGATAACTACTGTGTTGGTATGTTCAGTCTTGGGCCATGGAAAACCTCATTTACCATCAGTAACCACACCATGACATTTTAGAATGTTTGCCTTTCTTGGGGGCCTGATCTTGAAAGACAGCGGCACCTCACAACTTTTGATGCAGATAGTAGAAAAGCAAATGTGAGCTGCCCTCAACTAATAACAAGGTATTTCAGTCATAGAAGTATGGTAAGGATGGAACTTCCATGTGGTCTAGTATAAGAACTTACTCTTCAACAGCAACAGATGTAATTGTAGAATGCAACCTGCTGGAGATTTTGGCCAGGAGGAAAAGATGACAGCAAGGAGCTAATGGGACATTAGAGCAGCTCAGTAGGAAGGCTTAAATTTGAAAGGATACAATTTATGCCCTTTTACAAGTGACCTGGATAAAAATCTGTCTCTAGCACTTGAAAAGATTTTTTCATCCTTCAAAGGTAGGCAACTATCTGAGTCACATGAAAAAGGTAAGACAGACAGACAGAAGGAATAAGCAGGTATACAAGTGTTTGCTGAAATCGAGTGCTGATTGAACTCATTCAGCACAGCACCAGAAGCAAATCATCTGCATGAGATGGTGGTACATAGAGGTACCCTGCTCTGTTTGGGCAACAAAGTTCCATTATTTTGTCTAACTGCTACAGGGAATTACTGTCATTTTAACAGCTGGGCTGGACATCTTTGTATTTAGCTCCCTGCTGAAACCCATCATTTCTCACTGGCACCTAGAAATATGTCAGCATTATAATCCATGCTCTTTTTAACTTGCCACAGTATTGCAAATGTTCTTTTAAATGATATATTAAAGTACTTATTAAATTATTTTCATAAGTGAAAATTTTCTGACATGTCTGCAATGTATTTTCGTTTTTGGAGGAACATTCATGCCGACAGCTCACCCTTAAGCCTTGGTCGCCAGCTTCTCCAGCCTTCCCAGCAGGTCCAGTGTCTCCCTGAAATGTCACAAGAAAATTGAGTCAACGGATGGCAAGGGACGATATTTCTAGCAGCAATAAAGCTTACAGATAATGCAGTCATTATGACAATACTTCTTAATGGCTCACATCCTTTATCACTCTCTGCTTGGTTAATGAGTCAAATTGCTCAGATTTGCTTATATGGAAACTGAAAAAATTTAAATAGTCCAAGACGATATATTTTCAGCACTTACCTTTGTGCCTGGTTCTCCCTGCAGTCCAGGTTCTCCTTCAGGGCCAAGAGGTCCCTGCATGGTACAAGAGCTACTGTTACACGTGGTCATTAGTAATTTTGCAACTACTAAATAATACAGCCAAAATACAAGTATAAATATGAAATGAAACACTTGGAAAATTGCATGTCTGAAAAATTTAAATAAGAAAACACAGTTGTTTGGTCTTCCTGGAGACTGACAGAAGGAAAGTACGGGGGAGTTTAGAACTGTACCGTAGATGAATAGATTGTGAAGACACAGCAGCACCACTAAGCTTGCAACTTTCACCATAAATTACTAGCAAGCTGAGTAATAATCAACCTTTTCAAATCTTACTGACAACTCTGTCACTGTTTTGGCTTGGATCCAAGTAGATACAGTCTTTGGAAGACAAATATAGAGGTTTTCAGATTACTTCTTCTAGAATTTACATTTAAACCTTTTTTTAAAAAAATATTTTCAACAGACAGTCAGAAGACTGGGTTCTGGGTGATTGGGAAAGTGCACTTCTCTGAATAAGCCAAATCCTTCATGTCTCAAGTGACCTCACCCTTCAGCTACTTTATTGCAAATGTAACTAATACATTCTGTCATATTTCTTTCAAAGAGTTATTAAAAACAAAGCAAAAAATAGAAGCAAAAATTAGCAAGAAGATTGGCTGCAGCTGCTTTTCTTTATCTACTATTTGCAAAGACTTATGATTAATATCGTTCCAGTTGCAAACTCCCAGTCTTGGACAAGCTGTCTAACTGCAAGGAGGATGTTTCTCGTTTCTCTTGAATGCTGATTGCTATAGACGTCATGACCGCATGCCTGACAACAGCTCACAGCAGAAAGAGGTACTTATTTTGGAAAGCCTATCAGTAAGAGAGGCTCTCAGTAGCTCATGGTATTTAAATCAACTACAGGTAATAAAATAATTTGTGCACATTTTCCAGGCATATTCTGTTGCTTGAGTGTTTCTAGTTAGAATACAGATAATTAAAAAAACTCACCTCAAAGCCCATATCTCCAATTGCACCAGCATCCCCTGGTTGTCCTCTTGGACCCTGGCATTAAATAGAATTTTGGATGCATTATTCAATTAATATTAAATTAAATTTTAGAGCCTTGACTTTGACCCTTCAAAACTATCAGCTGGTATAAAGAAATGTATTTCACTGTTTCCTCCTGAATCCTCAGTGTATGTAAGTACCATGACTGCATACAGTACTGAAGCCCTTATTGCCAGTCTTGACACGCTAGAATAACAGATTTCCTAGAATAACACAGATGTCTCTTCTTACAGACTAAAAGTAAACTATTATCTGAACTAAGCTCTCCTCCTGATTAACTGAGACTTTGTTTAATTAAGAATTGTTAGACTGTCTGGTTTGGTTTGTGGAAAAGCCTACAGTCTGGTACAGAATTAACTGGAAGCAACTACTGTGGATTTAGCAAAGTTTAGACAGAACAGTCACTGAGGTGTAATGGAGTAAATGCTGGGGCCTTTTTGTTAACATCAGTAACTATGCTATAAGCACTTTCTTGCAAGGCATGCCGGTAAGTAACAAATTGATTGCAATTACACACCTATGGATTGCTTCCTAAGGCAACATTCTCAATCTCTATGCACCTAAGATTGCTTATTTCTGGTCACTGAATGGGATTTGCGTTCTTTGGGGAGCAGAGCTTGCCTGTAAGAGCTTACAGCTGATTCCATTGCCACTATGAATGTAGAGACAGATCATTGCATTCAATGGTGCATGTGTCCCAAAGCGTAAGTTTGTCTCAGGAGTGAAGCTGTAATATCCCCATAGAGCTAAGCCTGCTGTATTGGTAACACATCTTTCCCTTGTGACTTTCAGGGAAATTCAGAAGGCAAACACAGAGCAAAATAGGGATGCCTTTTAGCCATTAATAGCAGATAGCTTGCCAACAAGAATTTTACTAAATTGTCTGAGAAGTAGGTAAGGTTGCTGTGTAATTCAGATCAAGCCTGCTACTACAAATGGTTCTAACTACCTAAGTTTCTCTGCTCCTCCATTAATAATTTGCATTTTTTTCTGCTCAGTGACAGGGCAAGAGAAACCATGTGAGCAGCTATTTCTTATGTAGTGATCAGCTGTTGGCAAAATCAAGCTGCTCACAAACACAGTGAAACAAAAGAGCCATGCATTTCATTTTGTAGTATCTTCTGTCATTTTCATAGTTTCTTTCTAGCTCCACAGACCATTTTCCAAATACATTTTTCTTCTCTAGCACTTGAGATAAAAATTTCACTCACAAGATTAACTTTTTTTGTTCTGACACTGCATGTATAGATTCTATATTGAAGAGCACTACAGAAATGTAGGTTGCTCAAGACTAGAACTTTTAGATTTAATAAGGCTAAAAGTCATTTCACACATATGAAAATTCAGGCTTGAAGGGAATAGCAGGAATTTTATATAATAGCCTTATATTACAAGGCTCTCAGATATTACTACACTCCTACAAGTCGACAACTGAAATAAGTCAGCAATTATATTCAAAAGACAATTTACGAAAATAAAACCTGTTAGCTGCTTTCTAGCCCTCCCAGCCCTGCAAGTGCAATGACTTTCTGTAAGCATGTCAGCCTGTGGATTAGTAGAAATAATATTTATTAATAATATAAAGCATATTATTTCTAACATTTCTAACAACAGTTCACTATCAAGATTTAAATTACCTGTATGCCCTTTACTATATAAAACAACATTACAGAAGAAATAAAATCACAGTTTTTGACATCTTTTACATTTCAGCACTACAGAATGGCAGCTTTCTCCCAAGTCCCCTCCTCTAAGAAAGTGCACAGTCTTTCACTGTATTTATACAATCTGACTTATCCCCAGAGATGGTGATGCGATAGTATTCCTATCATGGCTACACATTTCAGTACTTTGTATATATTTGCTGCAGAACCTGTACAATTGTCTGTTACAACATTCACCATGTAAAGTGAGTATGACTTTGAAATAATAATGATCAGAACAGGAATCCATTCAGAAGAGGAATGTCTGAGGTATATTAGAACACTCTTTTTATTATTGAAACTTTAATCTGCCTAATACACATGGTCCTTGAGTTCCTGAAAAACAATCTTAAGATATCCGAAAACACCACCACTAATCTGTATTGGTACACAAATCTACTAAATCTGTGATGTAGATGTCTACCCCAATGCAGAGCAGAGCAACCTAGCACTGCAATCCAAATTTTGCCATGCCCTTCTATATTGTACATGCCTTACTATAGCCCTTCTCAGCCTAATTAACACGTCTCTATGTGCAAGTTACACCAAAGCAAGAGAGGCAGACTCAAGTCCTGTAGTTATCCAACAATTACCCCACAATCCTTATCCATGCCCTGTTGACAACACCAAATCTTGGTAAAACAGAGTTTGAGTTGCTAGGGAATTCAGTACAATACTTGGAAAAAAATTTTAAGCAGGCATAAGAATCAACTTACTGTCTCTCCCATTGGTCCTCTGTCTCCTGTGGTTCCAGGAGGCCCAGGCAAACCCTCAAAGATTAAAATAAAATGAAGGAAAATAAAAAAATCATTTGGAAGCAGGCTGTTTTACATTCTATGCAAAACCACTTCCCTCTCTCATTTCTGCTCACTCAATTACTTGCTCGAAATACTTAAGCCTCATTTCGGAATGACATGCATCACCACATCAGTAGCCCTTGTGGCAGGTGAGGAAGTCCCAAACAAACCTCTCCACTATTTCTTTTACATAGGGATGGATCTTGGCTGACCCACCATTTACCAGACCTGCATTGCTCTCCTTTGTCTCAGGTGCTGCTGGTGTGTGCAAACTGGGCCTACCCACAACCATATGAGTGTCCTGTCCTACAAATGGTACTTGAGATTACCAGTAAGATTCATACCCCAACTTCCTTTCTGTTTAACCTGGCTCACAGCATATCTCACATGCCCTTCTAGAAACTTCATCTGTAGAAGTACTAGTGCAGTATTTTGTACTTTGCAACAAATGTACTAATTCCCATCATTTCAACCCAATGACATTTTACTCCATTCTTCATTCTGTATAAACACAAATCTCAGTGAAGGAAGAGAGAAGGAAAACCCACTGTCAAAGCTGAGAGGGAACAGGCTTACAAATCTGACCAGAAGAGGCAAGAGAAGTGCAGTGGCAAACAGCATTCTGAGTCTTAGCTTCAGCCCAGAATCACAACCATTACTGCTTTTCTTCTGTTTTTTTTGGCTTCCTTCCTTCTTGAATATCCCCTACCATTTGGATTCATTGATAACCTTCTTTGTAGAAGATAGAAAATAGAATCATAGAACTGTGCAGTTTGGAAAAGTCCTTAAAGATTATCAACTCCAACCACAGCCTATCTTAGATATCCATTGAAAAAAAGCTCTAGATGAGGAATTTTCTCCTATACAAGTGGTATACATATTATATATTTTTCTATGTTTATCTCAACATTGATAGTACCCATTTAGTTTAAAATCTGTCAAGTAATTTTCTATGTCACAGTGACGACTTCTCTTAAAACTACAATAAAATCACTTGCAAAGCACACTCTAGCCCCTCCACACTACATACAGCTGCTGTTCTGCTGCACTTTGCAATCATACTATACTCTGTGGACCATCATCTGTGATAGCACTGGTCTGCTAGCACACTGCCATGTTCACAGTTACTCACACTTCTGCCTTTGATTCTTTGTACAAAAAATGCATGTTAGTTTCTAAATATGCTCTAAAATAATAATAATAAAAAAGTATGATATACATGAATGATGATATTTTGTGTTTTGGAAGAAGTACTAGAGTATTTAATACTCACAAGTGCTCCTTGATCTCCTCTTTGACCTGGATTTCCTGCTTTACCCTGGTCAAAGAGAGATTTTTAAAGACGTTGCCCTATGATAATTTTGAAGAACAGGTCAGAAATTGGTAGTAAATACATTAAGGCTTAATGCAAAGACTGGCTCCAATACTTACAATGAGCCCAGGAGTGCCTTTCCTTCCCGGATCTCCTCTTTCTCCCTGAAAAATAACAACATATGAGTTCTATTGCCATTTGCTACATAAGCTGCATACAGGCAATATATATTTAAATGCTGGGTAAGTGCAGAAATTGCAGATTTAGGCTTAGATGGTCTTCTACTACAGTTAAGGAGTACCTGGAGAAAGCAGAAGTTTGCCTGTCTCCTCCCGGACTAAATGAAAATTTATTACAGCTTTCAACATGTTGACTTTCTGGGGATGGCATGTGTATTGTCTATCACAGTTTATTCACGTTTTGTACTATGCTGAGCAATGGAAGCACTCACCTTAATACCTTGTGTACCAGGCTCTCCAAGAGGACCATCTATACCTCTAGGCCCCTGAATATTGAACAAGTGATTAGCAACATTAATTGTGAATTATTTTGTATCAATATATGCAACATAAGCTCTAGGAGACCAAAATCTATTTTGTTGTCTGTAACACTGAAAATTGACAGGATGAAAAGCAATTTTCCTTGCATGTTAAGTATAAAATAAAGCTTCAAAAAGTAAAATTATTTTCTGGCTTGCTGTAACGTAAATTTTAGAATAAAGATATATATGTTTTTAACTATGCAAACAAGATACCTAGGAACTTCACTGGACCTGGTTTGCAGCCAGATATTTTCTGCTCTTTTTCATCCACTTTGCATATATGCAAGGCATATTTAGAAGTACCTAGATGACTACTGGTTATATAAGGCACTTGCTTTTGGACTTCAGTTGTACACAAAAAAAAAAAAAAAAAATCCTGCTTGCTTGTAAGACTTTAAAACAGGCAGATAAGGTTCTTTCATTAGTAAACCAGCCTGAGGCAAGATCGAAACCGATTTATTACCTTGCATCATGAACTGCTGTATAATCAAACTAAATTATCTACTTTAAACTGACATTTTACAACCAATACATGAACAATGATAGCCTGTTTTGTTATGCTCGTTATGCTATGGTATTTCAACATAGCAAATATTTATTGCCAAAATGGTCAGACACAATTATTTAAGATTAGCAATCTTAATTCATTAGTTCAGAAGCAAACAAACAAAAAATCCTTAAAATATGTAATGAGTAAAGTGGAGAAAAAACTGTTTATTCATCCTGACATTGGAGGGTATTTCCATAATTCTAAAACCTCTTTGGGTACAGAAACAAAATCAAAACTAGTTAAATTCAATCTAAAACCAACAATTGCTTTAAAGCAAGAACTAGACAAAAATAACAGAGCTAGGTTCTTTACAACATATGCAGTGGGAGAATGAGATGACAGCTTTTCTGGTGGCTTCCTGGCTGTGCTGTGCTGCTATCAAGCAGAGAGAATAGATACATTGCTAAGGCATTGCCTCGATGAAAACGATTTGCATTTTCAGAGTGCATTTCTGAGTTACAGGAAATCTTATTTCTTGGGTCATGGTTTTTAGTTCAGGGCATTCAATCACATCTGATTACAAAGTGTTTTAATAAGTAATAAGATAGGGATTCAAAAAGGCTTTGTTGGAAGCATATCTGATTTTATTCACTTCCTTCTCAAAAAAATGTTTGTGACATCCCTGCCCCTACTGAGCTTTTTGATACAAAACATAAGAAATTTCTGTCTGTTAACTTGGCTATATTGATGCACATCAAAGCCCCTGTCAGAACAGATGAGCAGCCACCTACTCTTCTCTGGAGCTACAGTAAAACCAAAGGCTGATGGGTACCTCGGAAACATCATGCATTCAGGTTCTATTAGGTTTTGCTCTTGAAATGGAAATGTCTCAGGAAAAGTCCTTTCCTGTGGGCTGATACATAATTACATCCTCTGGCCAAGCCAAACTATCCCACAAGAAGCTTATCCGTCAGCTTTTCAGCACTGCTGCTTCTGGCCAGCATGAGCAGTGCACAGGAGCCACAGGGCAAGGAAAGGGAACAGGATGGGAGTTGTTAGAATCCTTCTGATACCTCAATAGGCTTGGAACCAGCTTTTGTGAGGCAATCCCATTGCTTTCCTGGCCCCTTTTCTTGCTTTGGTCAGTTAGTGACTGAGTATTTACAGACATTTTCTTAAACCAGAGGAGAAAAAAAAAGAAACCACAAAACACAGCACTCCTGGTCTCTGTAAGGCTCTTGCTGTGTGCGATCACAATCCAAAGACAATTGAAGTCTGTGGAAATCCTGGTGACTTCAGTGCACACAGAGATCAGAATCAAAAGACTAACAGTGCTTTCAAGAGTGATGGAGACCTTGATGAGAAAAACAGAAGTGCACCTAAAGTTTAGATTATGTAACTGTGTAACTATTGAATTACTGTACAGCATAATCTAAAAGAAAGCTAAACATCTTGATCAAATTAATGTCAGGCTGCTGCTCTGCACTTTTTCTGTAATAGATGACTAAAATGTACACAAAACAGGTTGTGATGAAAACTTAAGGAAAACTTAAGCGGGTTTAGAGTCCAGTGATCTGATATTGATGTTAGGTGAAAATTCTCCATGGAAGGGGGAGGAAAATGTGGAGTGGATCAAGAAATGGAGGACAGAGGGAAATAGAAGCTCAAAGAAGAGCGAAAGAATATTCTAAGCAACATACGGAAGAGAAGATTCAGAGCACTAAGGAGAGCAATTGCAGAAAAGTTTTATTCTTTCCTAGACTTCTTAGGTACATGATCTGTTATTTGCCTTTCTCCGTTCTTCACGGTGCTTTTAAGGAAATAGAAACTCAAAATGACATATCCAAGGAGAAAAACGAACGTTTTAATTGTACACTTTTGAGTAATAAAGAATTTTCATTCTAAATTTTATCTTCTATCATTAAGAATATTAACAGATAAATTGTTTTAAACACTTGTCACTTCTTTTTAATCACAACGAGGGTTCACAACCCATAGTTTGGGAAATAGGCCTGTAAGGAAAATGCATAGGATTGTCAGTTTGAACTTTGTGCGTAGTACACTAAAATCTTCCTGCTAGTCACATAGATACTGCTACACTGACAGCCCATTCATTAGGAAGAATGATCACTAATGATCACTAACAATCAAGTGAAAAGGCCTATCATTCAAAACACCAACCTTTCACTAAATAACTTTGAACTGAAAGAAGTTAACAGAAACCAACACAATGATCAGCTCTTGGCTCAGGATTTTGCCTGCCTTTAGCCAGTCACAGAGCAGAGTGTAGGAATCCAGGGGAAAGACAATTGAATGTTCTATCAAAAACACACCATAACATTCCTATGAATGTTACTACTGTGATGCACTGTCGGCACAGATCACTTGGATCTCTATCTTTTCCTACTGCAACTTGTACAGAATGAGATATACATATAACATTTTGCTGCTATTTAATTTAGGTTGCAGCTAAGCTGAGAAGTAAATCTGCCAAAAAATTGCTACTATTTTTTTTCCAGTTCTCTTACTAAAATGGAACAAACTGCATTGAAAACTTAAAGATAATAAATAAAGCAAGAAGAAGTTCATCTAAGAAGGAAATAGGAACCAACCAATCCTTTTTGTTTTCCTCATTCTGTCTCCTAGATATAAGAGTGAAAATAACACTATGTATGCTAAGTACGCCATCAGATACATCTCTCGCACTGAGCAGAATTACAGGAAAATAAGAGCATAAAAATAACTGCTTTTAAGCTTTAAAATACTAAGCATTAGCCTGGAGAATACTAACTGCTCAGAATCTTAGCAGGTATTAAGAACTTTACTTTGGTCTTGCTCATGAAGTCAATCTAATGATACAAGAACACTTTCTCTCAAATTAAAGGAAACAGTTGAATTCAATGGAGATTATGGTACACACAAAATGCAGTATCAGTCTCTGACATTCTAGTTTTCTTCTCCATACATTAACACACAAGAACTAAAAACTTGGCAGCCATAGAGTCACTGCCACAATATTGTTACCAGTATATCCTTCAAGACTACTCTTCCTCTTGGCCATAAGAGAGATTCCTTCTCCTTGACACAGCTATTTCCAATCTCCAGAGTATCATTCTGACACTAAAGAAGCTACCAAACGGTTGCCCTTCTGTACTTTCAAAAGATCAAATGGTATATAAGAAAAAGTGAGTCACAAAAGGACCCAGCTCTATGTGATTTTCAAGTCTTGAGCATGAGCTGAGAAAGCTCTGTGCTGAGTGGCATGTTTCCCCAAAACCCCCAGTGTGCTCCACAGACTCCCAGACAGCCTCCCTTCAGCTGGCCAGAACTCTCCAGTGTGTTGGAGACTGAGCAGCTGGATGCTCTCAGCCAAAAGTATTCTGCTGGGAAACTTTGGATGTGAACCGGTTGCTGAAAGATCCGTAATTTATGGGATGAAGGAATTCCACTCTGTGACAGTGCAGAAGTAAAGGTCAGAGCTCCCAAGGGTTTCTGCAGATTCCAGCTGTGAAGATGGGACAATTTCTTGTTTCAGTACACAATAAAAGGAATTTTCCATATGCTTCTATTTAACTTCTGTATGTGACCGCGGTATGCATTTTTCCAAGTCCTGCCACACAGAGCTTTGGGTTCTTACACTTGTCATTCTGAATCCAGTGATGACAAATCCCAGATTTCAGGGGCCTCCGAATATTTTCCTTATGTGTTTGGGTTTGATATTTTGATTTTGAGAGTTTGAGCTTCAGTGGGAGTTTGTTCACAGAGCATAAAGACTTGGGTCTGCTCCAAGACACTTTTCTATGAAGCATTCCTAGTCATGTTGGATGTAGGCAAAGGCACAAACCACAACTCTGTACGACTTCCACAGAACTTGGGATGTTTGGGATTTATTTTGAGTGATCTTTAATTATAAGCAATGTACTCCATGGTGTGCTGCCAAAATCATAAAGAGACACCCTCAAAAATTCTTGTCTCAGTTGGCAGAAGATGTGACATTCCTTAAATAAAATACCTCCTACCTTCAAAACAGAATCTAAATTAAATCTGCTGCTGGGAAGGAGGAGAGCCTGGAGCACTCACATTCAAGCAGCATCTTGATCCCAATCCCAGCTCTGGTGATGCTGGCAGATGGACTATCAGAGGGAAGGATCAGAAGGGAAGTTTCAAGGGGAATGCTGTGTCCACTGGAATTAAAACATACTACCTGAAAGAAGTTTAGTCCCAGCTTCAGAGACTAATTACTTTTCAGCTGGCCTTTGAATTCACTGTATCCCATAGGTGACCAGCTGAGCAAACTCCAGTAGACATATGGCCTAAAGAATTCTCAAATATCAGCTTTGTACAGCGAAAACTGGGTTTGCATAATACATACTCTTCTGCATACTGCTGGCTTGCAAGTAATAATTCAGCAAAACACTTCAGCATGCATTTCACTTTGAGTCACGCTCCCACTGAAATCATAGAGAGGTAAATGCACTCATCTGGTTCACTGAATCAGACCACTGAAAGTAGTGCCAGGCTTCTGCTTATTTTCAGTCTCACAATTGCCTTGCATTTCTATTTTGGTATACATTTTCAAATCTGTCTGTAAAGTAAATGGAATATTTGTCTTATTTCTCATCTAAGCTAAAACAGAGAACCTCAATCCTGTCAGAAGGCTACCAACACAGGTTCCTGGGAGCCCCTAGGGCCTCCCTGTATCAAGCCTATTTGTAAAAACACTTTCTGAACACTTCAGAAGCTACTTTTCTGAAAGCCATTGGCTGGGATTGGACTCTACTGCTAACATAACTTCTGATAATTCGTCGGGCTCCATGTTTCTGAAAGGGAGGATGGGTTCTCAGCCTCTGCAGCTCATTAATGTTTCTCTTTGAATTTTGTCAGATATGTTGCATAAACAAATACATCTGCATTCTGAAAAACTGGCCTCAATTAACTCATTTTTTCTGGGCACTGACTGGTATGACACTTGCTCCCTACATCTCACATGTTCACGTGCTAATTTTCTGAACATAATTTTCTTTTCGTACAGGTAAAATTACCAAGCTAATACAGTCTCTTCTGACTTTGCTATTTCCTCGCTGAGCCACTGGGGATTTTTATTTTACATTCAAAAACATGAACGATATATTGATAAAGAAAACTGTTCCTAAAACACCCAAACAGATCAATAGTGGTCATAAATGTAACACTTTCATATTTGTCTATAGAAGATAAGGCTAGTAGTCATATTTGCTCTGGTCCTGCTCTCAGCTGAAATCAAAAGCAAATCCTCATTTAACTGAAACGTGAGGGGAAATGAAGATTGTATTTCTATCTAGGAAAAAATAGGAACTATCATATGTTTGATTTCACTACAAATAGTTGGAGTCCAGAGTTCAGAGGAACAACTGCACATGGGTTTCACATCAAATTTATATTGGCAACACCCTGCTCTAAGTACCATGAGAAAGCAGAATTACTTACCCTTCTGCCCTTAGGTCCCTGTGGCCCTGGTGGTCCCCTTGTCCCAGAAGGACCCTACATGTCAAATAAACTAATTATTTTCTTTGACATATAGATTTATAAAAATCACAAGGTTCATACACAGTGAGTAACAACAAGTGCAACCAAATCAAATTAGTAATTTCCAGTCACAGTTCAAATTAAATTAATTTATCTAGTAAAATCTGAATAGTAGTCTTTAAGTAATCTTATTCTGAATATGAAAGCATGATCTGTTGGATTACATTAATTCTGTCCAACATTCAAAAAATTCCTCAAAGGATACTCTTAATCCAGCGACATTATGTTAAAGCCTGTGTACTGTTGATCCACAGTGAAATTATAACAGTTATATACAGCAAATCATAAAATCATTTTTTAAATTAATAATCAAACTAAACACATAATAACATATGTAAATTGTATTAAGAATCAATGAATAAAATTGTTGTGCACTAATAAACCATCCTTATAAAGCCCTATGTCCCTACTTCTCTCAACTGAGTAATTTTTGAATGGGTGAGTAAGTGATATAATTACTTTTCCTATCTCTCATGGATTATCCTGCTACAGAGCAAGTGAACACCGTGTCTGACTGGACAAATTTTCATGACAGTTTTACAGATTCCAGTACCAGTTAGAAAACATTCATAACTCCAGCAGAGCAAAAAGGCAATTAAAAAAATTGTATGTTTTATATCAAATCAAAGCACTATTTTATACCTACAGGTAATCCTTCCGGCCCCACCGGCCCAGGGCCTCCTGGAGGTCCTAGGTAACCCTAGAATTGAAGTAAGTATAGAAAAAAGACACAATTTTATCAAAATTGTTATTAAAACAACAATAATAAAACCAGTTAGTTGCTTGAAAAATTGGAGGTAAATTAGTAAAATGCCAACTGATGCATTAATTGTTGCATCCTGACTTAGAACAAGCATTGCCCTGAGGAAACCAGTCTTCTCACTAGGGTGACACCCAGGGGCTGTCCGCAACTGCTGTGCAGTAGATTGAAGAGCTCACACTGGTTACCAGTCTGACTACTTGGTTACAACAGCAAACACAACAAATTGTTTGATCTACTTCCCTTCCTTTATTTCTCTCTTCTTTCAGTTCAGCGTGTTTTATTTTTTTATGCAAGCCTCCTGAGAGCCGTTTGATAAAACTTCTATTATTTTGCTTCTTCATTCGGCAGATCAGTTTGCAACATCAGCTGCTCAACAGTAGTCAAAATATTGCTAATGAAGCTTCCTAGGAACACATTATTATAAATACTATTATTTTCCATTAAATTTGCACAGTCAGAAGGCTTACAATGCATTACTGTTTTGGAAGGTAAAGTGCCTTTGTAACATAAATATGGACTCGACCTTACTTATGACTTACCATCACACCTTTCTCTCCAGGAGGACCTATTGGTCCTTGACTGCCTCGCTCTCCCTTTAATGAAAAATTAAAAAGAAAATAAAAGTGAGTGTTCTCTCTGAAACATACCTTGTCTACTATTCCTAGACCTGCTCTAACAATACAACAGTGATGCAAGAGGACTTTTATTAGAGGTGTCATTCACAGTTTACAAGGGACTTGCTAAAAGGGGAGCACATAACATCTCTGCTTTAGGGTCTTTCCTTTTCTTAGAAGTCTGCAGAAGAGATTTGGTACTTCACCAGTTTTTCTGAATTGCTACTAGCAGATCTCTCTGTTGCACGCACCACATTTATAATTCTGTTTTTAATCTATAATCCTCACCTCAGTAAGCAATTTTTTTCCTCTTTCCCTCATTTCTTCAGCACATTTTGGGAAAAGAACAGATCTAAAAGGAAGGCAGCCCTGAATCAGCTGCAGAAGCAATGGGAATGCGCGGCATAGAGGAGGTCTCATTCTTGTCCTATGTACTTTCCCACCTTTTATTCATATAACATCCAGCCCAACCATCATCTTGGCTGTAGATAATCTTCATTGCACAGACTACACATTTATTGTGGACAGTACACATGACATAGAGATAATGCAATATTTTGTTACATACTTCGAAGACACATTTCTTTATAATAAGTGTGCTCAAAGCTTGTGTGTCATTTAAATTCACACAGCATGTTTACATTGTAGTATGCAATCCAGAAAAGAGGAAGACAAGTTCTACAGAAACAGCACAGTAATGAAAATAATTATTGTACTGTGAAGAAGATTGCTTTCAATTGCTAATAGATCAATTATTCTTCTACTATCTCTTCCCCTCCCTCCTACTTAAACTAGCAGCAGTATCCCAAGATAATCTTCGTTGAAGTGGAGTATAGTTATGAACAAAACAAATCCTTTGAGACTGAATTCTTAGACATTATGATTAAAACAATATATGAGAGCAAATATGATTTTAGTTTTAACAAGAAGTACTTTCCATTGATAAATTTCTGTTCACATATTCACAGAAATTCTAATAAATTGCTAAGACTTTGCTAGTAAGATTCCTTTAAATAGCAACCACCAGTCTGGATGAAATAATTCAGCCCTGCAGGGCAGAAACACAAATGGTGCTGGATCATTCTGACAAAAAATTATGCTTTTATTATAATTGAAGCTGACATGCAGTGCTGTAATAGTTTCCTGTTTTTCAGTTTTAAAATATTTCACCTAAATAAAACCATGTCAAATATACTTAAGCTATTTATGCAGTTCCAGTCATATTGTCTGCCAACCTTCACTTTTATACACAACTGTTATTATATGGTAGAGAAAACGAACAACGTTACCTTTTTTACTCAGTTAATGCATATTTATCATTCTACTTCATCTATTAATGATGTAGCAGTGCTTAACCAATGACTGCTGCATGAAACAAGCATCATTTACAACAGTTTTATGAATCAATAGCAGTAGATAGTAAGGTGTCCTAACGTGACATATCAAATCTGTAAGCAACAGATTGCTGGTAGATTGGCAAATTCATTGCCAATTCAAATCAAGAACACCAGACACATACACCTAATAAGAGTATTTGGGCTTCTGTTTATGGCATCCCCATACACTGAAATACTACAGAAACGTAAGCTTTATCCACGGACAGCAAAACATCTCTCACTAATATTTGGTCTCCCCAATGGCTTTTAAAGTTGATTATTGCTGCTGAGTGTTAGATATGTTATTTATACCTTTTCACCGAGGCTTCCAGATGGCCCAGTTTCTCCTGGTAAGCCAGCTGATCCCTGGATAAGAAGTGTGAGGAATTATTAGTGCAGTGTCCATACCAGTTCATAGCTGGCAGCAGTATAGCACAACTCTCGATTCCTGAGAGCCTCTGCTCTATTTGTATAAGTGGTCCTGTGGGCAGTGAGGACTGCACAAGCTAACTGAGCTTAAAGACCATGCAAGGGGACGGCTGCAGCTAGACAAACCAATAGTAAATAACTACTGCTACAAATTGCGTTAATTCAATCATCGTACTGTGCTATCACACAGAGGTTACCTGTGATCCTACCATTGCAGTGCTGGAAGCTTTACAAACATACAGCTTGCTAGCAATACAGTCTGACCACAGATTTCAAGGGGAAATTCAGTAGAACAAAGTAAAAGTCAGTCAAAGTAAACATGATACTGGATCAGGTCTTGTCCATGATCCCCTAGGTGTTATAGCCCAAACAAACTGAAAATCAGGGGGAACAAAGTCTTCTAGTCCTTTTAAAAAGTGAAGTAACTCTCTCGTGAGGCTCTCCCACAAATTTCCCCTGTGCAGGATAAGTACCACCATATGAAATGGAAAGCAAGATACTAAGTATTCTTTTTCAAATCTTATTCCCTGTGCCTGCAAAATCTCAAACTAAAAAAAAAAACCAGAAAATCAGCTGAGAAAAAATATGAAATGCTGAGCTTGAAGAAAGAAGCACCCAGAGTACACTGCATATAACTGCACATGAAAGATGACAGAAACGTGAAAGCTTTCAGAAGCAGAATAAAGCATGAATGCACCAAGCCTGCAATGCTTTGAAAAGCACTGTGTAAATAAAATGGCAACAGGCACATTGGCATTAGTCTTTACATATGTCATGATGCTAGCTTAACTAGCATTAACCTGGCATTTAAGGAAGAATTAAAAAAAAAAAAGGAAAAGAAAGAAAAACATTTCTCTTGCACTCCATAGGCAGTTACATTCTTTTCATAAACCTAGTAATAGTTTGTTCCATAGAAATCATTTCATATCAGAAAGACAATATTCTACCCTGACATTTCTGTAATTGAAAAACAAAACAAAACTTTTAAAAAGATTCTTACTTATGTAATTTCAGAGGAGTTAAGGCCCAAGTAGTTTAGCATAACAGGTGCAAAGTAAGACTTTATGATTTCTTTTTATTTTCTTTTTTTCCTTGAACTGCTAGCTAGTCTGGAGATTCATAGCTTATATGTACTGCAATGAGCCATTGAGACAGTGACCCTGCAGGCTAACAGCACTGGCACAAATGAATTTCTGGACAGGCTAGAGAGACAAACAGGTTTCTCATTGGTTGCTAGAGCAATGTGCTGTGTGTCTGAAATTGTGCATTATGTTTCAGCCTAAGGTGTCTCTTGGCATCTGTCAAAGATCTATCCTGGTGATGCTGGCACTGAGGCAATGCTCGAAGGTCAGTGGCATGATCAAGGGATTTTGTGACAAACTCTGAGAATCAGAGCTACCACTGCCATCAGTATGACTTGTGGCCAACTGTAGGCCTCAATGCCAGGCAGAAATCAGCGAGACAAAGAATTACCCTGTACTCTTGTTCATCAAGATGAGGGCCGTGGAGGTATGATTTCGAAAGGCTGAAGACTAATCACTTCGATTTTCTCATTTCAGAAAGAGAAGACCTAATCACAGCCAAGACAGAGCTGAGATCTATTCTCCCTCCACAGAGGCTCCTGACATCCTAGTCAGTGCCACGCTGTGCAGAGGGCCAAAGACACTGATCAGAAAGTTGTGCCCTGCACCAATGGTGATGCATTAACTGGCCAAGTCCCTTCTTCAGGTCAGAATATTGTTTTTCTGAGTAAGTTGCTCTGAAGTGTAAGAGAAGGAATGATGAGGAACCATCAATGGAGAATGTGTTGTGTTACCCAGCACATCAGGCTTGTCCTACAAGACCTTTGAGTGAGAGGGCTAATGTTGGCTTCTAAGTCAAAAGTTTCCTAGATGCTGTTTCACAAAAATAAAGTAGTCAAAAAAAGTTATGGTAGAAACACCAGAAGAAAGTGGATTTCTGATGGTACAAAAGGAGGAAAAGAAACTGTGTATGAGTGGAAGCATCTATGTCTGGAAAGCAATACTTGAGATGACAAGAATTGAAGCCAAACAAATGGCAAAAGAGACAGGGACTTCAAGAGGAACTAAGGAGATAGTTTGTAACAGATAAGCTAAACCTTCATTCACCTCTCCTTTGAAAACAGAGGACAAATAACTGAGATAATGTTAGGGGCAGGTAGTAGCAGGACTAGAGAAAAAAAAATTTAGAAATATTATTTTACTTTTAAAAACAATTAGTAACATACAGTGAAGGGAAAGTACAATAAGAAAGCAAACATCTTGTCTCATTAATACCTTAGGCACAAGATATTTTCCCAATGGACCTTCTTAAAGACCATGTGACTTCTTAAATTTCAGTTTTGGATTGGTTTGCCATAGAGATCAGCCACTGAGACTTGATTGAGGTTTCTCTCCCTCTTATGTAAGAAAATCAATACACTCTAAATTCCATTTGTCAAGTCAGTGGTATTCAGTATCCCTTCAATCCTTTGGGGATCAGTGGTGGATTACAAAAATCAAGCCGAGAGTATTAGGCAATAGAAAAGCATAAAAAAGCAAGCTCTGAAATATTTTAAAAAAACCTCATCATAGTTTTAAACCTTATTATTAAAGTCATAAACTTTCATTTGCAAGGATTTATGTAAAACTCTACAGTGACAATAACAGCATTTTAGAAATCTTCTTGACAGGAGTATTTTTGTGGGAAATGAATCAAAGACCAGATCTCACAAGTAATACATGCCTAAGACAGACAAAACATCTTGCCAGCACATATGCTCCATGTTAGAAACTGGCCTGTAGTGGAATAACTGAAAACACGCTGTGTACTTAATGCAAACTCAAGTTTGGAGTAATCAATTGAAAAGCATGGTAGTAAGGAATGAACACTCAGCTGTTTCCAAAAGTGCTTGTGGAAGTTTGTATGCTAACATATTCCCATGTTAAGTGAAAATCTTTCCAAATTAATTTCATTAAGAATTCAGCATTTTCAAATGTCTCCATTCACCATTCTCTCAATGGCATCACACATCTTGCCACATTAACTTTCTCCTTTGAAATTTTTGGGGCATTTTCAATTAAGTTTCTAATGAAACTTAAATGAAATTTGTACTTAATCTGTACATTCTACTTTCCTCCAAATCACAGTCACCATCTATGCCTGCTCACTTTGACACTTCTTATAGGCCCATCAGCTTCATACTTCATGAAGACAGGGGGTTGGACTCAATGACCTTCACAGGTCCCTTCCAACCCTACAATTCTGCAATGGACTTCATATAGTTTGACACATATTTAACAAACAAACAAACAAAGAAACCTTAAGTGAGCAAATATTAAGGTTTAATATTTGATTTATTTGATGATCCTTGAAGACTCACATCAACTGTCTCTGTTATAAAGAGGACCAAGAACAAAGGATGAGAGGGGGAAGAAGAGTGGATGTTCCAACAGTCAGGTTCTGTTATTTCATAGCCGGCTGATACATAGAATACTTCTACTTCTCACATTATAGTAAGAATTTAAAATTGAGGTTTGAAGAAAGAAATAATAACCTAAGCTCAATTTTGCCAGCCAGACTTTATGGTACTTATAAGTATTTTTAAAAACAAATCCACTTGGACTCTGGCACCATAGGCACTACTTCTGGATCTGTACATGTACTCTTGTTCCAGATGTTACAGAGGTTAGTTCTGGACACAAATTAGGATGAAAGCACAATAAAGTGATTATGCTATCTGCTATTTGGGCTTCAAATCATCTGTAGTAGAAAAAGCACAGTTGATCTGTTAGTAGCCATGGAAAGTTGATACTTACTCATACTTCCCAGGCAGAAGTTTTACAGAAAGATAGGAAATGGAATTCAGCAGGGAGAACTGCAAGGCAGCACATTAAAGTGGTTATTAACTACAACAGCATCTAAAATTAAGAACTGGGAAAGATAAAACTTACGACTCAGAAGAAGCAGTATTTCCTTTCTACTCAGCAGTTTGAACAGTTTGGGCAGTAAGCTGGAGACAAAGGTGCCTAAATGAATTGGAAATAGACTACAGGATAGTAAGAAGGTGACCTAAATTAACTGGAAAAAAAACGAAAGGCTAAGTGAGTTGGATCGGTTTATCCTGAAAAGGAGAGAATGAAGGAAGGACTCAGTAATAGCTATCATTTGTAAAATGCTGTTTCAAGAGGAAGCAGATCACATTACGGAATTGGAGGAACTTCAAAATAAAAAGAGAGAAGTCCTGGATTGCTTGCAGGTCATGAAGCCCTCGTCCTTGGAGATTTTTAATAACTGGTTAGCCTATTAATTGTTAGGAGTGATATGGAGATAACATATTCTGCCTAAACACATAGCTACATGTCACCTCAAGGTCACCCGGAGCTCTGTGATTTTATGGAGGGCAGACAGAACGAATCTGCAAAATACATCTCAGGCTGAATGCAGCCTTTCAGATCATTTAACTGGAAACGAATTGCTCATTCACCAACTTGAACATGTTTTGGAAGACCCCTGTGACTACCTACAATATTCACCCATTATGAAAAAAAAAAACAAAAACAACCAGAAACAAAACAAAACACCAGAAGCAACTCTGGCAAATATTTTAACTGAGGTATTTTTTTAAGTAGTAAGATCCTGAAAGACCACGAAGCTAAACCTAATATACTACAGCTTGAAAGAAAACCAGAATTCATCATAAAGTTACTACTATAAATTAATCGTTCACTCTCAAGTGAATATGGAAATGAAAATAAAAGCAGCAAGAGAACACAAGCTTACTGCTTCACCAGTTTTTCCAATGTTTCCTTGGTCTCCTTGTTCTCCCTGTTAAATGCGGAAAACAGATGAGGTAGTTCATTAGAAAAGTAATTTCTTTCATATGTGTATATTCAAGCTCTCTGTTTTCCTAACAGACTCTTTATTTTCTAATCTACAGCAGCCAATTATAACTTTAGAAACTAAAATTATGCAACTGGTGAAAAATAAAAATAAATGTCGTCAGTTGATTTTATTTTTGTAAAAAATATGTAAGCTTTATCCTAGAATATTTATAAATTCTCCACAAAAATGAAAGCTGTATATTAATGGCTCACTGAACACTGTAAGTCAGCAAATACTATGAATGGATGATGTAATTTTCTTTTAAATCTTCCTGTTAGCAAATACAATTGCTTTGATTATTTCAGAATTGATTCAGAAGCAAAATGTTACCTGCTCGATCTATCAATAACTTTAACTTTGTTACGAAGTATTTTATTAGGAAAACTTCCATTTGAGTTCTATTTTAACACGTTCTTTTTCTCCTTCCAGAAATCCCATATTTTAAATTAGAAGAATTTTGTTCTCCTTCATAATGCTGCACATCATGTACCACTTTCCTACATATTTTGGAAGTAGAAGCTCAGTGTATATGTGCTACGACAACCCCAGCATTCTGATGAACAGTGATTTGGGAACTGTTGGCTCAGATGGATGCATGCATAACTCTAATCCTTTCAACTACACATCATTCTATATTGCACTGGATACATGTACACAGCTGATACTCCAAACACACACATTTCATACTTAAAAGCAGCATTTACCTTTAAACCTTCAAGTCCAGGGTCCCCCACATAACCTTTCTGTCCTGGTTTTCCCTAAAATAAACAAAATGAATTAGTATTTCAATTTCACCCTTGTTTCTAGTTGTGGTTATCAAACTACATATATTCAAAAAGAACAGTTTAGTGATATTTAGTACCTGCATTTGAATCCAGTGCATTTATAAACCAAAGTCAGGTATTCTTGACTTCCTATACAATTTAAGCTATGACCTACAAATTTGGTTATTTGAACAGCACAGCCCTGCCTAGACAAAGTTCGCCCATCTGCTCCAAGGGAAAGATCATGGTCCAAAAGTAAAGGTCAAGTGGGCTGGGGCTGGATCTTGAGATAGTCAATAATGAGATCATGCAGGTCTGACAATTGGAGTAGGAAAATGAATTCAACATTTTAATGATCCTGTATGAAGATGTGAATTTCTGCTAGAAGGAAGATAACAGATGTTAAACCACAGTGTTCTTTCAGCAGGCTGGTAACTGCAATTAGATTCTCCGTAATGATAGCTTTCCTTTCCATATGGTTGTTCTGAAACAGGAGTGATCAAAGGAAGAGATCCCAAAGTAGTTCTTTCAGGAAAGGACGTGACATTTCTAACTGGATCTTTTGCTCTGGCTTTTCTGTGCCTATATGTCCCAAAGATCAGAATTTGTGTTCGTTTCTGGGCATTCGAGAAATTCTTTATTTTAATTATATTATCAAAACTATATAATCCTAGACTTCTCATTAATCTTCTTTCTCTTGTGTTTTTTTTCCTCTCTCTCTGCCTGAGTGATTTCATTTTGTTCTGCAAGTTCCAACAAATCTCACTGATTTAGGAATAGGCATTTGTTTTGATAAATGGATTAGAACAAGGCACAACCAGAAATGCAGAGAGAAGAGTCTGTGAATACAAGTTCTGAGAAACCCAGAGCCGGCCAGTCATGTCTTTCCACAATGGTTAAAACAAGCATAGAACAAGCTATGCACTTCTGCAGGTTACTACATTGTGTTTTACTCATTTGGTCTGAAGAATGATAAGGTCTTTATGGTGAGCAGAGCGTAATGTAGGAATATTTTAAATAGAATTCATAGAAAGAAGACTAGCAACCACCATTAATGACCTTGATGGTTTTGGTCCTATCAGAGCTGAATTGCAGTTACAGATCATAAAGCTTTCCTGGCTATTCCATCCCAGTTACCTGTGAGCAATGAAGGATCTACAGCAGATGCAAGCTGATCAGAAAACAGAACAAGAGGATTGCAATCCTAAAGCAAAGTGAAATGCACAGGTTTGGCTTTCAGCAGAAATGCAATATGACTGTAAATTACACATGGAGGAAAAGCCATGACGGAAGGTCAGACTAGCAATGGCTGCTTTTCTACTTGTTAACCCCTAGCAAAATCATTCTTCCAGGGCAGTGTAATCCCAAAAGAAACATGCATTTCCTAAATTATTAACTGAAAGTTCTGTCCTTCCCTTTCAGGAAACAGCAACCACCTGTTCTTCTTTTCACCTCACAATATGTTGATACAGGCTTGGATATTTTAATATGTGTTTCTTATTATCACTCCATTCCCATTCCTCTACAAGCTTCTCACATGCCCTCAACCTACAGGAAGCAATGAGTCACTTACAGGAAATACTGTGCTTTTGAGAGCGCTTTCCTCAGTCTTCAGGAGAACTGCTCATCTAATGACAATATATAAATACTACCTTCTGTTTTAAGCATGTTGTTCAGAAAAAAAAAAAACACCCCAAACACCTCATATTAGCATTCTGGTTGGACTTCAAAGGCATTTTCTGCTCTAGCAATGAAGATACAAAAAAAATTATGAACACATGCTTGCACTGAGCTGAGCTACAACAGATAGTTACAGTATTCATTTTCAGATAGCCTTTGAGAAAGAGCCCACAGATGGAATTTAATGAACATGGTTGCTTATTTAATGTTGTATGTAACATATTTTCACAGGACAAATAATTACTAAAGAAAACATAGCTTTATTTATTTATTTTTGTTAAATAAGGATTCATTTAAGAGAATGTAATTATTTAACACTGGAATAGAATTGGTGAGAAGGTTTGGAACGACATGAATGAAAATCAAATCCTGTTACCAAATTCAGCTCAAAATCCATCTGTTTTAGGCATGAAAATTCTTTTCCAACCTGAGACTTGGAGCACAGGTTCCTATTCACCACTTGTTTCAACAGAGAATGATCTGTTTTGCTGGCAGCATTTGTTAGGTGGGTCCCAGAGGTTTTTTGGTGCCATGCACATTTTTATTTATTATTGCTTTTTTCAAAAGTGAAGACTAGGAATGAGCAGGTGGGGAAGGGAGAGCAAAAGGGAGGAGAAACTATTGCTGTTCGCTTAGTGCAAACCTAAATTTGATTTTGAGGCAGAATATTTTTACCTGAAACCCTTAAAGTAGAGGAGATGAATTCCAGAAGAACTAGAAATTACCTCCGTTATTGTACAATAGAAAGCTAGAGTAGTTTCTGTAAGAATAAGGAAAGGGTGGATGCAGTACTTACAGACAGTTTGGTGGGCATTATTGGTGGGGAAGAGAGGAGTAATCTAGTGATCATGACTATTGGTTTGTAGGACATGAAAGCAAGATGCTGTACTAAAAAGACAAGCAAGACTTTCAGACAGAAAGGTGAGACATTAGGAAAACTGTCTGTAAAACAGAGCACAGAGCAGTTTGCCAGAAAGAAGAATCCCCAGCACTTGGAGGCTGCAAAAACAAGTTAGGGATATCTGCCCAGGAGGACAGAGCTGACAGCTGGTAGTGCCTTAGGGCCCTGAGTAAGGTTCCGTCGATTCTTACTCTGTCAGGGTACCTCTCAGAGACCTTCCCTGCCCTTGGATACTTATTTAGTATACTGAAGATAAATACAGCAACATAGCTTCAGCAGCATTTACTTTCAAATATGTTTGAAACTCCCTTCAAGGATGCTGGAAATAAAGCCTATGTGCAATTTCAATCAAGCAAGCATAACTTAAAAAGACAGATGTGTCCAAGAGCACTATACGAGATCCAGCAACTCCACGTCTGCAATTCACACCCTCCAGCATGAGCAGTGTGTGCTCCTAACAGGAAGGCAGACACAGGCTGAGCAGTGGGAGCAGTGCTGAGGAACACTGAGAACAAGGTAGCCTGGGGTTGTGAGGCTGCTCCAGCCAACAGGAGCTGTGGAACCCAGGTGAGAACATTTGAGCCCTGGGATGAGAGGAAGAACTCCAGGAGGAGTTCTGAAGGCAGGACTCCACACCAAGGAAAATTCCCATATCCCCTACCTTTCATTCCAAGAGGAACATTAGCCAGCAAGCTACTCAGAGATGCCTGGAGACAGCAACCATGGGGCCACCAGGATCCACAACTTCTCTCAGCAGCATGTTGTGAGAGAGAAACCAAGGAGACATAAGGTACACCAATAGCATACTCATTTCCAAGTCAACTGGACGGTCAAATTGGTCCATATGAAAATATTTCTGCTTGCTGGTTTTTTTCTTGGGTCTCTCTGTTGCCAGCTGCCAGTGGCTGGTGCACACACATTGATGCAGACAAGGTGACAACAGGCGACTAATGACCCATGAGTCACATGCTGCAGCAGCACCTTTCCCATTGCCACTGCACAACATGGGAGATGCTATCCAGGGGGGAATTTAAAAGTATGAGGCAGCCAAAATAAAAATTTCCTTCAGGCTCTCAGCAGGAGATCAGGAACTAAATATCAAATGGAGTGATTTGAATTTGTTCAATATTTCCTCAGTTGTAAAGTACTATTTTCATTTCATTACTTTTACTTCTACTTATTCCATGTGGCAAACATGCTTTTAAATGTTATATCTAACAGTAAGAGAATTCTCAATTTTGATGAGCTAAGGAAAAGGAAAACAACATAGGAATCTCTAGAAGTGTAGAGAAGCAGGAAAGATTGCAGCTTTGAATTTTTCTAAAAATAAGCTTCAAGTCCCCAGAATGCTTAGAGGTTAGTACATTTTCCTAACTAACAGAGTAGTGAAGTGAAAACATCAGTCCAAACAGCATTGTGATAATCCAACAGTACTGCTCTAAGCAATTACCAACCACATCTGCTGGAGAATGATTTCTTAGAGCATTTGTGATTTACATAGCTCCCTGAAAGCTAGGTTTCACACTCAGTTCTTCCCGTTTCAGTATTCAGTGTATTTCATTAGGACCTCAGAACCGCACAGTGCTTTTATCTGTGCCAGAGCAGCACCGTAAGTTTGAAATTGTCTCCTTTTCCTTTTCACAGGTTTTACTTTGTGCACCATGTTGTGGTTTCCTTTCAAAACCTGGATTTGGAAAGACATTCCTCTTCCCATCTCTGTCTAAAACATTTATTCTTTTTTTCTTTTCTGCAGTAAATGTATCTTTTAAACCAGCACTTCTGCTGAATAATATTCTGCAACAACAAAATTACTTACTCTTGGGCCGACTACGCCAATTGGTCCAGCTGGTCCTACTTCTCCCTAAAAAGAAAAACAAAGTAAAAAAGAAAATAATCAGGGCTTCAGTAATCTTGATGCCAAGAAAAAATAGAATTTGCAGACAACTCTTTTTGCTTAGTATATCATCTTACATTTGCTTCATATGTATGTATGCATGCGCTTAAATCAGACAGAAAAACTGAGAGACTGAACTGATCTCAGTTAATTAGCCAGAGGGCCATGCACTACATCACTATCAGAGACAGCCAGAAAGACTTCTGTACTCTTCATAATCCCTCCATTATGGCAATATTTTCACAGTTCTGAGACACAGCAATGATGGGTCAACCTCTCTGTCTGCCCTATGGTTATTATCTTCCAGCAACATTTGATACTTTATAACCATGAGAACAGCAGGAACATTCCTGCTTTTTTCTTCCACGTGGGTAACGGTGCAGTCACCAAAGTTAGCCAAACCATTTTGGAAGGGCTTATCCTTTATTTCTTGGGAATGAAGGGAGACCAGGGGATCAGGCTTGTTGGATGTGAAGGTGAAGAAATGACTGTCCGTGCCATCAAGTGCAGTGATAGAACTATATATAATAGAGAATTGCAGTGTTAACTCTTCATGGTCCATTCATTCATTATACAGTTACAAAGAACAGATTTGTACCAATGCTGTGCCAGGAGCTCCTGCTGTTATCATTTAGTTTTTTGATTTTCTCAAAGTGTAAGATTTTATCCAGCTTCTGGAAGAAGTAGTACACAAGCTTTACAGTTCTGAATAGAACAAACCAAAGGAATTAAGAAATGCTATCTACAGCTTCCTGGCTTGTAATTAAATGGAACATTTTGTCATGCCTAGATTTAGTCACCCAGTATCTGCCATGAAAGCTTGTAATTCAGAATCATAGAATCCTCAGCGTTGAAAGGGAACTTTAAAGGTCATCTAGCCCAACTCCCCTGCAATGAACTGAGACATAATTTAAGCAAGCTTTATAATATAAGTATACTAGAAACTAGTATGAAACTAAAGGTTTATTCCCAAATTCATTGATTCAATGACTTATAACAACTACTTTTGGCCTAAGATACATGAGTTTTTATTTGTATTGTGATGAATTTAGAGTGCCTAATAGATCTTTAAGAAAAGCTGCCTATTTCAATTAATTGGAGCCTTATAGTTTACTTAAGTATATACAGGACATTTTCATTAAATTCAGGTTTGCTTTCTATCTCTATGCACAACTCTGCCCTGTCTCCCCAGCTTAACAAAGAGAACCATGCCAGATTCAGGACCCAGATCTTGAGATTTTACTGAAACCATTTTTTCAAAATGAAATCTTGCACAGTAACACCATAAATACCTAATCACTCTTCTCTAATCTTCCTCCTCTTCATATTTCCTTGTAACAATCTGCTGACTGAATAGTTTTTCCATCTTACCTCAACTCCTTTGGGTCCCTGTGGCCCTGAAGATCCCCGGTCACCCAGAATTCCCTAAACAACCAAACAAAAACAGTGAGATCTTGCATCAGCTAACAACCACAATAATTTGTCACATCTTAAAAGTCTGGACGGAAACACAAAGCTGGATAGGCATATATTATTAAGTACTCTTGTTCATTAGGAAGCCAAGAGAATATGAAGCAGAATTTTAATATCTGCTGGAAAACTGATTATCTTATATACTTTGACTATGTAGATTTTTTTTTTTTAAATTATTTTTAAGTTTTTGAAATGGAAATAAATTACTGGAGCTTGCAGAAGAACCATCTCTCTTCTTCTGAGAACAAAGCATGCCATCACTAAGATTAAAGATTAAAGCAGAACCAAAATAACCCTTATAGACCTTTGATTAGATAGTATTTAGCACTTGATGAAAACATTGCAGTGAAAACAAACTAGAAAGTGAATTCTAACTACTAGCTTGCCTGTCCAAAACTACCTGTGATTTTCAGCCTTTACTTTTCGTTCATGTTTATAATTGACTTTCCAAAGATGAAGAACCTTGGCTTGCCAACTCTTGAGTTTTTATGACTGCTACAACAACATTTTCAAAATTTTGTTAAATGAACTGATAGCTAGCAGCATGTCAAAAATCTTGGTCATCCAAATTGCATAGGTAATAACTTGGTAGAGCACTCGACCTGGAGGAAGACAATAACTTTTATCTCTGTGTAATCATATTATTAGTGTTCTGGGAACCAAAGATTAACAATATGAGATAAAGAACAGAAAAGAAAATATCCGCCCTTCAAGAGAGTGATGGTAGGAAAGTTCCAAGTGTAAGCCTTATTAATTGCTTAGCAATGAAGCTGAAGTCTAGACTGAAGGTGCAGGCATTTTTCCAGTAACAGTTAGCAGGCCAGCTAAAACAGAAAAGAAAATGGAATGAGCTACTTCAAGATCCATAGGTCATCACCAGTTTAGGGAAGTCTGAGGTGGAGAATGTGTGTTGTTTGACATACCACATCAGAAATAACAGGAAGGCTTTTAGGAGCACTACATAAGCTATATTCTTGTGTAGTAAGACAAGAAATTGTTGTATAATAACAAAGCACATTAAGAGAAATGATTTTCAGTGCAATGCAATTATACCATGAAAATGTCAGCAGCACTGCCACTGTATGAGACTTCACACTGCACTTAACTGGATCTGGAAAAAAAGTCTTAGACTATAAAGGTTGTATAAGGACTAAAGGAAATTTCCACCTCCCTTTTGATATTTCAGACAACAAACAGAAATTAAAGGTAGTCGTTAGACACATGCCAAAGTACGTGGAAAAAATTCAGGTAGTTTGCAAATGGGGTATCCTGTATATCATACCCATGTGCATATCTATCTCTCTATATATAATGTACATACACGGACAACTTCTTAGATGACCACCTCCTAAACAACTGGTGGAACTCCTGACAGCTGTTTTTATTAAATGTTATCCAAGCAAACATAAATGAGCAGAAGACAGAAGTTCTCAACTACTTCCACAGTACAACACGAATTACTGGAAAAAACTACAGCTGTAGCCACCATACTCTGACTTTTCCTCTCACTTTTCTCAGCTACAGAGCATAAATACTTACAAGAATAACATAGGAAGCAAACTAATTCAGAACTTCTTTAAATTTTTTTTTTTTAAATAAGCAATGGATCAAGATCAAACGTCTTCTAAAATATTGTTTCCAAGCTGAGTAATGTACTATAGAGAAATTACATAATAAAGCCTTTGAACATTATTTTCGGTAGGTCAGATTTGCTGATTACTGCAGTAACTCAGGGAAAATTTGTAATCCAGTTCTACTGGTATTTAGAAATGGCTGATAATGCTCATAGAGCTTAAACTTTCCAACAAGGGACCAAAGTTCCTCCTTGCCAGCTACTAAGATATAAAGTTTATCTTGTCTCTTGGCTTTTAAAATGAGTATTGCTTCTGAGGAAGTAGAAACAAAAACATGCAGAGAAGCACAACACAGTAAAAACAGTTCTAAAATAAAAAGTTGGAGGAATTTTTTTTTTAAAAAAAAGTCAACACAAGACAGCTGGAAATCATGACAGCCAAACTTTTCCAGTGTGCAGCCTTTCTCCCATAGCACCAGGAGTCATTTAGGAATTTTTCCAGTTTGGTAATCTTCCATCTCAAATGTAAGCCATCAAATCTTCCTGATTAGAGCAGGCTGTCTAAGCTTCTTGTCTTTAAGAGCAAATGTGTTGGAGACCACCGAATCCTGTTCAGCCATGTAATTTCTCCATTACTGGAATGCATACTCTGAAATAAATGTTATTGGCTACCTTTTAGAATTTTTTTTAAATTGATATTTGGGTTGAAAAGAAATAGAGTGGTAATGTATATGTTAAATATCAAACCAATTCAATCAAAAATATCCAGTGTAACACTTGGAATCATGCAATCTCAGTTAATGGAGAAACTGGCCAGTAGGGATAGGATCTCAGAATTCATTCCTCTGCTGGGAGGATCAGATTTGATCTGTATGTCAAGAGCTGTTGTATTCCTCTTCTCCTGTCGCCCCTAAATCCTGTATACAATCTTTTGTCACTATAAAGTAGCTTGATAATTCACTGTTCTCAGAATTGGAGCAATTACCACCCAATGATCTGATAATCATTCATACAAGGAAGGCCATTAACATTACACAAACAAATTAGCAAACAAATAAATCAGAATGAAAAAAAGTTCATGCCTGCCTCTGGAAATGTATTTTAACTTCTCCTTTTCACTGCATCAAATAATGTTTTTTCAGACTTCCCTCTAAATTCTTTCTGGGTTATTTTGGGACAGGGTTTCTGACACAGATGAAAGACATGAGATGCAGAAAAGATTGGTTATAGCTTTGGTGAGTGCATTATTTGTGATGTTCGTTCTCAAGGCATGATGAATTTTGTCATGAAGTGTTACCATTTTCCCGGTAAAATAAAATAAAACCATTAAAATTAAACCATTTGCAGTTTCCTGTAATATGTTGTCTTAAACAATCTGCCACAGAATTTCATGACTCTGCTGATGAGAAATCTTCTCATTTCCATCTCTGTTTATTCACAAGCAACTTTAGCATTTTGTCCTTGAAGCAAATAGTTCATGCCCTTGGTCCTGCATAGTTCTTTGGTCTCCCCACAATTTCTGCCCTTTGCTATGCTTACAAAGCTCGAAAAGACCCTTCATTTTGGTAGGATAGATAAACTGTCCTTCAGAATAGTCATTCAAGTAATCTTTTCTGCATCTATTCGCATTTGACTGTGTCCTCCTGGAGTACAAATCCTCAGAACTCTGTGTACTACTTAAAGTCTTCTTGTGCTTTGTACAGTAGCGTTAACATGACACCCTCCCCTCATGTATTCTAGAATTTCACTTTGGTTTTAACAACCTTATCATGCTTTCCTTTCAAGGAGATCTGGCAGTGTCTTTTCTATCACTGCCAGCTGCAAAGCTCTATGTTTACAGTAGGGTTTATTGTTTTAATCCCAGCACACATCAGTCTGAAGAAATATGAGTGGGGTGAAATTGTACAAAGAGCAGTTTTTAAGATTATCTGAAAGTGCTCAACTTTGTTTGATACACAAATTTAACTCCAGCATACTTGTGCAATTTATTGATTAAAATATTACCTAAGGATAGTCCAAGAATACTGAGTGAGAATCTCCACTGGTTCTTTCAGCAGTAAACAAACTAAACAAATATCTCCCTTTGGGTTAATTTCTGATGCCCCTGCATTTCTATTAGCTATACTCATCTCTCTCCTACTCAAGAACTTCCCAAATGTGTTTTTATCCAAACTTTCATTTAAACCTCTCGTACGAATCATTGTTAAACTTAGTCTAAAATATTAGTCTATATAACTCTAATTATTTAAACTGATACATTACTTCCATCTTCTTTCTGTGTATCTTTAGCTAGTATTAATTTCAAAATTTGTTAAAAAGTCTGTATTAGACAAGTGAGATGATAAAGGTCTCTGTGCCTTTGACAAGCATCATTTTCAATACTGGTGAAATACACAGTACTTCCTAGCTACACAGTGCTTTCTCCAAGTTTTCTTGCATTCATCTTGCCATTCAAAGTCTCAGTGTAACACAGTTACTACCTCTCCTAATCATGCAGACACCAGTAAACATCAGATTAACTTCTTCATACGAACGCCTGAGGCAAAGTATTTGCATTTTGACAGAAAGATTTTCTTCTCATAACGCTAACTTCCATCTCTCAGACTTTTTCCTCACCAATTTATACTGACTAACTGAAAGCGTGAATAATTTTTCATAGTCTTACCTTGGGACCTTCAGGGCCATTTAATCCAGGTACTCCAATATCTCCTGGAAAACCCTAAATAAATCAGACAGACAAATGATTTATAGCCTAGGAATGTTTCCAACGTGCATATTTTGTTTCTGTCCATTCATTTAACAAATTTGAATTGTAGAAAAAAGAACTGAATTTGTTTTACCATTCCCAATACGTCAAAATCCATTAAGCACCCTCTAAGCGTTTGGATAACTGACAGATTTCAGACAGCTTTCATTAAACTCATTTTAGTAGATGTCAGTATGGGCTTCAATTCTCTTAACATGAGACTTTTTAACTACTGAACAGTGCTTATGATTAAACCATAGGACTGATCTTGATACACAAAATACTCACAAAATAGCCAATACCAGGTCTTGTATTCTCAACTTCAAAAAACTTTTTAAAATAAGCTTAAACAGAAGCTGGAGTCCTTTAATCCTTGGCCTCACTTTAAGGACAAGATCACTGCAAGATTAAGAATATGGTAAAAAGCTTTTTGCCTCCAAATCAGCAGGAGCTAATCCAGGTCTGGCTGGCAGTAAATGAAGGTCACTGGCATGCAGTGTTATTTGGAATAAGCTTTTGTGAAACTGTTTGGTGCAGGTTCAGCTGTTGGTAAAGAAAGCCTGTATATGTAAGTGAAATGAATCAAATAAGAGGATATCTTTAAAGATTCAAGAGCCACTTTTTAGGCTCTCTAACTATGAAAGAGGTCTAAGATAACAGTTAGCCATATTTTATTCTTCCAGAATTTCTATATACAGAATATATATAGAATATAATAATTTCTAATGGTTATTCATAACCATTGGCTAAAATCACACAGAAAAAAGTACAACCACATCTCAAAAGAGAAAATACTAAACAAACAAAAGGAATCAAGTTTACCAGGTAAAGAAAAAACACAGAAAAGTAATGTTGGGAAATAAAATACATCCCTTCACCCTCAACTAGAACAGTAGAGCTGCCACATCATCATAAACAATATTTAGTGCATCACTGTTTCTATTTGCAGATATCTCCTCCATTCTTTTTATGACTTGTCCTTAGCAGTATAGAGTAAGAGTTTTAAGAAAAGATGTTCACAGGATAAAAATATTTTAGATGCTTTATATGTTAAATCAAACACAAACATATAAAACTTGAATACAATTGCAATTTCTTAAAAAAAACCAACCAAACAAACAAACAAAAAAAACCAAGCAACAAGCACCTTAGCATTAGCTGTTGAATACTAATAAGTCATAAAGAAAATACACTAAACACTGAAAAAAAGAATTGAGCTGAGCATTCAGAGGAACTGGAACAACCCTAAGACACAGCATTTCACAAAGCATTGTGTTGGTCATTTCTTTTTTGCCATGAAGCAGCTGATAGACCTGTGCAACAACTCCTACGTGCCTCTAGGTGGCACTTTGATGTGACAAAGGCACTCCAATAACTAATCTTCATCTTTAAATCACTCAAAATTTCTATGCAGTTTGTAAGAGGTTTTTTTTTTGTTTGATTCTTTGTTTGTTTGTTGTTGTTGTTGTTTTTAAATAAAATACACTGGGCAGCCATATGTACTGAAAAACACTGAAGAGTTAGGTCATGCTTATCTGAAATACACCATGAAATACACCTTTCCTTAATTTAAGTTTGCTGCTTTACGGACGTTACATAGCAACACAGGAGCTGGGAGATCAGCATACATTTTCCAGCTGTAACAGGCTTTCAGCACAGGCTACTAAGAATAAAACCTCACTTGATATTATGACATCTAAGGGAGGTTACAGAGTAGACTCTGGTCTTGCCATCAGCCAGAAACCTGACAGCTGGCAGGCTACAAATTATTTTCAAAATCTTGCTGCAGAGGTGGCCTTTTGCCAGCAAAGCACTTACGAGTTCACTCAGTTTAATCATACTAGAGAATGCCAGAAAATAACTACAGTGATCACCTGTCTGAAAGCAAAGGTAGTTTAATCTCACTGTGGAAGTTGCTTTTTGGAGCCAAACAATTTAAATATAAAGTAAATTCTGGAAATAAACGAACATTTATTGTTCTCATTTATCTGCAAAATACTTAATTAAAAACAAACCAAATGTGAAGGCTGCTACTATTTTAGGGTTTGTGTTTTTGTAGTGAAGTCAGTTCTCACAGAAATGAAGAAAACTGCAAAGATTATTGCTTTTCTTTTGTTTGTTTTCCTGTTCTGCTGCTAAATAGAATATCAAACATTTGGAAGTCACATCCCCTTACCACTAGGAATTCCCTTGCATTTGCAGAATCTTGCTCATTCCAAGCAGTTTCCACATGCCACTTGTCAGCATCACACCCTCCAGCTCACCAGCATCTCTCAGTGGGTTGGGGATGTGAGTTGTGGTGCAAGAATAACAGAGAGCAAAAATCTCTCTTCAGCTGATGAATGTTCCTGCTTGAAAAAGATTTTGTCCAACAGCATGCTGTGTTTTATTTGAATAAATATTTAGAATAAATTTTCAGAAGCAAATTGGCTGGGTGTTGCTACTGATCTTTAGCAAGAAGCTTCAACAGAGCTTTAGTACTACTTATTATCAAATTACTAAAGATAGATTTTTACTTAAACCACAATCTCTCTGAACTGAGAAAGTGAGAGCTGCAATTTTGCATTCTCAAATAAATGCTTTTTCTTCTTCTGAAAGGACATGCTATCCAGAAAGACAATTCAATAAATCATTATTTTTTTTTCTGTAAAAAAGCTTAATGTCAGCATTTTTAAAGGGCAGAGACAAAACCTTTTTTTTCCCTCAGCAAACCTTCAATTCTGATTTTGGAAAGGATGAAGGAAGGAATCCAGCATACAAATTACAAACATACAATTGCAATTTTTCAGAGAACAGAAAAAACTAGCAATCCTGTATTACAGTAGATATTAAAGGGAAGCTTCACAATGTGTTATTGGTAAGACATCAGCATGGTGATGCTGCTGGTCTGTATATTTGCCAAGTTGAACAATGCAGATGTGTTCAGCCATGCTCACTGAGATACTAGAAAATTATTTTCTTCTGAGACACAAAGCGTACTGCATCTAGTGGAGTCTATTTCATAGAGTGTGCAAGGCCCTGTGCTGGCCCTCCCAGATACCTCCTCCACAGGCCTGGTTGGCTGCTTTGTGACCAAGAAAGTGGCTGGTGATTCATAGCAGCACTGGCCACCAATCAACATATTAAGGATGGAGTCTTGCTGTGTTCTGGAAGTCTACATTGCAAAATAGGAAGAGCTTAGGCAAGAACTTCAGTGCAGTTCTGCTATCTGCCAACATTAAAACATCAGCAGAGACATTAGGAAAGGTGATGCTGTAGACTGTAGCAAATTTCCATGCTACTGTCTGCGTGACCATGCAGATCCCACCACATCTAGACCTAGGCCATGTGCCAAAAGGAAGAACTTTCAAATTCATTTCTTGCAAGATGAACAGGAAAACTCAAGAGAAAAATCAGTGTTGGTGTTTAAAATCAAATTGAAGACTTTTTCCCCCCCATTCTAGGCAGATTCAGAACTCAAGTAAATACATTGCCCTGGCAAAGCAGCGCAAATCAAGTTTGATTTACTTATACATCCCTTCATTTCTAGGGTGAGGGTGTCCCAAGACAAGCCTGCCTGAAAAAGGAAAGTCTCCAGGATGACATATGCATAACACTGAAACAGAAGACTGTTACTACTGCTTTCATGACATTGCCTGTACAACTCAGAACACTATGTGATAAGAGAAAACATGCACTGAAAATAAACTTATTTTCTCTTTTGAAATGAACAACTCAAAGTAACCAGTGATTCATTTAGAAAACACTCAAATGCATCTTTCTCCTTCACAAGCTACTGCGTTCTGCATGAAGCAAAGCAGCTGAATCCCATATGAGAATTTTCTTGAAAGAATAAGTTAACAACTTCAGATGAAAACAATGCACAGATGAATAAAGATCTATTGAAGACAATGACTAATCCCTCTCTGCTCCAGATGAAACCCATTTATAATACTCAGAGTATATCTGAAGGAAACTATCAGCATTCTTGAGGGATAATTCATTGTGATTTGTAGAACAAAATTTACCAATAAATAAAGTATTCTGAATACACACAGAAACCTGTTAAAAATTTGACTGATTTCATTCCCATCAGGAATGACCACTGCACACTTCGCTGTATAAAGTACGCAAAAAGCCAAGACCCTGGGAGAAGGAGCAAAGCCTGTTGGGCTTGACCTGTTGCCTGTTTTTTGGAAGCAGCAGAATGATTAGAAACATGACACCAGGACTGTCTTGTAGGAAAACCTATACTTAATTAGTCTTATTGTGCCGCTGGCAACAAAAGCTGGCTTTTTTTTTTATAAGAGCAAGTAAGAGAGAAAGTAAGATACTATCTAGAGTTCTGAAAGAAAAAGAAATACCAACTTATAGAACTTCTGGAACTTGAGTTTTTCAAGATCCTGATATACTGCTGTGTTAATTCCCTGCTGTTTTTTCTATTTCAGAATATGGTGATTGTGTTTTTATGTCTGCACATGAGACAGGCAGAACTTCTACTTATACAGATCATTGTTGTGTTACCGAAGCAAGGAGAGACATCACTTTGTAGTCTTAAACCTTTAGCCATTTTGCAGACGGGCACCCAGAGGAAAATACTGAAGTGTTCACATTCACTTAACATGAAGCATTTAATTCACCCTAAAATGGCTGGAGTAATTTCACACACCTGAGCAAAAGAAAATGTCTCCTGGACAGTCCACAGCATTTTTCCTTATATACTTTGGTATAAATGCCCAAAAGCACCCAAATGAACAACTCCTGACGGAATCGGTTTCTCTGTACAATTCGGTAATACTGCAGTATCACACCCAGTTCTCAGGCAGCTGCTGAGCCAAATTCAAGCGCTTGACAATGCCTCCTATGTCACTGGTGCTTGTTCTTTGCATTCTTTCCAAATTAAGTTTGTTTTGTAGGAGATAAATAAGCAGTGAGGCTTGGAGAATCTCATTTGTAAACATGCTGTAGAACTCAAGTGTTTGAGAAAACACATGAGCCCCATTCAAGGTGTGAGCTCTTAAAACTGATTCAGATAAGTACTAATCCTAATCATATCAATGAATGAGCTACTTGTTTTAATCAAGGATTGCATAAATTAATATTTTGTATAAAAGAATAAGAGCTAGAATTTTTGTTTCTTTATGGAGCAAAACAATTCTTTGGAAACAACTAAGTAAAAAGTATTCTCTGATTCAACTAAGTCAACAGTCTTAGAGATAAATGCATTTGCTTCACAGACCTCAGTAATTTAGAACATTCAGTTTATCGAGCAATTTCATACCTCAGGACCTGGGGGACCCAGTGGTCCTTGGGATCCAGGATCTCCAATTTTTCCCTTAAGAAAGGGGAAACAAATTTTGATTATTAAAAACAACCAAACAACAATAACAAAATAAAAAAAAATCTAAAAAACAACAACAAAAATGAAACAACACCAGAAGGTTGGTATTATGATTTTTAAAGAAGCACTAGCACTACACAGGAGCTTTAAAGCTGCTACCAATCAGTAAATACTTGAATTCATGACTACTCCCATCCCTGTGAGAAATGACTGGCCATTATTAAGAGGATTTCCCATGCTCTCTCCAAATTCACCTAGCCCAAACAGTCATCTTGGAAGCTCCCAAAGCTGTCAGTGGATTTGTTTCTAACATTACTGACGTGTATTCTCCCAGCAAAATGAGTATCACAGAATGACTAACATAATAAGCACTTCCATATTAAAATTAGACACATCTACTGAACTCCATAATACTGTCTGACACACAAAAGCAGCTTAGACCTTCTTCTTTGTACTTCTTGATGTAGCTTCTAGAAGATTGTGTGCAGCAGGAACATAAAATACAAAGTAGTTTCCAATACAATAACACGTAGCGAGCGATACATTGAGAGCAAAAAAATTATGGTTAAACTTACTTGGGGTCCTGGTTTTCCCCTGATTCCTCGAGGTCCTGGTGAACCAGGAGCACCCTGAAAAAAAAAAAAAAACACCAAGCCACTAAATGCAAACAAAAGCATGTTGTGTTACACTGAAAACAATAGATTGCTACATTTTGCCATCCAAAACCATTCAAAAAAACCTGTGGGATCAGAAATGAGTTCTAACATTCAGCTCTCAACAAGAGTTCTCAGGGGTTGGCCTAGGAAGGCCAGACAACATGTGCTGCTAGCCACAGCTGACCCAGGTGAGGTGCAGAGGAAATTCAAGGTTCAAGGGAAAATCCCCCTTGCAACACTTAGCAGGTCTCAGGTTACAGCAGTTATTTTCTTATTTGATTCATCTCTTAACAGATAAAAGCCAGAACTCTGCCCATGCCCTTTACTTGTCCCTTTTCACTGCTTTCCTTAATTAAGTTTTAATTAGAATTTCTTAAATAAATGTTAATTCAGTGACATCCAGTAACTACTATTATGCATTTTTTTTCTATGAAGCTGACATAGCATTTTAAGATTGGAAAACTAAAAAAAAAAAAAAAAAAAAAAAGGCCAAAAATGGACAATTCTGTAAAAAAAAAAACAAAAAACAACACAACCATAGGTTACCTTGTCTCCAGGGTACCCCTGATCTCCTGGATCTCCTGCAAGGCCATGCTCACCCTAAACAACACATTTTATACAGACACATTTATGGTTTAGAATTAGATAAGGAGAAAGATTGAATCAACATTTAGCACTGAAAATAACAGAGATCTGTGAATGACAATGAAATGGGCAATAGCATGGGATACTCTTTTATGTTCCATAGTAAATGCTTTGTCCAAAAGTTTGTCTGAAGTATCAGGTCTGGGTCTAAAGTACTTTTAAAAAATTAAAGTTGAAAGAGATAACAAACCAAAAGCAGAACCAGAAAAAATTGTGAAGCAGGTTATTTTACTCAAGATATGATGAAAGAAGTTTGAAAGAACTACATCTCTGAGATAATGGAAATATTTAAATCACCTTATCACCTTTCATTCCAGGCTGTCCCATATTCCCTGGAAGACCCTATTAAAATGAAGGAAACAAAAATCCAGTGTATGCCTGTTATATGGAAGGCAGCATAGAGACCTGGCTGCAGGAATGTTCAGCACCATACCATGGGCCCTGGAATTCCTGATGGTCCGCTCAGTCCTGCTGGCCCCACGTCTCCCTATGGGACAGCAAAAAAAGTGGCTATATTAAACACCTGACAAAAGTGGAGCAACTTAGAGAATGATAACTGTACCATTTTCTGCACCACGAAGAGGAAAAATAAGCCTTATTCAGGCTAAAAGCTTGGTTTAAAAGTATTCACATTATAAGCCCTTTATGGTTCCCATCCACTTCAGCAGAAACACCAGCAACCAAAAGTCCCTCTTTTCCTGTAGGATGTGTGTCAGAGAATAGACAGTGGTGCACTGTGCAGTGCAGGATTAGGAAGCCTTCCTTGTACTGCATCCACACATTCAATGAGTGGCTGTCACTTTTAGGGTTACATGGCAGCAATACTGAGTAAACATTGAATTTGGCTTAAAGATTCTACTTTTAGTTGTGACAACTTCTGAAGTTCTTCATCTCTCAGTTAGTTCTATCAGTTAAAACAGAGATTTGATTTTCCCAACATATAAACTATGCTAACATAAAATCTGATGAGCATGCAACTTCTGTTCTTATGTATCTTCTAACATTTTCTGCATACTTCCTATCTGGGATTTAAATCTATAGTTTCATGACACAGAAAATGAACCAGAATTTTAAAAATTAAGAATCTTAAATGATCAACACAACTGCACAAGTAATATTAATGAAAGATTGTGAATGAAACACAAAAATGTATCCAGCAATAGCTAAAACTGTATTACAGACAGGGAAGCCTACTTAATGCATATTCTGCCTCTGAAAAAGGAGGGGGGAAAAAAAGGCCTGATACCTCTGTGGCTACACAGGAACATAGCAATAAATATCAATACAAATACAAATATCTTCACTCGAATGTGAAGATGTGATACAGAGTTTAGATCACTGATAAGAAAAGAGTTGAATAAGTATTTGAAACTGCCCCCTGCCTACAACAGTTTTGCTGTATGGTAGCACACACTGCTCAGTTTCGTTGAAACCAGCTAGCAGTTAGGAAACAAGCTGCTTCAGCCACATGAAGCATGCTTTGTCCACCACTTCCATGTGACAAATGAAATAAAATCAGTTTTCTTAGCCTCTCAAAATTGATGGAATACTCGGAAAGAAAAAACAATACAAAAATCAATGCTTCCTAATATTAGGATTTTTTTTTTTTAAGGGAAAAAAGTCATTTAAAAAAAAAAAAGGCTACCACTGATAACTATGCTTGCTAATTCTCTCAAAGTTGTTGTCATACCAACACTCATGGCTGGGCAAATCTTGAGAGACTGAGAACTGGCATATTGCCTGAACAAGGGACACAAGAAAACAGAGGCCAGGGTGCACAGTTCCATTTGGAGAGTAAGCACAATGGGAACAGACAGGGCTGCACCATACAAACCATCTGTGGTGATGCAAATCTCAGGGGTCTTGGTGAAATTCTGCTGCAGTTTAAAGATCACTATGGGCCCTTGTAAAGAAACTCTGCAACAAAGTAAAGCTCTTCCAAACATCTTCCTGACAGGGACACTGGGCATCAGAGCAGTTATACAATGTCGTACAGAATCTCCAAAGATGGTGCATAATAGCACATTTTCCCAATCATGTCTGTACACTTGTAGTATCCACACAGGAATCATGCCATTAATACTGAAATCCTCCTTAGCTGTGTCCTAATCTTATTTCAAAATTCCAGTCAGACTTTCTGATGCCTTGGAAACTTCCAAAGCTGTTCAGAAATCTGTAACAAATATTGCTGCACTATTTTCCTCAGCTGCAAAATCTTACCTTATCAGTAAGCAAACACAGAGTTAACTCCTGGTGAGCAGCATTTCTAACATGTCTTGGCTCAGTGAAAGAGAATACCTTTAAAAACACTGCAAGATATCCATAAGATCTATTAAACTGTCAGAGGAGTACATGATGACCCTATCTTACTGAGCTGTATTTGCACTTCGTAAGTACGTGTCTGTACATATTTTTATTCATACATTTGTCATCTCAAGCAATAAACTGTGTTGAAAATAGTTCATTTGCAAAATCATTTCTGCCTCTTAAAATGTTTGTTTTTCAGCGCAGATATGTACAGCTCAGCTACAAGCACAGGTGTAAGAATCAAAGGTGCTCTCTGCTCCATCAAAGACCCTTAATTCCTTGTGGTCAAATGGAGCAGCGTCAGATGATGTAACATTCCCAGCAATTCATGGTATGGGGTGTGTCAAACTAATTCCAATAAAAGATGTGAATATGAGCACGTGCCCTGCAAAGTGCTTTTCCAAATTGTCACACTGCAAAACTCAAAAACTACAAACCACAAGAACTAGCTTAGTAATTGCTTGTGATAAGGAAAAATATGTCTGTTCCTGTTCTTTACCTTTTGTCTTTTGAGTACAAGTTTCATAAAGCAGGAAGGCACATAATCAGTGCTTTTACATAGGCAGAACAGAGCAAAGGTGTGCCCCTAATATAAATGGGAGCTGGCAGGCCATTCAATGGCAGAATGTATACTGACCTCATGCTGGTCAAAACCTAAATATGCCATCACTTTTTTTTTGTCATTGTGGTTATATTTTTTTGAAGCTTACAAATGGCTTTGGCTGCTGACTGACCATAATTTATTTCGCAGAATAGTATTGACACTCAATTGCAGTATAAATGACTGCAACTCAGCAATATGGTAAGTAGAACTTTGACCTTGTATACATATCTGCTCATGAATTTTAGAAAGGGATAAACCGATAACTAAGTTTAAGACAAAATAATCAATAACAGCATCTTTACAGAAGCAGTATATGATAAATCTCAAGTACATTAAGTACATTTATGTAATTATCAAAATCCATCAGACAAAATCCCAAAGAACACCGTGTAAGAAAGAAAAGCAAACTATAATTCAAACCAGATTCTCAAGAGTGCAACTTCTAATCTCATGAATGGGCCAACTGGCTCAAATATGTCAGCTGGCAAGATTGCAACAGATCATGTCTGCATGATAAAGACTGGAAGCCACAGTGGTTCCTTCACCAAGCTTGTGCATCTTCACTGTAGCAATGCCATAACAATCCCGATCAAGTAGGAAGAGACTTCTTAATAGCAATACTTTTTTGTTTTAATTGTGTCATTAAGAAGATGGTGATGACAGCTGAGCTGTCATACTTCAAAGGTGAAGTTGGATGATCATCCATGTAAACTAATAAATTTATCAAGAATGTTTCTCAAGTTATAAAATAAAGCTGACGAAAGGAAAACAACAATCTACATTGAACACAACCATAGCTTTCTTAACTTGTGTATAAGCATGTTATTTACTCTTGTGTTACAAACTATGAATGCTGCAGGGTAGCCGGCCTTGATTAAGCCAACACTGAAAATCAAACCCAGGTTCTTTACCAGAAAACAGTGGAAATATCTGAATGATGTAGTAATTCTACATGGTACAAGAGTATCACAGTCAGTCCCACTTCCTCTGCAACATGTTCATGTCACAGATCTTCTCTTGTGCAACTGAATTTATATAAATGCAGTTTGAAAATTCACAATGAGCAGCACAACGTTCTCTAAAAACATACCAGAAACCTAAACATGAAACTGCATTCAAAAAGTTAATTTGCATGAAGTTTGGAAGACACATACGGGAATGAATGAGGGCTGTGGACATCCTTTAAAAAGGATGCCTGAAAGCACTGCACACTTTCAAAAATTAATACTGCATTTAGGAATAGAAACTTGAAAAATGTGGTTATTTCAAATAAAATATCTAGACACATCAGATTAGAAATAAGGACACAAAAATCGAACCAAATATAGAAGTGCTTCATACCCAGCAATACTGTAGTAATTTTATTCTGCAATTTCAATCATCACTATTTAATCCAAACTGTTTAAACAACTGTCAGAGTATGTGGATTATTGTATTTATTTTTATTATTTCACAAATACAAAAGACAAAAGTTCTAATGAAGCCACATCAAAATTATAATAAGCATGTACTCACTCTTAGTCCTGGAAATCCAGGAGGACCAACACCACCAACAATTCCCTACAAAGGCAACAAATTTTAGATTTTAATAAAATGTTTACTCAATCTTAGTGATCTGAAAAGAAAGTATAGATTCCTTTAAAATATAAACAGAATACCAGCTCAGTGTGTGGAAAGACCTTTGGGACGTACTCTCTTGATGGCAAAATATTTCTTGATATAAACTATATATTTGCATTTTCTTTAATAAGAAATTTAGTAGTGCTCTGCTACCATCTGTGCTGTGCTCAAGTTTATCTCAACTGAGGCCAAAATTCTTAACACTGCAGAAAATAAAGCAGCCAAGTCCATCAGCATGGCAGCCCCTGCAGCTGCAACTCTGTCCTCTTGCCTGAACAAGCCCTGCATGGAGAGTCTGGGGGGAGAAGTGCGAGAAGTGTTGCTGCCTGCTTAAGACAGCAGCAAAATCAGTTGTCTTGACAAATTAGAAGGAACTTGTCTGCAAATATTTTTGTTCCAACAGGCTTCTGGTAATTGATAAGTCTACTCTTGGATCCAATTTTTCTGAGTTTGTTTCTGTTAAAGTACTATTCCTCCTCAGATCTTGTGGAAAGACATCTCTGCCCTATCAGGAAGAGAGGGAGACTTAGGAGTACGAGGAGGGGGGGAAGAACTCACCTCTTCATAGCGCTGACAAGCTGCAGGTCACACAGCCCCTCAGAGTGCTCTCTGTGTTGCTATTGCCTGACATTCTCATAAGGGGAATTTTGCCTCAGTGACCAGAAACATAAAATACTTTTTTTCCCAGTGTTCCAAAACACTGTCATACTGCAGCAGCAAAATTTCTAAAATAAATTCCTAATAGGAAGAGGCAGGCCATCAGCAAGAACCCTTGCCCATTTACTGATGCTGGTCCACATAAGAACAGCCTTTAAAGACAAACTGACTGCAGTTTCCAGCATCCAGCAATAAGAGTTGATTTAAATCAGCTGCTCTTTTGCCCAGCACTGACTGGCTGTTTGTCTGGCCCAAAGCTTTTTCACTGGTTTCTCATATCAAATGAAACTTGAGTTTTGAGTCTGCTGCCAGGGTTTCCCTACAAATGCAGCGTGACAGCAAGCTCCTTTGAGAGTGGCCAGTAAAATAACTTGACTGTGCTGAAGTTTGAATACCACTTTAAGTCTGCGCACACTGCCAAGGACAAAGCTGTTATCATACTGATTATAACACAGTAAATGACATACTTGTATCCAAAATGACATAATTTTATTCAGTAGCAATTTGAAGGACAAAATTAACCATCAAGTCCAGAAACATGAAAGCTGCAGCTTTGGCACACAGGCAAACTCCCAATTGCTGAGGTGACCCTAGAATAATCATTTAATTAGCAATACAAAATCTTATCTAATACAAGAATTTTGGAAGACAAAAACATTCATTAGTAATGCAATGAGGTCAGTAAGACATCTGATTCTCTGGGAAGTGCATGCTCTCGGTAGCTATCAGGTTCTTTTCTCTCTCCTTTAAAAGAACTACTTATTATTAAAGTATCTTGCACTTTTCACATAAAATTAACAGTCCAGTATTTCTGTGAACTTCAGCATCTTGCTTTTCAAGCATAAATCTTTCTGTTTGGGAGGGGAGTTAATACTGAGCATTATGCATTTTACCATGTAAATCAACATAACATGATACTTACAGGATTCCCATCTGGCCCTGGGGGACCTCTGTCTCCAAAGTCACCAGGAAAACCCTAATGCAGAATAGAGAATGCTTGTTCTTTAGTATCCTAGACACAAAGGAAAGTCTAAATACCAAATTCCTATATGTATTAAAAATCAAGATATCAGCAAGAGGGTTTAGAGAGTGGAGAAGGAACTAGAAAAGCTGAAAGTTTCAGCTACACAAATCAAACGGTACTTTGCTGTCTTCTAAAAATCATAAGCAAAAGAGATACAACTACAAAATGTAAGCGTAGAGAAAAATTAGATGACTGAATGTCTTGAGAGCAACATTAAACACGATTATTTCAGTTGTTTGGAATTTCTTTTCCTATTTAGTACTCCAAATTCAAGATTATTTTTTCTCCTGTACCCTACCTTATTCATTAAAATATTTGTCTTTCCTTCCTTCCTTCCTTATTCTTCCATAAACATTAATGGCTGCAGACTCGGTGCAGTATACATTTGTTAGAAATCAGGTTTTTCACCCTTGTAGCACAGTACTATCCTTAACCAGTGTGTACACTTGTCATAGTCTGCACCTAGAGACTGAAACTATAAGTCAAACCAGACATATAAGCATCTCATTCGGTCAGTTTTGATTCCAGAGACTCAAATATTAAGACAAGGATTATGAAACACCAGAATGCAAAAGAATTCTGACTAGCATAATCAACTGTTAAAGTTTAAAAAAAAAAAATTTCTTGCTAGAGAAGCAAAATAATATGGAAATACACCACCATCCTTGCTCTACCCCTACTTGCTGCCTCCTCAGGTTTTGCAGACTATTTTACTTCTTTCCGATGGAACGCAACAACATAACAAAAGTTAGGAAGGGGCCTGATTGCCTACAGTCATCATAATCCCATCTCAACCACTTCTTCTAATGAATGCTGATAAAACTACACTAGTTACTGAAAAAGAAAGGAATATCCAACACAGGGAAACAGTTAGAAAAGTCTAACATAGAAATATACTACTACTACTACCAGGAAATGGTAGTAGTATTTCATTACATCAGTGTTACCTTCTAACAGTACTATAAAGCATATGAAGGATGACTATCCATATTGTTAATATAAAACAAATGGGACTGGTTTTCTACAGCTATAATGGACTAGACATTTAAATTCTTGCTATAATTTACAAGGTCTGTTCTGTCATATTGGCTGTTGCCTGTAACTAATCCCATACAGAGGAAAACTACGTAAAAACATTCTTAAATGTGGTCAAAATGTACATAAAAGCACTATGTATCATACTTACAGTACAGACAATGCATTAAAACTACAGGAGACCCAGCCAAACTTCATATTGCAAGCATATAATGGAAAGAAATGTGATACACATGCTTTCATTATGAAGTATTTTCTTTAAAGCATATCATATACACAATATAAAAATAAGTTCTCCCTGTACAATCATTGCTTACCAAATATGCTGTTCTACTTCAAATATGCCAAAGATATTACAAATTTGAATAACCAGTCACTAAACCTGCTGACTGATAATAGCTTGAATTTTACAGATAGGATCCTTTGTCGAATATCACACACGATAGCTGTCAGGCTCTCGAGGTGATAAACTAAAAGGGAACAAACACAACTTTTTGTTTTTCATAATGTATTTTGTCAGTGAAAGATCACAGCCTCTTCTTATGCTTTATATCACTTTCTAAAGTGATAATCATTCTCAGGATGTATCATACATCATGTAATCATACTCTACCACTAGTGAGAATATTTTTTCACCAGCATTATTATTGAAATGTTGTCCAAATAAATAAGTTGTTTTCTAGAACACAAGGTCAGGAGCCTGACTTGAGGCACTATGCAATTTCCATGCCAAATTTCCTTTCATGACAGTACCCTACCCCAAAGCACTGCAGTAGTACTCAGGGATACTATGACAAAAAAACTGTCATCACAGCTATCACTGGGGCTAAAATAACTGATATTTTCTAAGAATCCAATCCAGCAAATACTTCAAGCAAGGCTTGGTCCCGATATGAGTAGTCTTTAATCAAGTAAGTAGGAAGGTTGTAGAATGAACTTTAGAATTGAGGAAAGAAAGAACGTTACAAAGGAATCAGTACCAGATGAACATTGTGAGGAATGCTGCGCAGAGGTGCATTGGGTGCTGTCACCTCTGTCAAACCACTTTGAGTTGGTTTATACAATTTTAACTCCTCATCAGAGCACTGTTTAGAAGTGCTCTAAACAGTGATAGAAGCTCTGCTTTTGCAAATGAAAAACATAACTGCTTCCTACAGCATACACATCACCAGCTTTCAAAGATGGAAAACTATATAGTGGTGATCAGAAGTCTCTGTGAAGCTTGTCAATGAGAATGAAAAACACAGTGCTTTTGGAGCACCTTGTTATCGCCTCCTCTTCCTTTTCCCATACTGAGCACAAGCTGTGCTTTCCATCCATACTCACTTTCTTCTTAAATGCATCATGGGACTCAGTGGTACAGCTGCCCAGCCCATGTCAACTACCATGATATATCGACAGCACTGATAGCTCTCACTCAGCAGTCATATACACCATAAAACAGCAATCGAATCAAACAAGCAAATTAAATGTTGTCATAAGGACAGAAGCACCCAGTTCTGCTAGCTGAATAATTAAAAACCAGAATCTTACTTTGTTTTTATACTTTATTAGTTTGATATCAGCTTCAGAAAGAACAGTATCAACTTAATGGCACTTCCCTCTGCATGCCTTTCTTTACACTGAAAGGAATTCAGCTGAAGGGGAGTGAGTATTTTTTTGGCTGGTATAAAACAATATATAAAACAAAATGTAATAAACAGAATCTTCTGTAATTTTCATCACATACACCTAGGGCCATATGGTGGTAATCACGCCACTGGTGCTGAGCATGCTTGTTCAGCATGGTAGATGGAGGTCATCTGAACAGCTAAGCACAGCTGAGTGCAGGACTGGAGAATGGCATCGCCGTTTCCAGTAAAAGATCATAAGCAATTTAAAATTGGAAACTCCTGGACAGCTTCAAAGACCTAAAATAATAAGGTTGCAGCAGAAAACAAAGGACTTGGCATTGCAAATATACCACAGGAAATATGTGAACTTTGATAATGTGTATTTGGCAGATCCGTGTTTACTCTCAGCTGTAGAAACATATGTTAACTAGAGGACAGCTTTAATTTACCATTGTCCAAAAATATCATGGATTAGAAGTGTTGATTTTCCTTCAAAACAGCAAAATCAGACCTCACAAAATTTGCATTATATCTGTATGTCAAGCTAACACCAATTTTATCAAATATGTTTATGTGTTCCTGCCCTTTTGTTAACCCTGAGAGAGCTGATATCAGTACCCAGCGATGAGCCTCATCAGGTTAAGCATCCTTCTCTTCAAAATAGAATTACTGCTTGGAATTTGCAGTATCTCAAAGCAATAATTGGAAACAGTGGGAAAAAAAAATATTTTTCAACTGAATAAATCTATGGAGTAAATTACAGGTTTATTTACATTGGCAGTAGATATCATAATAAGTATTAGAAGTTTTACCTGTCTCCCTTTAGGCCCTCTTTTTCCACGGAAGCCTGGAATGCCCTGAGAAAGAAATTATCCATCATAACTAGTCTTTTTTCTTTTTCTTTTTCTTTTTTTTTTTTTTATTTTCTTCAGCAGCTTAAATTCAAGTACTTAAGGTTGCCTTTGACTGGAAAAGACAGCCTGAGAAGAAGCACAATTAAAAAAATATCAACCAAAATATAGTTTTATCGTGGACATTGTGAGGCAACTGACAATTGCTTCAATGAAAAATACTCATGGATCTCTGTGGTCCTAAGAACAATTCAAATAATAATTTGTTGTGACATATTCATATAATTTCCTAAACCTCAGTTTTGCTTTTAGGCAAACTCAAGTAGTTTGACCTTGTGCATTTTTCACCATTTAACATATATAATCACCTAAACATTAATGCTTTCTTGATGTTCCATCATACCTACCCTTTCTCCTTCAGATCCTCTTTGTCCTGCCACACCTGGAGGTCCAATGAAACCCTAAATAAATAAGAACAATTAATGATTACAAGATTGCTTTCCACCAGAACTGCTTATCCGTCAGTGTTGGCAAACTGTAGATTAAAGGTCTATGGATTAAATCCAGGCTTGTTTGAAATCACCACTGAAACTCAAGTGACATCAACATGACCAGGATTTACTCTCCAGCTAACAGCAAAAATAATTTCCTATTATATAAATACTTAATAAATTAACAAAGAAGTATGGACAAAGTGTTCCTGTAAGTTAGGCTTGCAGAGACTTTATTATAATACATAAAACATGAAAAAGCCTATGAAATTAGACTTCTCTCTGAAATGCAGCAGAGATGTTACTTATTTTCAATAACTTTGTCTGACTTTTGCAATATGCAAGCATACTAGAAAGTTTATCTTGTCTTAAGCAGGATGTCCTCCTTAAAGGGCAGTCACAGTGTATTTCTCTCCCAGTTTTCTCTCAGGATGTCAGAAACAGATACTCTTGTACAATTGTGTGGAGATAGAAGCATGCTATTAGAATGGTGATTTACCAAAAAAAAAAAAGTACAAGTGAAAATGCATTAAAAGATTCAAACCAAGATTGAAACAATTAATAGTTAAGAAAACAAAAATTCCTTGTTTTCATCCTTCTCTCTAGCTCTCTGAGGATAATGTAATTTTTAAATTTCTTTTCTTTTGTGCCACCTCCACAACACAGTCATGTACCTCAGCAGACTTCGCCATTTTTGTTGCAAGCTGTCTGTAGAGTTCATATAAGGAGCTTAGTCTTGAGGCCTTACAGGTGTTTTTCCCTCAAATTACTTATAAAGCTAAACACTGGTCATTTTTGCCTTATGTCAGCAGACAATCAGTAACTTTTCAGGAAGCAACTGCGATCACTTAATGCCTCATTGGCTGAGAGGAGAATGAGACAAAATGCAATTAGAATTTGAGCAAAAATAAAGTGAAGAAACAAAGATATAATCCCTGAGGGTGCAATATCTGTTGGCACTTGATCCTGACAAACTCATTTTTCCCATCACTGTAATGAAAACTGACATCAAAATAAAACACAAAAAACCCCCAACAAACCAACAAACCAGACTCGTATCTAAAAAGCTATTGCAGGTAAATGCTTTTAGTAATCTCATTTGAAAAAACACTAAGAACAAATCTACAGTAAGCTTTAATAGATGCATGAGAACACAGCAAACTACTCAGTGCAGCTGTACAACACAAGGTCTTATACAATGTTTATGTGACAAGAGTGTTTCCCTTCATCAACCTCTGTAGCTATTGCAGAGTTGCAATTGCCAGATATATCTACCTTCTTGAGAGCTTCCATCATGGAAGTAATGCTTCAGGCAGAAAATGTCCACTTCTCATTCCCAGCCCTCACATCCCCACGTTCATTATTGCTTTACTTTTCTTGCCCATATGCATTCCGAATGAGAGGTAGAGCAATAACAGGAGATTACTCACCATAGCAAAAAAAAATATCATATTATTATTTTGAAATAAACACTGATTTCTCATTTGTGAATTGGGCATATAACTGTCAGGAGTGAGTACAACTCCTCAACCACTTTATTACATACATTGTGTGTGAAAAAAAACACATGCCAAAATGCTTGATGTGCTTGCTTACCCTTGCACCTTTAGGGCCTGGGTTACCTTCTGGTCCAGCTAAGCCCTATTAAAAAAAACAAATATGTGAGTTGTAATTCATTTAAGTAAACAGACATGCTTTGTTTGGAAAAAAAAAAAAAAAAAAAAAAAAAAAAGGATATATTTGTTGACTACGTCAAAATGCTCACAGATGAGGATATTATCAACTGGTGCACTGGGACCATGTTCAGAAAGGTCTCTCATTAATTCATAGCTGAATCTTAGACAGTCCTGAAGCTTCCTTTATATTACAATTGTTTCTGCTTGGAGTAAACATTTTCCAGACCTAGTGATCTGGTTTTATGGTGACAAAATTTCACAGGGCTTTCCATAAGCTTTTACATTTGGACACAACTAAATTTATTGTCAAGCTAATGTCATAATAGTGTATGTAGTTCAAATGTTCTAAGTATTTTATGTGATTCAATACAAACCTGTTATCATCCATTACTACGTAAAATATTGCAATGGAATATTTAAATATGTAGTCATTACAAACCTAACCCAATAAACTGGTATTGGTCAATTTCACTCTTTAAGACAACATAAAAACACAAAGTTAATAACTGAATTTGGCTCACAAACCTTTATATAGGGAAAACAATGAGTATTTCTACTTGGTCTTAGTTGTATTGGACTGAGGAATCTGTTACCTTACATTAAAAAATAAGTCAGTATTTATGTAAGTGCCTGTATTTATAAAAAGCTCTTTTATGGTTAGCTGGTTCTTCTTCTCAATTAATATATATTTTTTCCCATCTCGTAAAATATTCTATTTCCCTAAAAGGCTGAAGAAATAGTTTCAGCAATGAAGTAAATACACTAGGGCAATTCATAGTCAGAAGGAATAGGAGACTGCCTATTGCTATATAGTTCCTCTTACTATACAGCAATAGGCAGTCTCCTATTCCTTCTGAATTTAAAATACGAAATCAAAACACAGAACCACAAGGGGTTCTGTGAACTACAACATTAAGATATTAGGTACAGTGATTTGTATGCACTGGAAAGGTACAGCATTATGACTATAGCATAGGAAGTGAGCCAATACATTATATTCTTAGTGGTTTCAGAAGAGCTAGATGTGGTACTTTTGAAAAGAACAAATAAAAAGAACCAAACTACCAAGACATTAGCATAGTTACTGCACCTGCCTGCCAGGGTAACCAACTGCCCCAACATTGCCAGCCATTCCTGGAACTCCCTAAACAGAGAAGAAGAAGAAATTAAAAAAAAAAAAAAAAAAAAGCAAAAAACAAACAAACAAAAAAAACCAAAACCAAAACAAAAAAATCAACCAAAGCAGAAAACAAGCTTAATGTCAGGTTTAGAGTTGTACATATTATTATATGTAAGTCATTCCATCAACATCCCTAAAAAAGCATTACAAGAGAAAAGTAAGACTTTGTGGGAAAAAAAACAGTATACCATTTACTTTCATAACAAAAATATATATGCAACTTATGGAAGTAGTTGAGGAGGACTGTAGGAGACAGGTTCTTACAGCTGTAAGTAACTGCACTGGTCATAGCTATATTTTAACAGACGTGTTAAAAGTTTCATTAAAGAATCCTTTTGCCCTTATAAAGTCATCTTTCCACCTTCTTCCTCCCAGTCAAACCCAAAAGTCAATTTTGTTGTTGTTTTACTACTCAACATCTGCACAGCTTACTGTTTTTTGAAAAAGATGCTTTCCTGAAATGATGCAACATGCTACGGTCCCATCACAAAGACATGAGAAGCTCCACCTAGGTCTGTTCACTTAACTTCCTTTTATGAAAGCCAAGTCCATAAACTGGACAATATCCTAGCCTCAGCTTTTCACCCATTGTCATATGCCAGTGTTACTATAGCAATGGATTAGGATACCCTCTCTGAGCTCTTCACAGCTGATTTATGGGAAACATCAGCAACAGGAACCAGAACTCAAAAATGCAGAGACTTTCCCTGGAGGAAAGGCAAGGCTGGGTAATGGCCTGGGTATCCTGATCTAGCTGTGGTGTCCCTGTTCATTGCAGGGGAGTTGGACTGGATAGCCTTCATAAATCCCTTCCAAGTCCAAGGATTCTATGATGCTATGAAAAATGGGTTGCTGTATTTTTTGTTTCAATGTTCTGCCACCTGTTTTCAACTGGAAGCGATTCATCTTCTGACAGATGTTCTGCTGGGGAGCTAGTATCTACTGTCTTCTATTTTGGCTCAGAGGGAACTTACAAAAATGTGTATGAGAAAGCTCAAAATGTAGTGGAAGATTTGCATTTACAGCCTCCTTTTAAAATTCTACTACCAGCTATTCAAGGAGCTCAACAAGTCACAAATTCAGAGGAACAGCTACCTTTGCTCTAAAAGCTTCTAAAAACTATAGGCGTGGTTAAGTGCTACAGATGACTACTTATCTAACTTATCTTCTCCAGCCAAGTCTGAAAATGGCAGCACTAAGAACTACTTGCAAATCTAAATGCTTCCCCCCAACATGCTCTCTTAAAGGAGGAGTATTTTCTAAACAATAACAAAGGAAAACATTTACAGCAGTAGTATGAGAACACTGAGGTATCACACAGTTGCACATTGTCAATTCTCACATTCTTGAATTGAACTGAACTTCAAAAGGAACTCAAACTTGATTGTGCAAATAGCAAGCAGAATTATTTTTCAATGAAGTTGCACCTTTTTCCCTCCATGGAAACTGATCTATTACTTTTCCCCACCAACTCCTTTAAAGTTTGAGACAATATTCTCCTGAAGTTAACAATGAATTTTTCTTCCACTGGCTCTCACTGCAGCTATCTACTACAGCCATCGCGGTAAAATGTCTGTGGGTCTATAACAAAAATCACCACTCACTGAGAAAAGATTTGTGGAAAGAGCATATTAAAGTTATGCGTGATACTTATGTATTTTTTTATCTCCTTTCTGGTGTCTATCATCTGTTATTGTTGTCCTTTCCCTTGACTGTTGCCCAAAAGGGAACTTATGGTTCCACTTATTCTGCAGCTAGGTGCCTTGTTCTTGCTAACGCGACATATTCAGCAATTAGTTGTTGCAAAAGGGTTGCTTCTTGGACTACATAGAGGTGAGAAAAGGCACTGAATAAGCACTTCATTTGCAACATACTAGAAGACTAAAAATGCATTAAATTAGTAGATTGTTTGAGAAAATCTAAACAGTAGGTTTAAATTTTCACGATTTCTGCCAAGCTAGCATGATAGCTGAAGATAAATAAGTCGGTCTTTTCTGTTTCATCTAGGCCATTCTTCACCACGCTGATCGTTATGCAATCTGAATCTTTAAGCAGTTGGTAATTTACACTGATTGCTTGTACTGAGTATTTATATTGGATTATGCAGTCATCCATCATGAAATGCTCATCTAACGAGTACAGTCAACTATGTTTTCATTACTTACCTGCTCACCCCGTGGCCCTTGAAGTCCCATAAAACCTTTATGACCCTGCAGGTAGAGAAACAGATACATGATAAATAGTTTAAAAAAAAAACCCAAACTGACTTTTTCTTCCCACTCCAGTTTCCCATTATCAAGAAAAAAACCATTATCCAAACTTGTTTATATCATCCCAGACATCCTCTGGGAAGGACTACCTTGCAGGACACAGTATTTCTTTTTTAAAAAAATCACTTTGAATAAATTCTAGCCCTTACAGAATTCCTACAGTTCTGAAGAGAATAGCCTGCTCCTCATCCCAGAAATCTTCCTTGTGGTGCTGGAATCACAAAACTGTCAAACTTTAATCATTTCAACCATTATTTATCTCTTAAAGGAAAAAAAAATGAATTAAAAATACACCTAGAACGTGCTATCCACCTCAGAACACTTGAAATAGAAATCTTGGTCTTTACGCTCACCTAAGCAGACCCAAGCAAGCTGACCTGTAACAGTGCATGATCATGCATAGGCCAAGTATCTGTCCTCCACAGGTGCTGGAAATAAACAAGTTCCCAAAAACTGCAGCTTAAAAAAAAAAACCAAACAACCAGAATAGTCCTTATTCTGCATAGGAATCTATCAAAAAACTGGTTTTTAAGATGTTGATTGAATAGTAGGAGTGTCTTGGATGACGTGGAATATCCGGCAGTATTGGGCTATGATATTCTTAGTCAGTACAGCTTTAAAATGATGCAGCAGACCCACTGTAAGGAATTCTGCAACTGATTTCAGAGAGCCAGGTATCCTCACATTTTGGATAAGCTTCTGTTGAACCAAAACTGTGCTTCTGTATTGAATTAGTCATATATACAAGATTAAAGGACAGAATAACTTCACTCGGTGATAATTTTAGGTAATAGAAGAAAATTGCACATTAGGCAATTTTTCTGTTATAGGATTGTTTAAACAATTTTGCTGCAAAAGAGATGTATTCATTAAGAAACCCAAAGGCCTCCTTTTCTCTAAACTCAAAGCAGGTGTGCTTTCATTTTGCTAATCACACATGGGATATTGCTGCTTTGCAAAATTATAAGGCATTGTGGTTTCAATCCTGTCCTGTAACTTGAGTCAAGTAATTTTGATATGTTATCTCACATCTGAGAAAGCAGCTCAGCACTGCTGTTGAGAAAAAAAAAAAAAAAAAAGGTAAAAAATCTGTAACTGATATCCTGGATAAACCTGTTAATGTGACTGTGGATAAACAAATTGCTACAAAATATTCTGACTTATTACAGTAATCTAAGAGCAAGTATTCTTATCAAGCTGATAAAGCAGAACTAAAGATGCCAGTATAAGTCAGTAACACATTTAGATTTCTAATTGTGCCTCAGAAGGCCATAAATTTTGTTACAGCCCCATTATGTATTTCATGAACTTTGCCAATTTCAGAATTTCATCCTCTTCTTCTGATCAAATGACCAACTAAAATAGGTGTCGCTGGAAGAAATATCTCAAAAATCAATAATTTCAATACAAGAGAAGTGATGCTATACATGCAGTCATTTAGAGAGAAGCCTGTCACAATCTAGCTTTAAAGTGGGCAGGTTTAGCAGAAACGACAGCTGCATGGACAAACTCAAAAGAAGGAAGACAAAGAACTATGGGATGAAGAAGGGCTGACCTGTGCTCATCTGTCTACACAAAAGCATCTTCTACCTGAGGAAAATTGCAATGAACTCCTACCTTAGAGTATATATTCAGAGTTAGCACAGTCTTAATTCACTTAAGGTCATTTAAGTGTTTGAAAATGAAGCCAAGGACCCAGAGTAAGTGATGTCTGCACACAGGAGAACCATCCTTATGCTGACAAATCTCCACCCCAGTTACTTGGCTGTCAGAGGCAACTACCTGCCTGTCTGCAGAGGTAAAGCAGGCCCTTCTTGTGGAGGAAAGAGAATGAGGGGATTTCCATCCTTGCAAAGTCTCTGTACTAAGGAAAGTTTTTCAAGGGCTGGTTTTAAGATTACACTGTCAGAGATGGCTCAAGATAAGATTTGTGCTCTGCAAACAGTATTCTCTGCAAACTAACTCTTAAGTTTCTAGCCACCTGCTAGAAGATGCCTGAATATCAAGCTCTTAAACCACTCATGAGCATGCAATTCTCTGTGCTTATTCTAGAACAAATTCAGAACCCTACCCACAGCAACAAAAACCTTACCCTGAACATAGCAAAGCTTGGTTTTGTAGCTTGTCTTACAGGAAAGAGAAATATGTCACGTTTATATGCAGACACAAAGACACGTACTCTGACACATTCTGTGTAATGAAAAAGGTCTATCAAAATTATCTGTTCACAAAGTCCTGATTGTTAACATACTTTTGTTTTACTATCTCACAACAAAAACAAACAAAGAAAAAACTATAGTCTCAGCTTCATAGAAAGAAATACATCGATTTCTAATTACAATCCAAAGCAGCAGTTTATCCACACTTTCATAATGCACTGATGGCTTAAAAAACTTATTTTTTATAAAATGAATCTTTTTAAGAAACATTTCTAACATGATTTACTGAACTTATTCAGAAAAGAACCAGAAGCATACAGCTTCTCAAAAATTATTCAGGTCAAAGAAGTGAAAATAATATACAAGTTTGCCTCAAATTTCTGCAACATACTTTTATACAGGCTTCAAACAACACTGGACAAAGTCCAGAAGCAGAAAAATTTTGAGTACAAAACTTGCTAAACAAAACATAATCCACAAGCACAGCTGAGGCAGTCCTGTCCAGAGGAGGGCAGCAGGCATTGCAGTACAGCTCCATGGCCACCATCACCGCAGTTAGCATGGAATGGATTTTTGCAGAACAAAAAGCAAACCCTGGACTTAAGTGTTTCTGGAAGACGCTAACAAAAATCAGTATGAAAAAAGTAATTTTCATGAAAATAACATAGACTTGTATTACATTATTAAAAGAAAGTCTGGAAGAATGGTAGACTGGTTTGCTATCAATTACTTTTAAGAAACTGCTTAAGTCAACACGAGCCATCTGTGAAAAATCAAACAATTTTTGACACTATTAATTCTCATATAAGATTTTCTTATATTCTTTTTTTAATTGGAAGAGTAAGTTGATCAGAAATAAGTTATTTACTCAACATTATGTCAATTACCCAGTAACACTGGGGTACAGAACAAAAATGGAAGTACTTGTTTTTATCTTGCAGTTTAATCTTGTATCTAGATGACTTCACAGCTACTTCCAGTTATATTCCTTTGAAAATGATTTCCAAGATCACAATAAACTGACAGAAAATTACCAGTCTGACAGCATGTTTAGCCACTTATATGTATTGAAAAATGATGCAACTAATTCTGAATTTGTCATTAAAATATTAAGCATGAAATACTTTTTGTTGTTTAGAGGTTCAGTGCTGTTCAAAACCTGGTGCTCTTGCAATGCGGGTCAGGCAGAAGTTAACTTAAACATGGTTCTAATTAGTGTCTGATGTTTACAACATGCAAACAGAGCGTAAAGTTTCCAGTGATCAAGTGATCCCAGTTCTTCACTGAGTCTCTACCCTCAGATAAGGAGTGAATTCTTGTGACAGGAAGAGAGCATGATGGCCATGAGATTTTCATTTCCTTGCCCCTAAATATCAGTCTCATAACCCAGAACAAGTGACAGCTGCTTCCCATATAAAGAGCTTTAAAACAAAAACTACTTTGTTTTCTAACCTTAAACCTGATGAAAGAAGAAAGCATAATACTTAAGGAATCTGAAGGCTGCCCAAGTTCAAGTGAGTAACAAAAGCTATCGATGTCCAGACTTATTGGTTAGCTCTCACGAGGGGGGATGCAAATTCTTGTTGCAGCTACACATTTGCCCAGTTCAAGAACTGAGACCACGTGTTTGGCCAAGTAAGTTTCCACACTCCTCTTGGCATTATTTCAGTGATAGCTTCCTTTTCTGGACACACATTCACTGTTTCTGTCAATTCTAGAAATGAATTAGTAGATGATATATAGAAATATTTTTTATTCTCAAGACGATGTCAACTGAAGATGTCTTCTAACACTGAACACAAGTTCCGTTGCAATACCATTTCATCTTTAATTCATTAACAAGCAAACCTTTAAGTATTACTTCTCCCTTGTATGTCAAGGTAAGACCATGAATACCAGAGCCCACCTTTCTAACAGTTTATTACATCCTTTTGATGGACACTTTACAACTTCTTTAATGTTACATACTACTAAATTTCACTGTTTTATCTGTTTTCCATTCTTTTTATTACACTTGCAAAACAGAAGTGTCTTATTAAAAGACAGTATATAACAGCACTTTTCCCCCAACTTTCTTGCTTATTTTTGCCTGTTTGTCTATAATACAGCCTAACCAGGGCAGCCTACTAGACATGCTAGATATTCTCTCTTTCCACATAAACTGCATTTACTCCCTCACTCTGTGTTTATTTATTTTTTTAAGATTGTCTCATTTTCTCTAGTGACATCCTTCTGTTTCCTTTTCCAAAACTCGTTTGCCTTCTGTCTTCCTGTATACATAGGACTGCTGCAATTTTTATGCATTTATTAATGCAAAATATAGTATCTGATTTTTTCACACTAAAAAAGAAAACAACACAGTAGCACCCAAAATTGGAACTTATTTCACTTGGCTTCTATTTAGAAATTTAGCCACATGTTTGGAAAAGTAGTAAATAATGCAGAAGTACTACCAGCAAAAGAACACGTGATCCCACAGAGCTTTTTGTATACTGCAAAGTACACAAGGTAGGAAGAATAAGCAAAAGACTGAAAATCGAATACAATCAATCTTAAAATGGCTGTAACTTGCAGGCAAACCTACACAACCAGAAGGGGCATGCCATGCCTGCTATAATTTGTTTGCTTAGTATTTGAGAGAAAGTTTTGCACTGATGGACTTCTGACCTTACATATCTGACAGTACCAGCAGTAAGCAAAGCTCATACCCTTTCTTCTTTCTGGTGGCTGTAGCATTGAACCATGGAGGGCTATTGTGAAATAGGAAACAGGAACTTACCTTCTGGCCTTTGATCCCTGGTGGTCCTGAAAAGCCTATTGGGCCTGGATCACCCTGTACAATGACAGTTAGAATCAATGTTGCATTGAACCGCAGCATAGGGCTACCTATGCTACCACAGCATAGGGCTAACGTGTAGCAAGTCATATCTTCTCTTGAACATTTGGTGCAAAAAAGATGATGGTTATTATTATTTTTACATCAGGCACAGGTTATTTTTCTTAAATTACAAAAAACTTGAGAAGTATATATTTCATCAAGTGCTACCAACTGGTAATAGGGCTTAATTTAAGAACTCAAAACAGTGAGAACTATAGAAATGCCTAATCTGATATTTGTTGAAAACAGACGCAAGCTATATATATGTAGGCATAGCTCATACTTATATGTGGGTGACTGTTCAATACTATATCCATGGCAGTTTGGGCACCTGCCAATGAATATATCTTGAGTTTCAAGGGGACAGGTATAGCTCATGACACTGGTTGAGCTGCCAGAAATACAAGCTGGCTAGCTTAAAATAATGTTGCAATTTCTGCAAAAGCAGCATTAAGTTTCTTATCAGTGCATCAACTGAAGTATTTCTGAATCCTGCTCAATAGTTCTTTAACACTGAAAATACATATTACATTAGAACACATTAGAATGCCATTAAATGTTTAGCATTATCACTTTCATTTAAAAGTTTCATACATAAGCAGCAGTAGATTTGTTATCTAAAAATAGTCACGAGCTAAAAGTCCATAATTTCTATGAAGAATCATACTAAATATATATATAACTATTTTGCAGAGAGTGAACAACTGCTAACTTGGCTACAGAAGCCTACAAGGAGCTAGGTGAAAAAGTCTCAAACGTGAGGACAAATCTTAGCATCTGACTAGCTACAGTAAAAACAGACTAGCTGCAATATTGTAAAGAATAATGAGTACATTTGTCAGATTTTGTCTGTCTGTACTAATGCACAGTACTAAAGAAAAAGGAATCAGTACTTTGTCATTCCCCCAAACAAGATAAAATACATAATTTATGTTTCATCTTTGAGTAGTATTGTCTATTTACCTGTGGTTCATTGCATCACCTGTGTCTCCACTGATCAGTCTCACAGAAGTGTCAAAACACATCAGAAGTACAATGCACACAAAGCATTGTCTTGCTATAACTCGTGTGACCGTTAAACAAGAGTTCAACATTTTTCAATAATTAAGTGAGTGTTACCTTTTCTCCACGTTTTGCCTGTCCTGGGGAAAATCCTGGGTCCCCTTTAGGGCCCTATTGCAGAGAAATTAAGCTTATTAATATCAACAGGGAAGAGACTTTTTAAATTATATATGTGGAAGCATATGTTTTTACTGTTGTAGCAAGAGAAAGGGAAATACATATGCATTATCTATATCACCAAAAAAGTTACCAGACAAAAACTTGCAGTGAATCATGGCAAAATACAATAAATCACACTAAAAAGAAATCTGTTTTCTAAATTCCATGTCACAACATTTGATTACAATTTATCATTTGCAAATTGTCTAGGGATACAGATATGTCAGTGTGCATGTATTCACAATTATAACTGAATATAAATCCTGTTGCATACTTTACCAATAAAATTTCCATATATCAAACTAACACAAAATGGATATCAGCAGAGAATGCTGCTATTCCAATTTCCAATGCAACCATATTTTCAATTTATTTGCATAGTAGGCCTATTTATAACTGTTCACTTGTTTCAAAAGCTTAGCTTTCCTTATCGCAAATTGGCACATCCCAACAAGGCTATGTAGTTACATTGTTTCCATTATAGTGATTGTTAAGTTTTTATTTCCATCCCAAATTTCTAGCTCTCTCTCTCGCTTTCAGCAACCACTTTTATTCTCATAGGCATCCCCAGGACTCTATCGATGAGATTAATACATTGCTACACCAACACCTAGAAAAGGTTCTTCTGAAGCACTCCCACTAAGCAGGACATGTAGAGTTAAACTGGCGTGTCAGGCCACAAAGAACACAGTTCTTCAGCATGGTAAGAGAAATCTGAGTAGTTTTCAGCAATTTGTTTGCATTTTGGAAGGCAAATTATTACATTCCTTGAACAAATCCAGTTTGTCTGCTGCTTCCATTTTCCCAGTGCTGGCACATTAAACTAAGAGTGGAAATAAAATTGTTATCAACTCTTGACTGGTTAAAATAATAATGAAAAAAATAAACAGAAAACCAGGCCATTGTTATGCATCAATTGTGGATGAACACTTAGCCACAGGTCAAGATGCAAAGATAAAAATAAAGCTCCTTGTTATTTAATATATGTAACATTACAGTGTAATTAGAAAAGTGCCGAAATTTACAAGACAGATTTTCTTGAACTAATCCTTTTTCCAAAGAGCCAGAAATGCAGCCAAATTTTATGAATACTTTTAAATTACTTTAACATCCCTACCAATCATTTCCCAGGAATTAAATGCTGAGGATGCTCAGCTATTGATGGAAACTCTTTGTACCTGTTCAGGGATGGAATCTGGTACTCGGAGAAAATCAATTGAAACATTAAGAAGGATGTGAACTAACATTGTTCTATGCCTCAAACAAGTGCATAAGGATGCTTCAACACAAAAGGGAAAAAAGCATGAATTTCAAAGCTGCTTTAAGTCAGTGACAGAATATTGTTACAAAACTTGTCTGCTATGTTTTGAGACCCAAGGTATGTTTAATTTCAGCTTACATAGCCTGTGTAGGTCAGATGGATGCTCATAGTCAATCCATGGCGAGCACCTGGATAGCTTCTACTTAAAGTTTCAGAAGGCACTTGTATTGAAAGGATAATTTATAATCTAACAAATTAAGAAGAGTGCTACCCACCTACTGAAATGAGTGTGCGTGTATATACTCGTAAGTATTTGTGTATGCGAGTATATATGTATACACACATATACACACACACATACGTATAACCACACGCATACGCACATACATTTGTATTCTTAAATTCATGGATATGGCTACAGAGTCATTAAGGATTATGACCCAGTGGAGTGGGAAAATACATTATAAAACAAATCCTAGAAGTAACTGCTTATAATTGTTTTCCTAACAATGTACATTATTATACAGCCAGCACGGGTAATGTAACAATTGTGAATCTCTGAGTTTAACTGTTCCTATAAAAGCAGATACTAACTAAAGAGCACATACCAGATAGAGTTACTTAGTTTTACACAGTGTTTAACACTGAAAGCTTTATTAAATTTCTTTTTATGTCCTCAAGCAGTTTTTAACACCTGCCACGACAGGTCAGATTTCTGCCACAAGGAATTGCGCTAAAACAAATCAAGGTTGCTGCTGTTTTTTCCTAACTTATCTATCAAATTGTTCAAACTAAATATGAGTCGAAGGCATTCTGCAATTACACGAATCTGTCAAGTCTATTTAAAGGGGCATTACGTGACACAGATTTGAAGGGTTTTCTGAGCTTCCAGGTCTAGTATTCTTGCTGCAGTTTTAAGTATCGTATCAAGTGTGAATGTCTGAAATATCAGAGTATTTAAATATGAAAGACTGGGCACCAACAGAAAGAGGAATTTATAGAGAATGACTCAGTTTCCTTTTTCTGTTGTTGTTAATTAAGGCAAAAGGTTGCATCAATTAAACGCTTCTTCTCCCTTAAATTCCAGTTTACCTAAGAGGCTAGGCTGATTTACATGAGCTCTTTTGGGAAGCACAGACTACTTGTTTCCAAGTCACCATCCCGCACAGTTTCCTTATTCTTGGATAAACTGCTATTTTTTCATGATTTTAAGATCTGTTTGATTTATTATATTTAATTAAAAATTGCTTATGTTAACACTCTCCATCTATAAACTGAAGACAACCAATTGCTTCTATTACAGGAAGTGATTCTATGGCTTCCAAAAAGCCATTAACAAGTTCACTTATTTACACAGAAACATGGATAAATTAACTCACCTTTGGACCTGGCAATCCTGGCAAACCTGGATTACCATGTGGTCCTGGAATACCCTATAGAAACAGAGAGAGGGAGGTTATTCAGCAATTCACTAAACTGTTTACAGTTGTTCAGTGAATCATTTTACTGCATTACTGTTGCTTGTAGAAGTACTGGTTGAGACTTTCAAAAGATTGTCAAGAAATGAGCACAGCCTCCTAACAATCAAAAGTGAAGAATTCTCAAATCTTAGCAGGTATTCAGCATGTAGCTCTGCAGCTGCACAACTTGAAGGCACTGGATTAACACAGAGAAATCACATTGAGGCACTCAACTATCAGTTACAAAATAAGGAACTGGAATAGTGTTCACTGACTGAAGGGAGGACATAAGGCAAAGTATTCCACCTCCTCAAAACAAATCTTTACAGATAGAAACCCTTCAGATTCTCTCATAGCCAGTGTAAAAAATGGACTTGTTGCCAGAACAGTTTAACTGAAACCATTCCAGGAATAGAATGGCTAACCAGAACTGTCTCTACCTAGTAGCTGAATCGCTACCCAGGATAAATGTCCATTCTTGCAACACACTGAGTAATCCTCAATCATGATAAAGTGTGCATTAGGGAAAATATTTCTGCAGTGGCTGTCAGCAGCTATTCTTCTTCCAAACCCTGAAGGACCAAACTGGTGAAAAGCTAACCCTGGTAAGTCAGCAGCAAAGATTTTCCCATATCCACTACAGCCAAAATTTCACACAAACTGAAAATAAGATTCTGTTTCAGCTCTCTCATAAATTCAGTGTTCTTACAAAAGATAAACTTAGCATTACTCTTTCCTTCACTGTGGCAACACAGAGCTGTGAAAGCATCCTGGTGAAATGGGAGGCACTGAGGCAATTTGGCCTCCTTGCTGGTTAATTCTGAATTTCCTGAAAGTTTATTCTGGAGGAACTTGGAACAAGCCAAGAAACAAACACGAAACTCAAAATCGTGTGTCAGATGCAGACCTAGCTCTATCACAGAAGAAAAGATTTTAATGGAAATCTGTAATCATTAATCAGGCACTGGTAGTGTCCAACCCACATTAACCTCTATCAAGACTGGGCTTGGACCTTGGAGGCGGCCCAGACACTGCAACTCTGCACTTCACTTCTTCCCTGTGACACCTCCAGTCACATTCTCAGACCACAAAGGGCAGCTCACACGGTGGAAGACAGAAGTCACAGAGCAGATTGGTAAATGGGGAAATGAACTTTGCATCAACAAGGTTTTACATGGTTTTTTGTTTTTTTTTTTTTGTCTCTGCACTAATTGTACTTGCAGTATTGAGCAGTAAAGAGCTCTGGCATTTAAAAAAAATATATATATTATTTGCTTAAAATACTTTCTCAGCTCTTGAATGCATTGTAAACTCTCTTCGTGTCATAACTGCTGCTCAATATTCACCTTCATCATTTCCTTACCATCCCTATACAACGCTATAAGACGTGTTTTCTGACATGGCTTGTAGTTTTCAATATAAAAATCTGTGCCGTACAAACCACCAGCTTTTCTTCAGCAGGATAATATGGAAACAAAACAAAAACATGAAGTGAAGAAGACATGGATTTGAAAAAATTGTTTTCATTTTACACTTTTAAGTGTATCTCATCCAGTTCCTCTTCACCAGCTGCCCGGAAGTACCAGATCAGTTCCTGTCGCTTGGAGGGCTGCACTTTCCTAGCCAGCCACACCAGGTTTTGAAAGCCAGCAAAGAACAGAATGCTGAATGCAACGTGGAGTGACAGCTTGTTTAAATGTGCCTCAAAGGCTGACTCAACACTACTCCCACACATCTGCTGGGATTTTTGTATAATCTGCTCCCTTGCTTCCTGCTTGCCATTTGGCTAGCTGAGTGCGTTCCAGCCGCAACCACTTACATCCCCAAATACCACAGCCCAGCAAATCCTTACATTACCTATCACATCTTTTGTCAAGCTGCTGTAACACAAGAGTCTAAAATAGATTATTGGGAACAATTTTTTGTCTTGTAGTGGCTAACTTTGTATCCATTGCCTGCTTGTCTGCGCGGTGTCACATGTTGCTCACTCCTCATTCCAAAACCAAATTAACTTGACCCTAGTTGCAGAGTTGCAGATGGAAACAGTGTGGAGAATACCAAAAAGTTAATATCGCAAGCAGTAAAAGATAGGCGTGAATGTCACAGTGCCCTGTGTGTGTGTGTATGCACCCCTACACAGAATTGACTACGCTGAAGCTCACAGCAGAAGAAAAAGTTACTTTGCCATATTTTAAGCTATCTACCAAATGTTAGGAATCACACACTTTCATAATCAACAGGCACACAAATGAAGTTGAAAAAAAAGCCAAAACCCACCAAACTCCAGCTTAATTATCAGTGACCTGTGCGGAGCTACACAAGAACAAGCTGTTTTACTCACCCGAGGACCTCTTTTTCCTGATGGACCAGGCAGACCTGGAGGACCTGGAGGACCCTGGTGATAGAAAATCAAAACAATTGAGGCTAAAAAAAACAACACAAGGACAGCACCACAAGTCTGAATAACACTGGTTCTTCTACCTGGTGATTTCCTGCTTTGGAAGCCTTTGCTGTTTGAAAAATGACTCTTAAGCTACAAGCATGTGTGTTTTTAATTTTACTTAATATCAGGTGTTTAGAAATCATTTTTGTCCTGAGGAATTGGAGCTAACAATCTAGATTAACACAAATACACGTAAGCAAAATTCACAAAGAGCAGCTCATCTCAAGAATTAGAAGCAAGTTCAGTGTATTTCAAAACAAAGAGCAGAATAAAGTATTTTTAATAAATATGGAGGCATGCCAAACATTTTATGAAATCAGACAACTTATTATGACAAATGAGATAGCACTGCACAGAAAAAACAGACATGAATAGAAGAGACAGTAAGTATGCGTAAATGATAGTTCAGTTTCACCAGTTGCGAGCTCGGGATAAGAATAACTGGCAGTGTGCCCATTCTCTGTTTCACTTGCAAATAAATCATATCATTCACTTAAAAAAAAACCCCAAAACACAGATTCTTCTATTTTTGTGAATGCATTCCTAAATAGATAGTTATAACCAGATGTATCCTTTGCAAATAGGTCAGATTAACAGTGACTCTAAGAATATTAGATAATGTGTCACCATTTGGACAGCGGTTTTGACCATAGAAATCTTTCCTTTTCTCTATGTGTTCATTCCAAAACCCCAGGATTTACTTCATCATACTCTAATATGAATATGAGTGAGACTCTGAACAAGTTCAGCACCAATTCATATTAGATTTCGTCTATTACATTTAAGTGCTGAAGAGGCATGGGCTATAATTAAAGATGAATTCAGCTCCCAGCTGGATGCCAGCATGAGTCCCAGCAAACAAACACTCCTACTGCAAGGGAAAGCAGGCATCAAGACAGAAGGAGGGCAATTGATGATAGAAGGAAGAATTTAACTTGTTCTTTTACCCCCACATCCTCACACTCTTATGTCTGCAGGTGCTGCATACCATCAGCTGAGAGGATAAGCAGAGCCTTTTGAATATCATGCTTCTCATCACCAAACAGCATTGCTAAAAGCTGGCTGCTACCAGGGAAATGCAGAAGGGCAACAGTGATGGAGAGGAGGGAGGAAAAGGGAGTAGAAAGGGTAGAGGAAAAGAAAAAAAAAAACACACAAAAAAAAAAAAAACAGGAAAAGAGAACCTCTAGCACCTTTTGGGGTTCTGTTAGCAACAAATAAAAGACTTTATTAAGACAAAAGCTATATTTTTAAAAAACCTTAAAAATTTTCTTAGGGAAGTGATATTTCTTTTTGTTTAGAAAGAACATAGTTGGCAGAGAAGACAGTGCTGATCACAAATTTTCAGTGGCCAAGCCAGTTACCTTCATTTGGCTAAAATACAGACTACTTCACACAATTCTGGGGAAAAAAAAACAAACAGCTGTATTCTGAGGAAAAACAACAACAAAAAAATCCTTTCCTCTCCAATTAATCATAGTAATCTTCAAAGACCAATATTATAGCTGGACAAAACTGAAGTGATACAATCTTGCACAATCAAAGACTGAGAATTTCAGTATTATGGACTCACGAAGATGCCACTCTGCTCAGTTACAAAAAGTCTGCTATAAACACACTGGTATCCTTGAATAGTTACAGCTCTTCTAGTTAAATGAACCAGGAAAATAGTGGGAATTTTAAACTACAAGATTGAAGTCTTCGTTCATATAAGTCTAGCTGAATTCTGGAACCTCCCTGACTGTTTCAAAACCCATAGAATCAGGAAACATAAGGTTTAGGAGCAAGGCTCTGCAACACAGATTATCCTGAAAACAAATAATAGCCCTTTTATTTGCCCTTTTTTTTCTGGGCTGGTATTTACACAGAGACAGTGAAAATGAGCTTGGGCAGAAAAAGGAGACATCTGGATTCTCTGAAGTGCTGCGCACTGGCAATTTTCACTCAGTGCCATCTGCCAGAAAGTTCAGTTGGCAACCAAAGTGAAAACAATGACTTACACAACCTAGAAGACAGTTTATAAGCTGTTTCCCCAAAGTTAGTATCATGGACATGATAGCTGTTTAAGGAGAGCTATGGGTATGTAGGGACAATGCAGAAGATGACTCATTTTGTCAATCAAGTAGACAGACATGGAAAGTTCTTGACCAAATGTTCTTGTCAGGAGAGTTCCAAAAACTTGAGCTTCCACCCAGCTGGAATACTAAGTGAAGAGATGGACTTAGTGTAGAAAATTATAATGGGACTACCAAGGGAGATGTTACATTTTCCATAAAAATAGTTTTAACTAGTGCATGTTCTTTTGGGAAAATATTCTTCTCTAACTCTTTTTCAGATCCTCTCTACACTTCCTTAACAAAAATTAACAATCAAACCCCATTCTTTTCATGGCGGGAATATGAATGTATATTAATTGGCATCCTTCACCTTTGCTGATAAATTACTGAATGACAGCAGCAAGAATATTCTTTCCTATGTGGCTCCTTTCTTGTTTTGCCTTGTTTTTTTTTTTTTATTTAAAGAACATCTGCTCTTTTTGAAAAAAAATTACTTCATAATTACACTAATTCATGAGTAATTATCTCTCTCCATCAAAACCTCAAAAGGAAGCAAATCTAATGGAGGAGAAACTTTCTTCTACAAGGTATGAAAACGAAGTCCATTCTCACAATTAAGTCCTCAGAGATCCCAAGAAGAAGCAGTAAAAATTTGGAACTGTGTGGCCAGGGATGAATAATACATCCCCAAGGGTCTCTAAAACCAAGTCAGCTGTTGTAACTTAAGTCTCTGGGTAACAACAATTAACAGTTGGATCAAGTTAATTCAACAGTCTCTCAAGACTTGGATTCTTCCTGCAATCCCTCCTTCATCTTCAAGATTTCATTTTAAATGTTTTCTTCTGTAGAAAGATTACTTTCTCTACAGACAGCCCATTTGGTTCTCCACCTCTGCACATGGACTAGTAAGCCAGATCGCTGATTGAGGTTATAGAAGTCACCTAAAATAACTTAGAAAATAAACAGTGGGAAACGCTTCGGTGACCTTATTCTATTCTATACAAAGGGTGTCCCAATTGTCTTGTGTCTAGATTTTCAACCATTCTGGAGAATAACAGCTGAAGAACTGTAGTTAATCACTTCTCAATTTTGGATGCTGAGCTTTTTTTTTTTTAAAGCAATAAGAAGCATTTTAGATTTGCCCCATGCCAGAGAGAATGGAATCATAGAATCATGATAGGAAGCACTGCAGAAGAAAATTTCCACACAGGTAGATTCCGATCCTGTCCCTCGTGTCCCACCTAAAGTTCCCCACTATTTCTTTCCATCCTTTCTGCAAATCTGTAAACTGTCTTTATTAAGTCTTCCTTTCATGGACTGCAAAGTTTGCCTTCATTTAAATTATTAAACCTGTTGTGTTATTTTAACTTCTGCTCAGAATTGTATTTTCAACAGCAGACACTGCTAATGCACTCCTCTGCAACCTTTCTATCTGCCAAATTGTTGTTGTTGTTGTTTTGGGGTTTTTTTTTTTTTTTTTTTTTTTTTTTTTTTTTTTTTTTTTTGAGTTTAAGAAAAGGGTTCACCAACCAAAATTGAGGACTTTTCTTCAAACTACTAGCTCAGAATAGTCAAACCAGTAGAAAAAATTACCAGTCTCCAATATTTGAGACTCCTAACAACGAACGCAGTTTTGTAATGCTTAGTACTTTCTCCAATGTGTTGTAACATATATATAACATATATCACCCTCATCTGACTACCTTACTAATCCCTCCTCCTTCCTCTATTTCTAATTCTGATTTTAGTAATATTGCACAAAATATAATGCTGCCAGTCTGGGGCCATCTGGGATTCATATTTTGTTACTCAAAATTCTACCTATTAGTAAGTTTGTTTCTCTTTTTAAAGCATACCGATTATAAAGCAGCCAGGACTCCACTAAGCATGAATGTCCACCTACCTTTTTCTCTTGCTTCATTTGCATTTCATTTGATGTGAGAAGAGAAGCACACTTATCTTCCCAAATACCCCATAACAAGCAGTCACTTGTGTAGGATTAGCCTACTTTCCTGAGAGCTGTTGAAGTCTTGCTCTCTCTGTCAAGAACTACAACAGCCAAAGCAATATCATCAACATCAGAGGAATATATATATAGCTTTGGGTGATGGATTAAAGCTTCTCAAGACTGTTATGCAGAAAAACAGGGAAACCATTTCAGGTGAATTAAAACAAATGTTCAAATATTTAAAACAAATGTCACTTGGAGTTTTGTTTGCTTTTTCTAGTAACAAAAGTCTTAAGATTTCATCTAGATTGTCAGATAGTGAGATAGAGATTTCCCAGCCTGGGCAGAATAACGTGAGGGTTACTCACAAAGTATAGATATGTGAACATGATTAACTACCCAGTGTATACCCTTTGGCTAGGGACATCCACAGCAAGCAATTTTCTTCAACTGATAAATCAGCTAAGAGCAAAATCTCAGATGATGCTACCCTTAATACTGCTAATTTAGTGCTGCCTTTAGGATTTTTAAACTCCTGCCCTCATTCAGAGTTCTCACTCTCACATCTCCTGGCTGTAATAAGAGCAACCCATCCAGCATCTGATTCTTCCTTATCCAGGCACTGCACTTCTATTTCCTCCTGACAGTATCTTTAGACTGATGTCACCAACTGGACAGCCTATGGAAAGACACATTTTGTCTTCTTTCACTGCTCGAGGACTGTATTCTTAACACAGAAAAGTTTTCCAAAAGAGTTCATTTCTCAGGGACATCAAAGCTCATGCAGTTAAGCAGACTGACTTGACAGCAAGTAACCTAACTGTTCTTCAGTCCTGACTTACACCTCCCTTTAGACAAGCAGGATCACATATCATGCTACTGCAAGCAGCCTTAGGACTCGTGTGACAGTAAGTATCAATTGGAAAGCTGAAAGAGTTAAAAATAAATTAATTAAAAGGAAAACTTTTTATAGTGCTAACACCCCCTGCAATACAAAAGGAGTGGCTCATCAGGTGAATCAGAGGGAAATGTGGTCAGGAGACAACAATGTTCAACTTTAAACTTGCTTCATATTTTTATAGGGGATTCTGGTCATTGAAATTTCTAGGATTTTACTCAGTCATAGTGATTTTGAAGAATTAAGTGGAAGAATTAGATATGCTATCCATAAATGAAGGCCTGAATTCTGGAGCCCTCCTTTGTAGCAATGGGTGAATTCCACAGCTGTGGGATCATGGAATTCAAGGGGCCTAATTATACAAGGCAAGAATCAGTTCTGGTAGATGATTAAAAGCTAAAATGTAGCTGAGGAGTCTAAGAACCACAAAAGCTAGTTCTTGCCTGTCAACTCCAATAGAACAAACATTATTTCTGTGCTGAAATCTTGAAAGAAGGTTCAAACCAACCACAACATAATGAGAGAAGAAAAAAAGAGAAGGGGCTTCATGCCTCATCAGGATTTCTTTTTGCTGCAGGCGAACTCTGCAAGTCCCTCACTGCTGCTTTTTTAGGCTCCCCACTGATAAGACTCTGTGGATACTTATTTATTAAAATGTTAGAGCCTTGAAGATAAAACCTGGATTATCACAGTCTTCTCTCCAAGGATGTACAAGACAGAAAAACCAAGAGCATCTCTGTAAGTACAAGTTCAATGACAACAGCAGGCACAGTGCCACACCACCTCCAAACACAATTCTTTACAGAAATCTTCTGTAGAAGAGCCATACAGAGACCCTTTTCTTGCTTCAGCAAAAATCTCTGTGGCAACACAATGCTTTAGTTTGCCCATAGGCTCAGAGGTGCTGTTGGTCCTTCCAGTTGAACTTGTGCCCACAAAGGTCTTAATCAGCCTCCTAGCTCTGCAACACATCACTTAGACCTTAGGCATGTTACTGAAACTCTGACCCAGCAATGCATTATATGCTGTAGCTGACTTGCACAGGAAACAAGCTTCTGCATCCCATCCATAGGACAAACATACAAAATGATAGCATACACATCTTTCATATATATTTTGAACTCTTCAGATCAGGTGTATGAATCATTATATGCACAATGTCTGCATCTAGCAAAACCAGAACATTAGCTTGCAGATGCTTAATACACACCAAATAACAACAACAACAACCCAACAACAAAATCTCCAATCAGCAGCTATTTCTGTGCCATGTAAGAAATGGTGATTTCAGTCAGTTGCAGTCAATAAATCTAAATATACAATTTTAAAGTTATGTGCTATGAATCAAAACTTTCTGTTAGCAGTTGTTAAATATCATAAGCTGCAGAAATGAGAATTAACCTTAACTCACATTTATAACAGCTACATATGTAGCTGTACATTTATGTCCCCCTAAATAAAGGGCTTGAATATGAAAAAAGAAAAAGAAGACTGGCTTCACACTTACAAAAAAAAACCTCCAAACAAGAGCAGCCCCTGACAAACATAAATTACTCGTTAACACATTTTTCAGCTGAGTAACAAACTCTTAGCATCAAGATTCTGTTTAGAGTAAAAATTAAACTTCTACATAAATTTTCAGTTGCTGACTACCTGAAGAAAATATTTTTTCAGTGCTGAAATTATACTTGCATATTCAAACATATAATAGAAGCTGCTTGCCTCCTCCTGCCAAGTTACTTTCCAGTAATAACCACACAAATACAAGAGAAAAACAGTAGAACAACCTTCTCCATGCCATAGTCTGACAAATTTTAACCAGAGACTCAAACAGGAATTATTATCATATCTCCAAGACTAAACAGGAACCGCTGTTATTTCTTGCATGTAGTTTCATGTGCATTGACCCCAGTTTTATGTATGAAAATGTTTATGACCCTCAAACACACACAATGAGAAAGGACAAATTAGTGCTATTAAAAGCACTGCTGTGCATTTGCAGTCATTTCAGATATCTCTTACCCGCTAAATGAAGAGATGCCACAAAAATGAGTTCTAAACATTACTTTGCATGCAGACTTGCGTGATCCTGCAACTGTGGGTTAGGAATGGTTTGAAAGGATTAGATTCTACAAGTGGTCTGCTTCAACAATTACAAATTTTGATACCATCACTCAACTGAGAAAACCATATCATTCTTCCAAACAGCCTGGTTGTTCTTTTTCATGGAACAGTGTCTACATTTGTAGAGAGTATGAAATTACCCTATAATTTTATTAAGTGACCAGCCTCCATAATTAGCAGTTACAAACATCTGGCTGCATTTCAGATTTTTAAAAAAGATTGGGTTGCCCACCACTTCACCAGAATTGAATGCTTACATATTCTGCTAATCAATAAAAATACACACCACTTAGGCCAAAATTATATGCCAGAGACACACTTATGGCAGACAAACTTTTGCACAATACAAATGGGAGAAGCGGTAATCGCAGCCTGGCAAGTTTTGCCAAATTTATTTCAAAGCCTCTTTTAAATATACGTTGCTTCATTATAATAAAGAGTGTAATAAAGGTAACTTACAGGAGGTCCAGTCTCCCCCTTTAAGCCTCTGCTACTTCCTATTTCAAATATTTTGCCTTGGTCTTCATAGTTGTAGTTATCAACATAATAAGTGTTTTCTGTGCGATAAGTATTATTAGCATCAAATGGACCTTCTTCCTCCAAACTAAGCTGATTATCCAGAGAGAGGTCAGCAGTCAAACTGTACAGAGTTGTGTTGAAGATCTGCTGCTTTTTGGTTGGTTCATCTAAATGTTGTTTTTCTTTGTCCACTCCCTTGTTTTTCATTTTACTCTGTTTTACAGGGAAGATCTGAGAAAGCTCATTTTGTCTGTCTGCATCTTCTGTGGTAGTATGTGAAGTATTTGAATATGAAGCCTTGTTTTTTCCAGTGCCGCCTCTTTCTTTGCTTGGCTCCTGATGGTGAAGGAGCAGACTGACCTCCTCCTGGACTTCTGTTTCTGGCCACACTTCTAGCAGCAGGGGTTTAGACTCTGCAAATTCCGATGTTGAGACATTTATTGACTCAAGGTACTCCAGTACGGAGTGAATCCGAGCAATGTCGGTAACAGGACCATTTGATACTTCCTTCCTTCTATAAGATACATCTTCCCACTGTTTTTTCTCACCAATCTTTTTCTTCAAAGAAACATCTAGCACACCTGATGCATATGGTGTTCCTAGCAGAGATCGATATGTTTCAGCCTGGCGACACTGCTGTTTCATGTATTTACAATAGTTTGCAGAGGCTTCTGCAGAGGGAATGATATCTAGCTGGCATATAACTCCTTCAAAGCTGACAGAGTGAGAGTTCATCCTTCCCAGGGTAAATAAACCGTCCAAATCAAATGCCTCCACTTCATAAAGCATTTCCCTGATATAGTACTTCTGTCCACACTCAGCAAACATTGAGACAGTCTTGTATCTAATTTCAATGGCAAACCAATGCCACTGTTCATTATGAACACTATAATCAAAGTATACAGGCTGCTTCCCTCCAGTGTGCACCGCTACCTTTCTTGGTAGCAACTGGACACCAAACAGCAGTCTGGTTTTGTTCCTGATACTGAAAAGAAAAGCATTATTTACAGTGTAAGAGTACAACCCAACCAGTATGGTGAAGTGATGCCCTAGACTTGCTGGTATAACTTGAGCAACGGAGGCCTCAACACACGCGTCAGCAGTCAGCACAACTCCGGACACGGCCAGGCGAACCCCCCGGGGCAAGAGTGGCACTGCTGAGGGCACTGGCGTCACTGACGGCTGCTGGACTTCGCTCACAAGGCCGAGCTGATGAAGAACATCTACTGCTGTAAAAAGAAATGAAGGTACACTGTTCATTTCACTTATGAGCTCAAATTCAGATCCAAGCAAACAAATGTAAGGCGTATGTATACCAGTCTTTCACATAAATCCAACAAATATAATTAAAGCTTTCCTAATGAAAAAAATATTTAATAATTTTTTAAAAAAGCCCGTGTAATGCCCTTTGGAGGTTAATTCATTCATAAAACTGAGAAGTCCCCATTTGCTGTCATCAACTTTTCACAAGAGTTAATGAACATACTGTGTTCATTTGGCAATTCCTGCCTACCTATCCTTTAAAGCAAGAAGCAAAAAAAACCAACCCAAAATACGTTTTTCCTCTTTATCTGAAAACTATTAACATTTGAGGGAGGGTTGTTTTGTTCCCATGAAGGGACAAGCTATTTACTAATACAGTAAGCAGTGCTCAGAGCATTGTGCAAGCTCCTTTCTCACTGATCCTCAGAGCAGAACTGAACAGCAGCCAGCAGCCCAGACTAACATCGACATTGGCCCTGTTCTAAGCACCAGGTAGGACCAGACAAGCTCGAGGTCCTTTCCAACCTAAACTTCTCAATTTTTTTGTGTAAGGCGAAGCTGAACATCACACAGTTTTCATAGGCACTACTGCACAGACACACTTTTTTCTGTAACAACTGGCTGGACCTGAGCTGTAGCAAGCTGCCAATATTAAAAATGACTAATATTACTTAATATTAATGACTAACATTATTTAATATTATTTTAATATTATTTAACCATCAGAGTGATGTAATAAGCCTAACAGGGAACAGGCTGCACTTCCTACAGCATTTAGCCAAGGGTATTACTTTTTAATTTTTTTTTTTTACAGCTTTTTTTTTTTTTTTTATTCAACCATGCAACTAAGTGTTCTTTTTAAGCAAATAAAGCTACTAAATGGCATAACAAAAATGGGAGTAACAAAGAGAAGCTAAAGATTCATTGCTATTTTAAGAGACAAGAGCAACAAACGGATGTTCACTATTTTTGTGGAAAAAAGATTTTCTTTCCCAGTCTTCCTTTTCTGTTTACTGAATGTATTCACAGCAAACTTTAAGAACACACAGATGTTGGCTTAGTTTCAGTAGTAAATTATGAAGAGAGTCTGAGACTTCCTTGAGAGTAGTTTATAAGTTGGAACCAAAAGCATCAACCTGAACGCACTGTGCATCTTGAAAATTAATTACACACCTTGTAGTGTTTTTAGCCATGTTAGAGATCTGCAGGAGTGCCAAGATTGGCCTGGCAGCCAGCCCAGCCAGAACTACGGGGAAAGCACGTCTTTGCAGAAAGTCACACGTACGCCAATTTCCCAAGATGTTCTGCCTCAGAGCAATTAACTTACTAGGAGTATTTTAATCTGTCAAACTGATAAGAGAGGTCAGGTTATAGTAGAAGCATTCTACTTCGCAGCTCTGGTAATGAACACCCGCACTTTCCCAGGACCCTGGTCCTACATGGCTGGGTGTATTTATGGAGGAGAAAGCTGTGCATGTGTATTCTTCTAGGCAATATAGAAATCTCACGGGGCAAGCAACTTGCCAATGGCTTCAGGGACAGCTCCAGGACTTCTGTGCACATGCTGAGCCAGCTGATACACTGCACCAGGGAAGCCATTCCAGCTTAACCTTGTACTTGATTGTCACAATTTTAATCTGAAGTATCAGGCAGATATTTGTAAATATTTATCATTAAATAATAATGTCAAGTGATCTTTGCCCAAAGTATTGCAACTGAAGAACAAAACAACAAGTCTACTGACATAGAACAACCAATTTTAAAGTGACATTAAGGAGCACTCTTCCTAAATCTCAAATGACAAATTTTGGCAGCTCTAATTTGTAAACACTGCGTTGTTTAAAAAATTATTTTAAAAAAGGAAAAGCACTCTTGAGTGTGAAGAGATATAAAACACTTTCTCCACATCCTGCAAACTATGACAGGTCTCGAGAAGATTCAGCATGGAGAAATGCTGTGTGAAAAATAACAGCAAAAGATTAACTACCAGCTAATTATTTCTTGCTGACTTACTGCCTATTAACCCACCATCAAGCCAAAAGGCTGTTCCAAACTTTTTTGGCCAGTCACTTCATTTCTGGTCCAAATTTTTTTTTTATTTTTTTTTTAAAGCTTTCAGAAGCTCTTGGCAGTACACAGGGTTTAGGGAGCAGGCAACCCTCTTAGCTCTTTCTCCCAGCATGACAACCACAACTTTCTTTACCTATCAGTAGCCAGTTTTCTTTGTTTATCCATGTCTGCGCAACATCTGTCTTCACTTACTGTTCACCCAATCCATTAGTCCCCCAAACCGTAACAGCTCCTCTTCTTCAAAGAGAAGCTGTTTGGGTTTTTTGGTCTCAGTTGCCTTCTTTCCATCTTCTAGGATTACTTGTAAAATTCACAACATAATTGGATTGTGAAAAGAGGAAAAACTTAATAAAAGTTAAGACTTGGACAAACAAATATATATATATATATATCTGATATATATATATCAGAAAACAATCCCAGAAAGAATGGTGAGGTGATGGTAGTGTTCTGTGTCACTCTTCTGTTCAGTCTCTGTTCATTTTTGCATACTCCCCCACTCTCATTGGCAGACTATTTGGGGGCACTCTCTCCATTTCAAAAAACACACATGATTTGTTTTCTCTTTACTGATATGGGTACAGAAAAGTAAAGATCATTCATTTGTCAGCTTCACCAGAACTCATGGCAATTACTCAGCAGGTTGCCCATTCCCTAGGTGGTGGTGCATTTGCAGTTGGGTAAGTCACAACACAAGGTTGTAACTGCTACTTTCCTAGACACCAAGGCTGGGCAACTGGCACAGCAAAGCAAACCAAAGACAAACATTCTGCACATTCTCAAGCCAAACTTAAGGAACTATTCCTAAAAACCAATGCTGTGTATTTACATATATGTAACTTAACTATAAATTGAACACAATTTATAGCACCATATCACAATACATTATGTGTAGCTTGTCAAGTAAAGCACACACTAGCTGCCTGATCAGCTCAGGAAAGAAAAAACATTAGTTACTCTTTCTAGTGTCTTCGTATTTGACAGAATATTCTTTCCAAAATGCAAAGTACAAGAAAGTTTTGATACCAGCTTAAGCATTAACATAGTTATAAATGAGCAGTTCATCCTGTTTGTGGACAAATCCTAAAGCACTGTGAATGGAGCAGTGCTACCTCAGTGCATAGTGTATAGACTGAAGGATATTCTAGAGCCATTCTGACTTCTTTCCTTTTCTTCCCTTCCCCAAGAACTTGTTTTTCTTGAGATTTTTTTTTTTTTTTTTTTTTTTTTATCTTTGAGATTATGGCTTCATTCATGTATGCTTTCTTCTCTAACAATTTTGAGTTCTATGATTCAACTACAAGATTTCCTAAGGAGAGATTCCTGGCATGTGCACTTATTCATTTACTTTTCAGGAGTCACATTTTTCCATCTTCTGAAGCTGATGAGGTTCAGGGGCACGGGTGAGCAACACGCAGAAACACATGTGGCTCCACACCTCTCCACAGTGACTGCTTATTTCTTCCACAAGCGCCAACATCTCTCCTTAAACCCTCCACAACTCGAACAACCATTTTAAGAATGACACAGTAACAACACAACTGCACAGACTATCTCCATGACCAACAGTACCAGATGTGCTTTATGGTCATAGTTCTTTCAAAGTTCACTTCCTTAATGCTAACTACCCCCTGATATAGAAAATCCCCTTAGGCTTCCCAAACCTACCCAAACCCTGAAGAGACCAGTCTCATCCCACCACCTTGCCCCATCCCCACCAGCAGGGAAGCAAGCTCTGTAGATCTGGAGGCCCTAACACTGGTGACCCAGCTGGCTTTGAGGCTTTCACAGCTGTCTCCTGACATGCTATTGGAAAAGTAGTTCCACAGGCTGTAGAATATGAGAATCAAAATAAATTACTTCTTTGCAAAGGGAAAAAACAAGGGTGGAGAGATGAAGACAACTCCAGGTATCGCTGCAGACCTGTGCCTGGCATGTCTCACCTGCTCCATTGAGAAAGTATGAACTGCCTCCAACTCAGCCTCTCCCCTCCCACCCCACAGGCCCAGAGTGGGGAGGCCACACGCATCTGCAGGTGCTGCCCTTGTCAGGTGAGCTTCTTCTTCCCTCAGCCCACCCTCCCCCATCCCCATGAGAAACTTGGCTCAGCAATTAGACAAACTGGGAAACTCCCATCATCACAAAAGCATATCCCCATCTAGCTGAATGGGAAAAGCGAACAAACATCTTAACAGGCAAACCATGAGCAGTTAATGAAAGGCAAAATGGAAGGAAGAGAAAATGCACCCAATCTCACCATCACAAAAAAACAAGAAGAAAAAAAAAAAAAAAAAACACTTTGCCAAGCACAAGGAATAACAAGAAGGAAAAAAACACTGGTGAGAGCAGCAATGGATGCTGGAGATGTAGCTACAAGGCTCTAGCAAAACATTATCAGGAACGCAGCCTGACTTAATCACGAAACCCAGCTGTTTGCATTCAGCTGGATATTACAAGAAGATGACAGTTGACCATATCAGCCAAGGACAACTTATTTCTTGCTTCATCTGTACAATGAAGAAATATGGAAGAGAACTGATACTGCCACTTTCCTGGACACTAAAAAGTAAATGGCATGCTAGCTTCCACCACTTTGGGATGCTAATATTCCCACAATGGTCTCATAATAAACATGTAACAGTTGGCAGATTAAAAAAGACAACCTTATTTCCTTCCTAACATCTGCATCTGAATGCAAAACCAAAAGAATACACAATTTCACTTTCTTTCTTTAATGATGCCAGCCTAGACTAAGCCTTTATTATATGCATTGGTTTGCTTGTTTGTCTTCAGAAGTGCAAAGGTAACTCAGCCATAGCTTGCCACCCCCAAGGACACCCACTTGCACTGAAGACACAATCAAAGCCTTTTCTCCTTACAAGACTTCTCTTTTATGAAGAGTCTGCTTAAATATGTAAGTAATTTCATGGACTGAAAATCTGAGTAATTTTTGAAAGGTCATCTTTTCCACACTGGTTACTTTAAACTTTTGCTCTCGTTATATTGTAGCTGATATTTAAGTCACCATAAGGAACTGAACTGAACTAGTAACAACAGCCATTTACTCTTTCCATCTGGTAACAAAACAAACCAACATCCTTTTGTAAGAAAGTATTCTCACCTTGTTTGGGTGCTTTCACAGCACCTGCAGCTGTACATATTGCGATACAAAGAAGGAGGATCTTCCTAAAAAGGGAAGAAAGAAAAGAGCGTGTGAGAAAATACATAGTTTCAGGTCTCCAAAGAATTAGAAACTTCAGTCATCACCCGAAGTCAATGGCAGGATACCGCTGACTTCAGCAAGCCCTGGTTCAAAGCCTTCCAGCTGTCACCAATGCTGAGAAGGTGTTTTACAGAGAGAAGTATGCCCTTATGTATAGTACATATATTTTACAATGGCTTTTATTAATAAGTAACTGCATCTGTTTTATATTTTCTCGCATCAGCCTTCAAGTACAAGAGTTGCTGTGTAGTAGATATCTTCCTGGAGGGAAAAAAAAAGTTACTGCAAAGAAACTAAAAACAATGACAAGTTAATGCCATTTAGATACCTCTGTGCCAGTGTACCTTCAGCCTTGTTGCCATGCTACATCATTTACCATAAATGAAAATATTGCATCACTTTTCTTCCTGTATGCTAATGTTTGGGTTTTTTTTTGTCATGCTACAAATGAGATATTTATTTATTTTTACTTTGAAGAGCGTAAGTAAAATCCCGTCACATTATGACTTAAAACTTCACGCTCTAATAGAATATTAAAGGGAATCCCAGCATCACCAATTGAAAAAACAAAACAAAACAAAACAAAACAAAACAACAAAAAAAACCCACCACCAAATAATCAAGAAAGTGCAGGAAGAAAGGCCCACAAATTTGTACAGGAGCATAAGATACAAATGGTAAGGCAGACAAGTTTCTTCGTTTCTTCCTTTACCCTCTAGGCCTTTACCTTCAGCACAGAGGATAACGTATACAAAAGGCAGATGTTAGTAATGCTTCAATGACATTACATTATGCTATGGTTTACAAATATCTACAATATAAAGAAGTATTAAGTGGAGATCTTAATATTTCTTCCAAGTGTTTGCAATCACAGCCCAAGGGCTCACACTACATTTTTTTTTTCTTCAGCTTTGAACACCAGAATTCAAGTTCAGTGTATACTCTATGATCCTTTAATCTAATTAGAAGCTCAGTAAAAGAAAGTCTTAAAGGTGGACAGACTGTCATGCTAGCAAGAAGTCCACACACTGCACTCCATCAGCCAAAATGAAACAACTTTTTTTTTTCTATTTTCATGGACACAAAATGGATTCTCAATTAAAAATAAAACAAAACATTTTAAATAACTGAACTCCAAATTCAGGACACCTAGAGAACCCCATAGCTCAAGCAGCAAAGACAATCCCTTAACACAACAACAGCCTCTTCCACAAAATCAGAGAGGGACAAGTTGTGCATCAGACATTTGCCTCTGTCACCTCCCAGAAAATGTTGTAGAAAGGTAAGAATTTCTGAAATGCTCCCAGGGATATAAGTTACACAGACGTAACTGGATATAAAGAGACATAAAGACAAATATCTGGCTTACACAGTGCTTTCCAGCTAATGTCAAGAACAGACGAGCAAGCAACTAAGAGAAAAAACAGGGATCAGAGACAACCATAGAGCTGGAGGTCCCCTAATTCATGGGAAAAGTTTTTCTTCCTTCTGCCTTTTTCTACAACAAGCAGAAACTTTTTGTAAATGAAACCACGTGCAAACCTGAAGTGAAGCTGCACAATGCAGCTCTTGTGGCCAAAGACAGAAAAGGAAAAAATAAAATTCTGTCTTCTATAGATGATGTATCCATTCAAACATTCCCTTCTTGGTCAAGACCACTATTATTAACATTAAAGGAAACAACGCAGCCAGCTCTTGCACGCTATGCTCACATGGTTAATGACACTAGGCTACCAGGCTCCCCACTACATAACACATACATGGCTTGATCCATATCTGCTGTGACTACAAGAACATAACAAGCAACACACTTGGGGAGACATGCCCTACTGGGACACAATAACAGAAAATTTCAGAAATGTCTGACTACACTGTTGGCTACTTTTCCCCTTTTAACATCACACAATGAGCTTGAAGCTGTCCTGTCCTACAGTCCAGTAACCTCTTAAGCTTCTGCTAGCTTGGTATCTTCTCTTCTGGTTCAAATACATGCACAAGCTGATGACAACTACATAACTGTTTGGAGGTAGGAACTACCAAATGTAGTTGAGCTATTCTACCACTTAAAATTGAGCTTATCTTTCTGACAATTCTTAACATCTTGCAGCTGCTTTCTTCTTCCTATGAGTGGAAGGTGACTGAGTTTTTATGGTAGTATGTTATTTTTCCCCATTCAGGATGACATACAACTTTGGAAACTGATAAGCTTCAAAGCAAATCTTGACAAACAACGTGGCAAAACTCCACCATTTGAAGACTATTCAGCAGCATATGAAGCTTGTGTTTGGTCAGCACTTAGAGGTGTCATGTAACAACATTCTCCATTCACTGGCAGCATTCTCAACCTCAGCTTTGAAGGAAGGAATACCACTAGCTGGCTGCAGAGAAGGCCAGAAAACCTGATCCCAGAGACACAGAAGATGCTAAACTTGAGTGCTGCATACAACTCTGCATCCACCAGTGATGATGGTTGAAATACCAGCACCTGCCCCACATGCAGTGCTGCGTTAGATACGTTCTGAGCACAAAAGCCCAGCTTGTATCTGTCACAGAGGACATAAGAGCACCACATATATGTCTTCTAAGGCAAATTTCCTCACAGTGGTTGTTTCCATAGCACCCAGTTTCTAAATTATCTGAGCAAATGCAGCAAGCCTTCTCACACCACTCCAATCAAGAGCCCTCTTGTAAATCTCATACAAGTGATTAAGCATTGGGAAGACACACTACACTGTAGTAAACCAGGACCTTCATATAATCTTCTCTCCCTAGCCTGCTTTAGGCAGCCTATAGCTCAAGGCAGAGTGATCACTTGCCTCTGCTGCCTCCGCTGATGCTCAGTGTGAAGTGGAGCAATCCCCCATCTCTGTATGGCACATTTCCCCGCAGGGCTCAGCACAGGCAAAGCCATGCACTGCATCTTGAATATCCAGGAGCGTCTGGATGCCCAGCTCCTTCACTTGTCAGGTCCTAGAGCAAGGGCAGGAGCAGCTCCTGACTGAGGGGCATTAGCATAATTGCTCCCTTTTCTTCTGTTGTGTTTGTTGTTATTGTTTGCTTGCTTTGTTTTTCTTCACCTCCCAGCCTAAAGATAATGTATCTGCTTTTCACAGCACTCCTTCCAGCTGGGCAGCCCTAACCACATCACAATACCTCCCACACAGGCTTTCTCAGAGCTACTAACAAGAAAAGTCTCTACATAAAGGAAGAAGGACAACAAGTGGCAGAGCTCATGCTCACCACAGCCCCTCTCGTCTCTCAAAACACTCAAGAGAAATGCACTCAGAGCCGTAAAGAGGGAAAGATGTTAACATGTCCTGTACCTAAGACCCCAAAAGCAGTTGGGAATCTGGTTGTTCAAGACCTGAGAGGACAGACATCTCTGCTGCCATGAGGGGACCAGGCAGAAGGCCAGCACTGAGTCTGGTTTGGAGAGGCCTGTGGCTGGCATGGCTGAGGGAACATGCAGCCCGCACAGCCTCTCCCTGCTGACACCTGCACACCCAAATGACAGAGAAATCCCGAGAACCTTGCAGCAGGCTCACAGCATAAAGAAAGGAAGAGACACAAGAGAAAGTGAGAGGAATAATGCATTGCTAGTTCTTCCTGAGAGGAATCCCACAACAGCATGGTTTGGAGGTAGGCCCTACTGTCCTTGGGACAGCACATGGCACAAGGTGATAAACTGCACATCCACAGCAGTCAAACTTGCTTGCATTTCTGAAAGCAAAAAAAAACCGAACAACAAAGAAAATAATTTTAGGGCTGATTATGATTATGTTCCCATTCTTTGCTCTATCTTTGGTCTGAACAGGGAGCACTCAATTTCTCCCTGAACCAAAGCAGGCAGCAGTCTGACCCAACAGCACTTCTTCAGAGGGGTGGTTTGGGTTGCAAGGGACAGACTGGTCTGAGACATGCTGAGGAAACCTGATCCCTGAGCAAATAGTCTGGTTTCTTAGCACAGGCAAGCAATCGGGTTGCTTTCTTTTGGGTAAATTAGGTAAACAAGATAAATACTGTCCATATAGCTTCAGAGTTATATTACATCTATGTAATTCTATCTCAGTGACAAGCGTTGCTCTCAGATAAGTAGTATGTGTACTCCTTTTCCATAATTCAGTTTTTATTTCTCTATCAGCAAAACATTCTGTGAACTTGCACCAACACAACTCCTGGAGGAGTCCCGCAGGCTCTCAGACCCTGCATCTCACGAGAAGCCTCCTGCAGGCACACGGAGCCGCTCACCGCCGCTCAGAGGACCCAGCAGCACAGAAGTTGCTGCAACACTGTCCTTCCCCTTCCCACCGGGAGCTCTCTGCAAATGTCATTCTCGCTACTGCCCGACTATAGCAAGAACTTTACAAAGCAGACACACGACGGTAGCCTGCGTAATGTCACTATCACCATCAGAAGTCCATAATCACCTTCCTTAACCTTCTTTTAGGCAGACTGCAAGGAAAAGAGCTATGCCATTTCGAGGATACACCAGAGAAGGCTCAGCCTGCTGCAGAACGCACACAAACGCGGAGCTCTCCTCACCTCACCCGGTGCTCACCGCGCTGAGAGCAGCCCAAGCTCCCAGACCGCCGTGCTTTCAGAGATCGGGTACTGCGTTCCGGCTCCGGCACGGGACCCCTGGTACCGGGACCCGAAGAGCTGCGGGACGCCCGATACGGCTCGCGGTGTGCAGCGGAGAGAGAGCACCGGCGGGCTCGGTGCTGGGAAACGGCACCCAGCAGCCAACTCCCGGCACACAACGGGACCTGCCCAGTTAGAGCTGGCTGCTCGGGCACGAGGACCCCATCCTGGGCTGGTGTCCCCGCGGGGCCGAGCCGCCCAGCCTTCGCGTCTCCCCAACCCAGCTTACGTTGGTGCCGCTGGAGAGATGCGTCCTCGCCTTGTCCTCTCGGCTCCCAAATGCATTTGTATGCATTTGCCCGGGCAGCGGAGGTCCGAGGGAAAGCCGGAGCCGAACGCTGCGCCGCCGGAGCCTCAGGTACTGTCCATGAACCCCCGCCGGCCTCGAGCTCTCCGCCGAGCTCCGCGAAAGCCCGAGGGCGGCCCGCGCACGGCCCGCGGGGGCGGTGCGGAGGGGGGGCGCGGCGGGGCCGGGGGCGGTGCGGCGAAGGCCGGGGGCGGTGCGGGGTGCGAGGGGCGCGCCCCGCGGAGCCCCCGGCGGCGGAGCCGCGCTGCTCCGCACCGCGCGGTGTTGGGTTTCAGCGCACTCTGTCGCGATTACATCAGCAAATGCGGCCCCGGGGCGGGACGGCCCCGATCCCGGCTCGGCCACGCGCGGCTCCGTGGAGCGGAGCTGCCCCGCAGCAGCGGGAGGGCGCGGGGAGCGGCGCGGCGACCCCAGGTGCGGGTGGAGGGGGGGCGCGGACAGGTGGTGCCGCTCGGCGCGGGGCGGCTGGAAGCCCCGGCTACGGGGCTGCGTTATACCGCGGGTCATGGAGTGATGAAATGGGGCTGAGCGTGCTGGAGAGTTTTGCATCTCGAGTGTAAGTGGTTGTGTCCAGCAAGGCTCCCTCTGGAAAACGTTTGAAGAGCAGATGTAATTCGGTAGCACTGCAGTGCCAAAAGAAGCATGACACACTTTGCCATCTCTTCCCGAAGGGACAGAGGTCTTTTTTAATCTCAATCAGCAGTTCTCCTCCCCTGTCCCAATAACAGGCTGGTATAACTTCCTCCTGTAAGACATCCCTGCATATGAGGATCACACAAAGTAGTGTTGAACATTCTGAGAGATCATGGTGTACACTGTGCTGCAAACCCATGGCCAAAGCTGGCAGCCTCACTTAGCAAAACTTCCACTGACATAAGCAGAAATTTTATGCAAGTTAGGAGCGTGGTATTCGGCTCTTGCTGGGTGGTATTTCACAAAGATCTCACATCAGACTGTAGCAAAGGCCTTCAAGTCATAGGTGTGATGGAGAGGATGGCAGGAAATAAGCCTAAGCATTCAGGAAGCAGGAGAATTGCTGAAACGCAGAGGAAGGCTGCACAAGACAAGGATTTTTGTTGTCACTGAGGATGCTCCACTCAGCTGAAAGGGCCCACACTGTGTCATCCAGGTGTATTGGAACAGGCATAAAGATGCAAAAGCAGGGGCTAATTCAGACCTACAAATGTTCTTGGATATAACAGAACACAAAGTTACAGGTGAAAAATGACTCTTAGAGAACCCACTCAAATGTTGTACTGTTTCATTTCACACTCAAGTTTATTTTCTGCATCCTGAATCAGTCAGAATCTATGTAGTTTCAGTGGCTGTTGCATGATTTCCTCCTACTTCTTGGAAGCTGAGGAAAAAAAACTGATGACATTTTGTCCTCCTGTCTTCATACCTTGCATAAAAACTAATGCAAGCTGAACATGAAAACATATTTGTTCACTGAAGAGAACCTCATAACTGCCCAGGGTATTAGACACTACTGCAATGAAGTCTTTGTCAATATTCCTTTCTGCTTTAGACCATACCTGAATGGCTTCCAACAACTTCAGTGTAGCATTTTATTTACTTCTTATTAGCATTAAAATAACTAACATATATACATTACAGATAGGTTTTGGAACAGGTTGGTGCCATTCCATGAACTCTATCAATCATTTAAGTGACACATCACATACTCAGTAGGTACATAAGGTGGCTTCTTAATGCTCCAACATCTGCAAGAGAACGTTGCAGCAAGAATGACCCTGGTTGAATCTTGCCCTTGTTTCAGTGCACACTGAAGAGCTGTCCGGCTCTTCATCTCTGTGATGAGGTGGGGATATCTCATGCCGAGGTCATTCTTCAGAGCCTCTGAAGCTGCCAAGAGAAGTAGCTAATGCAGACAAGAAACCAAATCAAAATGCATGGGGAAATCGAATGGCTTGCCTGAGGTCAGACCACAAGTACGAACATTGCTGGAAATAGCCCAGCAGTCCCTGCCTGGTAGCCCATCACCTTGTGTCTTAGTCTTGCCAGGTCTCTTCTAAGCTCCACACCAAAAGTCAGCGTCAGTCTTAATGTTACACTTGCTTCTTCAAAGGGTTCTTACTGTCCGATGAGCTAAACCTGACATTTTAAAGCTATCAGATTACTTGTGTTTATTTCCAGAGCTAAATATAGTCATCTGTATACTTACAGGCACTGACACATTCAAGTTCCAAATGTGCTAGCTCTCATTGCAACACAGTGATGCTGAAGCTTCATTTCTTATTGTAAATGTCCCCAGAGCCCATGTTTGCTCTCTCATGCTTGACTATAGCCTATTCCTGATTTCTCTCCCCATGCACATCCAGGTACAGATGAAATACAAAGTTAGTTATTTCAAGACACCACTTCTGGTCCTTCTGACGTGATTGCAAGATCTTATTTTTATTTTCTCATTTTTCAGAAGTTTTTTCCTCCCTTCACGAACTAACTTGCTCATCTGTTGCTCCAGATTATGGCTGCTGAGTTCCAGCCTCACTGCAAGACACAAAGCAGGAGCTGCTCTGAGGTGGTGTAAGAGATGAGGAAAGTGATTCCCAGATAGATTCTCCTTCCAGGATGAGTACAGGAGAAATAAATGGTATATATATCTCCAGGGCCTAAAAATACAGAGGAAAAAAAAAAAAAGAGTAAGAATTTGAAGGAAAATGTGTGAAATGGGATCATAAATGCTCTGTGTTGGAGTCTGAGCCTTATCCCACTGCAGGCAGTAGGAACTCTACCTTCGGCCCAAGCAGAATAGGACCCATGTGAGTTTCCTGGTCCAGTCCCAGAATCAAGATATTCTGGCAGAAGATCCTTGTTGCTATTGAGTTCCCTTTGGCAAACTATTCTCCCTGCACACCACAATATATGGTGTTAGGCTATGTACCAAAACTGTTGGAACCTAGTTCAGCAAAATATTTATTTAGATTTCTCTCTGTGGCAGCCAAAAAAATGTTTAACACATTGCTCTGGTTAAAGAAAGTTACCAAGCTATCAAATGTGATTAAGAAATACAAGAAATGGAAAGGATTACAGCATGTCTTTGAGAACAATTGGCTAAAATCAGAGGGCCGCCAACTCTGAAACTGTCAGTTTTTGCTGGATGTGAAAGAAATTGTAATGACCACTGTCTGCCTTCAGTCTCTATCTGGGCCCATTATTTCCTCATAGAAGTAGTTAGGAAGAAATAACATTTTCAAGATTTGCATATGCCAAGAATCTGGAAGTGACTGAAGTATGACTCTTGATTTTTAGATGAGTTCTATCCCTTGTAGTTTTGTACTTGTAAACTGGAGAAGTAATATAAATGTTAGCATTAAAGTCATAGTGAAGAGGATTTTTCTACCTTAAAAGACCAACACACAAAAGCCTCTGAGGGGCTGAGAGAGGAAAAGAGATGCTCTGAGTTCAGAGGACCATACTTCAGACATCCTGGCATATAGAAAGGGGAAAAAAAAAAAAAGGAAAAAAGCACAGTTCAGAGTGACAAAACTGCCAAGCCACAAACAACCATATAGACCAGTGAGATTCCGTAGAATACTTAAAGCACACGAGGGGATGTGTCCAGGCAGGAGCAAGGAACAGAAGAGAGAGAGCCTCAGTGAACCACAAGACAGAGTAAGTTCTCCAGGCCACAGTGCTCCAGCAAGTCTGGCTGGGAAAGGTGCCTCACCAAAGCCAGGATGATTCCAACTGCTTATGAGGCCTGATAGTATCCATTTCAATAAGTCCCAGCTATAGAAGAGATCCACCACAAAGCAGAGCTGGAGAAATCTGAAACGTGCAACTAAAGTGAGCTACTCCGAAGAAGCAATCCCATACCCAACATGTAAAGCTGTGCTACCTTGTTCCATTGATGGCATGGCATACACCACACCAGGAATGCAGAGGAACCTGGCCAAACACACAAGGAAGCATTAAATGAAGAGAGAAGCAGTTATTAGGAAAGTAATACGTGAATGGAAAATACGATAGGAAGAATGAGTACAACATGGGAACCATGGGAATGGCCCACCAGATGAGAAGACTACAGTTACCAAATAGGCCAAACTGCCAAGAGTAGCACAGTAAATTTCCATCTCAAAAGAAGCTGGTGAAAGAAAAAACAGTTAGAGAAAATACACTTATTTTCATTTTTAGTTAATCTTTATCCCATCATTGATGGAGTGTTTTGCAATCTGGGCAGGAAGCAGAGACACCCACTCCCACAGGCTGAAAGATGCATTTGACATGAGGCATTTTCTGGGATACTCATTGAACTGAAAATCCCCTTTGTAGGTGAAGTCCATAAATATGACTAGAAGTCTGCATGCCCAGGACCATATCACAACCTATATAGGTGTGTGCTCAGAGAGGGACAGAGAAAAAGACAAGCCTCAGCAGCTGTGTTTAACCATGCAACTGCAACCTCCTGTCACAGCATGGACCCCTGCACCACAGGACTTCCCCAGCAGGTCTCCAGAAGCCTCCTTCTCATGGAGAAGCCTTTTCCAAAGGGCCCCAGACTACTGTCACTGTACAAAACCTGCTCTGACTCTGTCTATAAAGGGAGATAAAAGACTATTTCTGTAAAACATGGAAAGGTCTGATTGTCCTATGTGAAACAACATTCCTTTGCGCCACCCAGGGACACTTGACCTTCTTGGTAGTGCTTGCTGTCACCCTTCTACATAGGAAGAAGGGGCCAAAACTGAGCATCTTGTAGGACATCTTTCAGTAGGACAAAATTCCTTTTAAACACCTCTCTGTAAAAGAATAAAAAGAGTTCATTTTGGAGAGTGCCCACACTGATAGGATGCTTGCAGCCAGCTTGCAAAATCTCAGCAGCACTAAAAACAACTCCCACATCTGGAAGAACTAGCACAATCATCTAAGAAGTATTTTGCTCCTGAGCCACGAAGATCCGCACACGAGGCCAGTCTTTTTTCAATTCCATTCCCACACTTCTCTCAGCAACTGAGGCAGATGCTTCATTCCTTAGTTTGTTAGTCCTAAGAAGGTCTTACTTGCCCATTTTTGCTTCCAGCCTTTCAGGCAAGACTTCACAGCAGCATTCTGCAAACAGAAAAATGTATTTCCAGATATTCCTTCTTCAGTACTTAATGTTTTTTTCAGTTTTGACAAAATTAGCTTCTGGCTGCAGCAAAGGGAAGTTGCAGAATCATAGAATTGTTAAGGTTGGAAAGACCAATAAGATCATACCAAGTCCAACCATCAGTCCATACCTGTGACGGCTGTAGACCACATCACTCACGTGACACCTACCTTTTGTTTGAAAACCTACAGGGATGGCAACTCCACCAGCTTCCAGGGCAGCCTGTTCTAACACCTCACCAAAGAAAGATTCACTTCCCAACTTTCTTACCAGCTAACAGGTAAGCTACCGATGGTCAGTAGCTGAAACCACATTAAATCTCCACCTTGGATTAAGGAGATTTCTTCTCACACTAAAAATCTTATCAATATTTTCTCCCATTGCTCTAATATTTCGAAGTTTCCTCCAACTTTGCATGCATTGCCTTCTGTGTTTAAGTATCCCAAGTCTCTTACCAAATAGCATACCTAAATCAAGAAGAACAATGGAGCAATTTAAACTTGACAATATTTGTTGATGATTTTCATTTTAAAAAAGGATTCTAGACTCAGATATTAACATCATTGATAGAAATTGCCTTATTTCCTACTGTATTTTTGTCTGGATATAATCAAAATTTTCCAGTGCTCTTTAGCTCCTAGTGAAGGAAGAATCTGTGACTTTTTCTTGAAACCTCTGGATCAAAGAAGAAAGCCAAAACTATTTTCAAGTAGGACTTAATACTTTTGCATCATGGACACTCAATTTCCAAATTAAACATTCTAAATGAGGCACATATAGTGACAGGAAAAAGTTTCTATATAGAAAGACAGTAAGTAGATTTCTTTTTCTGAAAATACCAGACAGCTGAATATGTGGTATCCCAGACCAAAATACACTGGCACCAACTTCAATGCTGATATTTTTATAATAGTAGCACAATTAATTTTTGTAAATCCTTTGCAGCTGTACCACCAAGATAGCATGGTATTTTTAATAGGGTATTTTCATTACCTTATTTTTAGAGATGAAGGTTTTAACCCTATTCTTCAGTTGTTTACAATTGATTAGATATGTGAGCAAGAACTTCTGTTGCAGGAAAGCAAAGGAGTAGGTCTTTGCAGGCACAGAGTAATTTCGTAGCAACTCATCCCCTCTTGTTCATCTCCAGCCACAGCACAATGGAGACTTTTCTGAGTGGAACTGACCAAAACCATAAGCCCTGATAAAAACATCAAAAAGAGTAGAGAGAAGAGATGGATACATATGAAAAATGAGACTTTCTACTTGGATCAAACAAACTTCTTAGGCCAGATGTGCCTGGATTACTCTTATTGGAGAGCAATAAAAACCTCGTGGTTGTTGAATTATGCAGTGTTGGCTCAGAAATCATCAAAACAATTGAACAACAGCTGATGCAAGTAACTGTACACTGTTGACCCAAACATACACAAAGATTTTAATGAACATCTTTAAAGTTGAAAAATCCAAACCTCGTAAGTCAAAGCACCAGCACTAATTTTTGTCTATAGCACTGCAAGTTGTGCACTGAAGTCCTTGCAGGATCATGGGTTCATTCATGGGGCTCCAGCTTCTCCTGGTGCTCAGGTTCCCCTTAAGATAAGTCGGCATCTTCCAGGGAACAAACTGCAGAAAGCTGCAAAGTCTCACCTGGGCACAAGGGAGCTGCTATGTTTTCAAAGCCTCATAACCTACCAGAATTTTAGGGGAAAGGCAAGACCCAGACTGGCACAGTCTGCTTCACAGACAGACTTAAGATGTTTTCTCAGAAGCAGATGATGCCAAACCTTAACTTAGTCTCCATTTTCAAACATAGGCACAACAATATGGTTTTCATCTCTCTTTGGAAACTTACAGGGCAATGCAAAGCTTTCTGAAGCCATCCAGCTGAGACAGACATTCACAGACCAAAATGTAGACCTCCATAAAGCCAATAAGAAGAAAAAAATACATTAAAATTCTGTAGTTTGCTCTCTTCTCTTATTTTATGGTTTGGGGAGCACTTTTTTTTCCCTAAGTATTTATGGCAATAGAATGTGCTTACAAAAAAAAGAGGACATTTATGATTATCAGATGTTTAACTTCACTTTTCCAACACATGTAAGCTAACTTCTCCTTCCCAAATCAAAATATTCTCTTTTAATAGCTAACTTGCAGTGATTTTGAAGCTACACATGTAATACAACAACACTCTTACTTGCCTGCTGGAGAATCAGAACAAGTTTGTCTTAATATATTTTTTCAAAATTATTTTATTCCATCACAACAAATTGCAACTCTTATCTTGGAATGTATTTTTATAGTTGAAATGCACATTAAAAAGTTAGCAAATATTCCCCCCCCCCCCCTTTTTTTTTTTGCATTAATTAATGATTTGGATTATCCTTTTATTAACATTTGGAAAATTATTTCCCTAAGCTTAATACTCTCTACAAATTAGTGTTTGCTTTTTTTGGTGGTGGTGGGAAGAAGGGGTTTCCAGTTCACTGGGGCAGTATGAGGTTGATTATAAGCAGACTTCCTGTGAAAGTCTGGGCAAGTCCTCTGGAGAATTCCCCAGTCCTAGAACACCACTCCTCTGGAGCAGACTCCTGAGGGCAAAAGGAAAAGGGCTAAACTTTGAAAGAAATAAAATCCTCTCTCCAAATCCAACCAGATATTTCAGTGACATGAACAGATCCATCATTTCTGGCAGCATCTCTTCCATCAGGTCCAGTTTACTTTATGAAAATCCCAGTAACTGTGGTTTCATGGAAGAAGTCCAGATTCCAGAAACTTGGTTAAAGAGAGGATAAGTACTCCATATGTGCTTCTGACAGCCAGCTACAACCTTCACTCAAGCTCCATTTCCCATGCTTGAGAGAATGGAATAGATTTCAGAGGCCTTTGATTTAGCAAACTTAGTGATAGGAAACATCCTCCCAGTCTTCATACATATTATTTGGAAGTGGCATGTCCTAATAACAGTGAGACAAGCACGTCCTTCTCTACACTGTGTGTAGGGCACAGCTGTTAATCCACACATGATGGCATCCAACAGATGCAGCTGTTAGAAAAAAAATTGGTTTAGTATTTTGATGATACTTTTGAGGAAGTGCCAGCACTGGAAACTGACCTCTGGGAGTACATCAAGTAGTGGGAAAAACCCTAAAAGCACCAGAATAACTGCTGTGCTATGGGAACTTGTGTACTGATGCCAGTTTTCATGGCAGGCAGACAGGAAGAAACCCAGACCTTCATTCTGCACTGCAGCAGGTAACACATTACTTCAAATGTGTAAATAACTAACACATGATAAGAGGAATATTTGCTAACAAGCTAGTCACTTCCTTGTTGACGTGATTTTCCATTCTTTTCTATGGCTCTCCCATTCAGCTGTTTCAGTCATTTGACAGTCTTCCATGAAGAAAATGATACAGAGTATTTGGAAGAAGGAATGTTTACAAAGCACATTGATAGTCCGACGTATCCAGAGTAATTAGCTGTAAACCAAATAATAAAAATGTGGAGAAGTTACAAGTATGTCAGATGACTGAAAACAAGGTTAATTCAGATGTTGCATACTATATAAGCACACAGTGAATGCCACTTCATAATGCAAGAGCAAAAAGCCATGGGCTGCATGCAGACCTAGCATGTAGTACAAGCAGAAATATCAATCAAGACAGATGTAAACTTAGCTCATGACCCTAGGAAAGCATTTCTGCCATCTTAGGTACAATGTCCAAATTCTTTACTGAAAGAAGAGCCTTAAATCATAGAATTTTTCAGACTTTATCCACCACTACAAATATTACTTTATTTAGATAAAGAGTAAGCACTGAAAACGTACTTCTTCCCCACTGTGGAAGCTGTTGGCTAGCAGTGGAAAAACCTGGACCTCCTTGCCTCCTGCTATGTGTTTTTTTTGTTTGTTTGTTTTGTTGTTTTGTTGTTTGTTTTTGTTTTTTTAAAGTTAATGCAGAACTCTATCCGATCAATGTTTATTTCTGACAGTTTTTGGCTGGGAGGTAGCTAATGTCCTTGGCATGCTTTAAGCAGCATATCAGAATCAATCACTGACTTGGGTAATACTGTATTATACTTCTGTCTCTTGTTTAGAGAAATAATGTGTAGCAAGGGAACTCTAAAGGATTAAATCTTCAGTTTGGAAGACAGTTAAATGCACATGCACTAAGATATGGGACTAAAGTTAACTGAAAAACAGCAGCTCTGAACTAATATTGTATTCACACATTCATTGATTTTCCTCTCTTAGTCTAGAATATTAACCAGTTCTCCAACCTCATATTTCTCAGGAGAATATAATGTAGAAAAAGAAACCATGAAATACCCAACACAATTGCATTCAAACTATTCCATTTTTCTAAGGGTCTGTGTGCATGGAGGGCTACCAGAAGTCTGCAGCTTTCTCTGGCCTCAGACATAACCTGGCAGCAGGAGAAGCACACTGTGCAGAGGTGTGCCAGAGCACTTTCCCCAGCAGCCCTTCCAGAGTTGGAGAGGAGTAGGGTAAGTGGAGGTAAGGTGCTGGCTATGCTGACAGTCTCTGCCCTGAACAAAACACATTAATGAAGCACTGTCACTAACACTGTGGGTCTCCACAGGACACAGAAAACACACAGTCTTGTTTCATCTCATTCAGTGTCTTTATCTCCTCTAGAGCTGCTCTACACAGTTACAGCATCAAACAAGTAGTCTGGCAGCCTGGCACTTTGAAACCTTGCAAGTGTATTTTTTTTTTTTTTTTTTTTTAATCATCATAGCACTGCAATACAGTTTCTTATCACAACTGCTTCCTTCCCAGTTTGCTTTTGTGTAGCTCTAAGTATTGGAAATGCAAAAAACTTGATGGATGTTGGCACTTGGAATTATGTTACCTTTTTTAATGTATTGTAGTCCTTAAGACTTAAGAGCTGATCATCCCAAACAATACTAGCTGTGCTATGATAGCTTCTTTGTGCTTATTGTTTGGATTGACATTTCTACAACCACACTATTCTCTATATCATATGCTTGAGCTCATGTATCTGGAAAAAAAAACACATTGCAAACAGCAATATTTCACACACTGATGATCTTCATGCTCAATTTTAAAAAGCCAAAAAGAGTCTACTAACAGGGAGACATTTAGCATTCCCTTTACTGGACTTTACCTCCTGTTCTAAGAATCACCAGGAGCCTCACTCTTGCATTTCATTTCTACTGCATTGAGCTCAGACTCCACACTACGCCCATCCGTTCTTTCCCCCCTCTTTCTGCTGTATGAAACCATGAAACCAGACTAGTCAGCTTATTGCTTGGTCTTCTACTTTCATTGACAGCTGTGTCTCCTTCGGTAAGGGGAAGAAAGCACACAAGTAATTACTGGAGGCAAACAACACTACATATCAGAACCTAGTTTAATCCACAGCAATTCTTAGAGCTACATCTAGCATTTACCAGAAAAAAAAATACTAAAGATGCATTAACTCCACTGAGGGGTATCACTTTACACAAGATAGCTTTTAAGATTTTTTCCTTTGCAGACCTGTCATGCAATTGAAAAATTATAATAGCGTATTTGCCCCCAAACTTCTGAAAGGTTAGTTTATATACTCCATAGTTTCATGCAAGCAGTTTCAAACACCTTTAAATCTGGAAGACGATATATGCCTAACTTGGAAGTTAGCAATGCCAAATTTATTTAGAAGAGCATTAATCTCTTTATTAAGAAAAAGAGTTTATTGCTCTGAACCTGACACTGTTTGCTTTCTCAAGGAGAATAAAGTATGGCAGTTTCCTTTTAAGACTTTGCAGACAAGGGCTGCTTCACAGCTTCCTTTTGTGAAGTTCCAGAGACAGGTCTTCCCTGCTAGCAGCTTCTGGCCTGAGCTCTGGGTTCACAACTAAGACCTTTGCCTGTTCCTCACCTGGAGTCTGACACCAAACCCTGCTGTCCTCAGCCATGCTCTCCAGCCACCAGTGCTACAGCTAGGAGCACAGGGTTGGCTCCCAAGAGATATTATTGATTGATGTAATCAGGAACATTATTTCATTAGAAGTACCACATGCTACTCAATCCAGCTGCTTATCACATACATTCAGTCAATTCTGTCTTCAATTCAATTTTTTTTTCCTCCTTAACTATATCAATTTTCATTATTGTATTTTAGATTTGCATTAATGAGAAGCATAGAAACAGGGCTACTGAGTTCCTGATGATTGTTATTGATCCATTTTTTTCAGCTCTTCTAATAACAATGAGTCCGGTCCATGTCTTAAGAAATACTTCAGCCAACAAATGACATTAGAAAGAAAAACCAAAGGAAGCAGTGTCATTCTTTATAGTAAATTTATACATGGACAAGATTTCTTCAGATCTGGAATTTCAGCTTAGCCAGCAGGTACTTTTTATCATTCTCAGATATCTCCATAATAGAAAGGCATTAAATGATCCAACACAATCAGTTAATATCTATGAAGCACATTAAATATTTGTCTTGTTTGGGATTTGCACAGAACTGAATTGGTGACAAAGCAAAGAACTATCTCCCAGAACATTAAATAAAAAGCACCAGAAAGCTTAGAGCGTGAATTACTTTTTCATTTCATTTCCTGATTGAACAGCATTTTAAAATGAACAAACGCATCTTCTTGATGAGTTTTCCAGAGCCGTTTTAGACAGGAAAATGGAAAAGACTGTGGCTCATACACTAAAAACAAAGAGAAAACCACGTAAGATTTGACAAGTTCCCTCTTCTTTCTATAACAGAGTGAACTTTGACTTTCTTGTGGGAAGCTGATTGGAATGGGCTCTGGAAATGACAACATGTGGCTGATGACCTTTGTGCAGATTATTTATGGAAAAAAAATAAAAGGAAGAAAGTATCTGAGCAGGTACTACAAATAAGATCAGAAAATACAGCACGTTTGAGAAGAGTACAAAGAAAAGATGTTTGACAGACAATAGTCAATACCAAGCCACATCTTAATGTGACCTATTTTGCATGCTCAAAAACTGCTCAAATGGCCAAGTACAACTGAAAACTTGTAATGAACACTGTAGTTATAGTGCTTTTCACAGCAGGGAGTTTCTACTGGTTTGAGTTTGAGGGGTTTTGGGTCTCCCCCATTTATCTACTTCTTGAAATCAGAATAACCAAGATATCCTTGACTATTACAAACATGATCCCTGCAGGAATCACATCTGAGCACCCCCACACAGGGAAAGTGGTGGTAGGTACATGGACCACACATCAGAACAGGGACATCAGACTCAAACAGCTGGACTCCAACAGGCATAGCCCTACAAATATAGGAACCTTTCTTCTCTTCATTTTCAAACCTGAAATTTTCCTCAGACATATAAAGACACATATAATTAAGGATGTTTTGCTGGCTGTAGAGGCACAAATATATAGCACTGCTCTAAGTTAGGCCATTAAAACCAAAGTGGAGATACAGACCATTAATCAAGAAAAAATATTTATAGGAGGAAGGAGGAGACACTGTATGCCTGCCCACAGATCAAGCCACAGCCTCACACTTGCAGTGAGCCTCAGCATAGAATCCCCACATTCTCCCCCTCCCAGGAGCCTGCCTTCACCCAGGTGCCCTTGGCAAGGGTTGAAAGACAGGAAGAAGTGGTGCTTGTTTTGACATAGAACCATCAGATCTTATGAGTACTGCTGTAACATCACATCCACAGTGTTATTATAGACAGCAGAGAGATTACTAGTAGAGTCTAGGTTCAACTATAAGACTTAGAGTTCATGCAGTGGTTGGAGGAGAGAAAGGAGATTACTGTCATATACACTTTTGCTGTGTTAAAACAAGGCAATTTGAATTAGATGTAACACAGAAGTTCTCCAAGCAAAGGATTCTTAAGCAATGAGCAGTTTCTTGGGTGCAGTAGGGCTGTGACCTGCAGCATGGTCCTTGCTCAATTCTCATCTGCCTGCTGAGCTCCAAAGGCATCCAGCGCATCTCTTCTTTTTAATGCAAATCTATCACCTGGCAGTTCCCACACACAGTTGCAAAAACCATGTGTCAGCCCTACTTCTGTCAACTACAGACACGGAAAGTCTCTGAGAAAGCAAAAATTCTAGATACTTGACATTTTACTCCTTGTAACAGCAAAGGGACCAGCACAATAGGAGGATATTACAACAGAAAAAGAAATGCTCACCAGTCTCTGAAGACCTAGGCTCACAATAGAAACTCCACAAGAAAGGGATCTCCAACCAAAGACCCTTCCCTAATGGCAGTCAGCCCTTAAATGAGGTCTAAGAGAGGTGCAACCAGGCTCCACCCCTTCCAGTGACAAAGAATTGCCTTCACCTGTGCTGCCAGGGCTGACCAGATCCTTTCCCCAGGTGCTCAATCAGTGGTGCAGTGGTGACTCAACAGTTACTATACACTCCTTTACACTGATGACAATATAGGTTGACAAGGCCAGTAGAAAGCAAAGCTGAGAGCTTCCAGCAATTTCTCTTATTTTAAAATCAGTTTTATAGAGGACTTCTGTGCAAGTTAACCACTTGTTGTGAATCCTACTTCTGCTCCCACTCCAGGAGTAGATGCACTGGCTGGACATGGCTGTGGCACCCAGCACTGAACTCACCCTCCTCTTCTGCCACAACAGGTGGCTCAGGGCAGTGCTGCACCACCCAGCAACCATGGGAAGAGATGACAGCAGGCCTCAGCTGCTTTGCATGAAGCAAGTCATCACCAGCATGCACTGCAGGCCAAACAGACTATCTGGATGTAAACATGTTATGATTCAAGTTGCTTCTCAGGACAAAGCATCCTTTCTCCTCAGCAAAACACTTAAGATTGCTCCCCTCCCCTTTGAACTCTTCTGTCTCCAAAGATCACGTCTCCTTTACTGTAACCAAAATGATACTCTCAGGTCAAGAAAAAATGCAGCTGCTATGCTAAAACAATAGGAGTGCTTTGCTGCAATAGTTTCATGCTGAGCTATGAATTCAAGGGAAAAAGAGGTAAATTCAGTGTTGTCCAATTTCCTGTGGTGAGGGGAAAGAGATTGCTACTTCAGATTCAGTAGATCAGTTTTGCTGACCAGTTCCCCTGCTCTCTCAGGAGACATCCTTCTTGCCATCACTGTGGATGCAAATGCTGCCAGCACTGAGCAGGGGTGAAAGTTGGTGTTATTCAGTGAGCAATGCTGGGAGTGTCATAGCGTGCCTGGATGCCAGGGTCTCAGCTTACTTACTGCAGAGACAGAAGGACAAATCTGATTGTTCTGCCACAAAATGTTGCCTATTCTGTAGCAATGGCACACAAGAAAGGGTGTGCCTCAACAGGCCACAGCATTGATCTGTCTGCTCCTCCACAGCAGATGTGACATTGGACACTGATACTTTGCAACACACCATACATACACACACTCAGCAGTTGCTCTTGGAGCAGCTTCTGGTCTAGAAATCCAGATATTATCCTTAGACTTACGAGCAACATCTCCATAAGTGTCATGCAGATGTGATACCAGTTCCTCATTCAAACCTGGCCCATCTGCTAAAGAAATGATACTTTTCTAGTTTTTCTAGTTTTAAATAAGTTTACTTTCTGTTGAGAGCTCTAAATGATCATTAGCGTTTTTTAATAAGCAATCAGAAAAACAAAGGCCTTAAATCACTGAGCTGAAAGTAGACAGCACAACTAGTAGGAAAAAGCTTATGGTCATATTAGTGGGTAGGACTGCACAGGATAAAATAACTATTTCTGAACACCTCCACAGCCCATTTAGCCTCACATACCTGTCAGTGTTCTGAAACAAAAAGAACATCTCACCTTCAGAGACAACAAAGACTTTTCTTAGTACTATGTTAAATCAAAAGTACTTTGTCTTTTAAAAACAACTAAGGAAATCTCATAAAATAATAAACACTTCCAAGTCCCATCAGTCTGACTAATCCAGCACCCAAAAAAAAGTAGCTGAGATAGCTAGACATACCTACAGAGAGCTTTAAATTATCAAAGCTAATTCTTCCTGCAGTGCAGGTTGAGGCAAAGATATGCAGAATATGACAAATGAGGGCCTATTTCAACAGGCAGAAGTCTAAATTAACACAGAGGTAAATCACTCAGAGCTGAAGGTCGTGTGCACAGTGTGACACCGCCAGTAGTAGCGGTGAAACTCAGGGGATGCAGTTGCACATACACCATTAAAGTATCTTCCCTCACATCTGGTGGACATTCAGTATGTGCCAAGAGAACTCATGGGAAATACTCAGAAACAATGTTGTCCATGGCATATTTTATCTATTGGGCCATTTTTTTTTCTTCTCACTAACTGTGAAATCTGAAGTTTCTATTTGGAGTTCCTTTCACAAGCATTCTACAATTAACAGAGTTGAACAAACAGTGCATCCTACAGACACTGACACCATATAGGTGGAGGAAGCATAACATTCAGCTGTTTTCTAAAGTTTTGCAGCAAATCAATGTGTTTTGTTCCTTTATTTTACACCGGGGCTACAGGAGAAGCACTATTATGAAAAACGAGCGGAGGAAGGAAACAAAATGGCACAGCTCTGTAATTACAGGCTCATGCATTACTACTTCTTGATATTTACACGTATGATAGCAGAAAGAGTTATATACAGTGGCAAGGCACTAAGAAAAATATCGCTTTCACACCACAGCTGGCCCAGAACAAATCTCCAAACTCCCACATAAAACTTACTGAATGAAGCAAGAAGCAGAGAAGAACCAAACAACAGCTCAGAGCTTATGCCCCTGTACAGGACTTGCAGTAGTTCAACAAACCATCAGATAATACAGGAAAAAGTACATCCATTTGTCCCCCAAAAGAAAGAGAAAAAAAATGCAAAGCACCATCATTCTACAAAGAATCAATTTAGTTCAAGCATACAAACCCCAGTAGGCATGGTACTCCAGTCACAATGTGTAACAACAGCCTTATTTGAACATTGCTTCTCCCAGAATACACCCAAAACAGGTGCACAAGGTCCACATTCACCCAGGAGATAAGAGCTGGCTTTGCAGAGGAACACCTCAGCCACCTCACTCCAGCAGCAACAGGAACAACATCAGCCCTGGGATTTGTATAGGGAAAGGGATTGACTGGGGCTGACTGGGACTGATCATAAAAGAGACAACAAATCTCAGCTGAAGCTTTACCAAAGGCTGCTAATGGGGTTGTTTCTGACATAGAGGGCAATAACATCTTTAATCACCAGTCTAGATTTGGGGGCTTATTTGTACCTGTGTCATTTACATGTTTATGTAAATTTTACATGCCTGTTTATTGAATAGTAATCTATGTGTAAGGAGGTGTTATGGAATCAAAATCACAGCATCATCAAATCTGTTAACATGGGGTTAAAACCTTTACTCAAGCTGTCGAGTGCACTGCCTCACCTTTTGCAAGGGGAAAAAAAAAAGATATATTTACCTTTCCTTTGAACTTCTGTATCAAGCTGGAAGAGGTTCAAGTGCCCCAGAGTAATTTATTGTAGCTACTGGGAGATAGGAAATTTGCATACACATTCCTGTTATTAGGAGTAAGCAAAAGAAGGCATAAATTTCACTTCTGCAGAAAGCACATCTATCTTCATGTGAAAATGATTTATGTGGTGAAGCCATCTGTCTGTTTACACCTTTTAAAGTAGAATGAACGATTGCTAATGAAACAGCCACTTAGAAAAAGGGATAAATATAGTGGTGTAAGCAGGTGCAGGTCTGGTTTGCTTCACAGCATAAACAGTACATTTCAAAGTCGGTTCTGAATTGCTTACAATACTGGGTGTCACCACTGCATCTCCCAGTACAATGTGAGTTATGGTATTAATGATTAGCTGGGGCATGTGGAAATCAAGAAGTTGATGTGTGTTGGAAAAACAGGGAAGGTGCGCCCCCAGATGCCGTCTGCAGACCCCAGTAGGAGATTGATGGACATAAGGATGAAGTTTTTACAATAAGAGTGGTGATGGACAGGCTCAGGTTGCCCAGAGAGGAGGTGGATGCCCCATCGCTGAAAAAACTCAAGGTCAGGTTGAGTGGGGCTCTGAGCACCTGAATGAACTGTGGGCATCCCTGCTCAATGCAGGGAGTTGGATTAGGTGAACTTAAGGGTCTCTTCCAACTCAAACGATTCTATAACTCTATGTTTCATGGCTGTGAACATCTCCTCTCTGCTCCCTGCCTGGCCCCATGGGCACTACCCTGCTCTGGCTGATGGCAAAGAAGTTTCTGCCACCTGCTCTCCAGCTCCGGGTTTGCTTCACTAACCGGAGTGCAAGCCTACAATACAATAAGTGGCACATAACCAAAACATAATATATCAAGGTGATCCCTCTGTGCCAGACCACTGCACTGTGGTCAGAACAAACTGGAACCAGTGCTGTGCCAGCAAAGCTGTGCCCAAGCTGTTCTCCTGGGCCATTCAGGCACTAAGAGCCCACTGGTGTCTGTCTGCTGGCCCCACTACTACGGTGGGTCCACACTTGGTCTCTGTGATGCCTGGGAGATTTACACAGTGTGTAAGCAACTGCCAGCTACAGACCAGTAATATCTAAACACCCACTTTTCAGCTCTTTAGGTGAAATAGCTTAAATCCATGTGTTTAGCTTTTACTTTTCCATGTTCTACAGTGCATGAATACAGACCAGATGTGCACGAGGATGGATAAACCTCTATCAGATAGAGAGAAGCAGCATCAGAAGCTGCCTGTGCACTCTGAGCTGCTCCTGGGGCACACACAGGGAACAAGCACTTTTCCCTGGGAAGGAGCTAATGGAGATGGCCTCACCTCTGGAGAATGTATTCCTCTGTTTCAGGTGCACATCGGTAATGGAAGCACAAAAATGACATGTACAAAATTGATACTCACAATAAAACAGCTAATAAAACAAATAATTATCTAAAGATAAGATTAAATTATTCAAAACAGGAAGAGCATCAACAGAAGTTTTTTGTGCTGTTTATTAGGCAGACGTTGCTAAGTCTGAATGATCTACAAAAACTACGGAAAGAAATTCCCTGAGCTTTGTAATTTTAGTGATGATTTTACTGAAAATCTAGTTTGTTTAGGTGTAAAGCACAGTGCAGGTAATGTTTCTGCTCACTGTGGAATGCACTTAGTAAATCAAAAGTACTCCAGAAACATAATCAGAACTCCTTTATTTGACTGAGTTCCACTGGAAATTCAAGATATATCATGTGTGAGATGATGTGTAAGTTAATTGGCAATAGCTTAAAAGATTTGA